GGGGGGCGGCGGGGTCCGGTGCGGGGGGCGCTCGGCTGGCGGAGCATCCCCGGGGGGCTGCGGGGGGGGAGGTGACCCCTTCCCGGTGTGACTTGGGGTGGGAAGGGATGATGAGGGTCGCGGGCAGGTGTGGGGAGGGGGGGTGGTGCAGACCTCGCCCCCATCCCTTGCCCGCACCGGTGCTTCCAGCAGGACCCAGTGAAACTTTCCTCCCCGGACTGGGAGGAAGGTGATGGGAAAGGTTGGGCAGCAAAGCAAGTGCTCACCTGCATCTTTCCACCTCTCTGCCGGGGTTGTGGTCCCTCCTGCCCCATCTTTCCCCAAAAAGGATGGCAAAGGCTTCGGAGTGTGAGGAACCCCGGAGAGAAAGGGGTTCCTCCTGCTGCACATCTCCCCGGGGAGACCCCTTCCGTGGGCAGGGATGGAGGGCTCGGGTCAGGCTTGGGCTGTGCCCTGGGATTCCTCTCTATTCATGCCAGGGTGACCAGATGGCATTTTTCAAGGCACCACCTTTGCTTTACTCGACTCCAAGATTTGCAAAGATGTGGATTTCTTTCTTCTGTGAATTCTGCCATTGCATGCAAATTTTATCTTTGAGTCAAGATACAAAAAAAACCAACCAAAAAAACCCGAGCAAACCCAACGAGATTTATTGCCTAAGCAAAATGGATAGCTGTGATTCCTGGTTGGAAATGGGTTTAGCTCCAGCTGACCAGTTTGGTGTCCCCCCCTACCCTGCTGGAAGAGGTGATGTGCCCGCACTCAGCGGCTGGAGTTTTAAAATAAACCAAAATTGACAGCAGGGGAAAGAAACCACCGCAACCACTGGAGCTAAATCCACCTGTGACCATTAATCAGGCCCCTAAAAATATATTGCTGTGTTTAATCCCAAACCACAAATTTACTGACTAAAGAATTATTGGAATAAATACTTCGAACAGTAAGGACCATTTAAATCACTCGTGTATACCAACAGACCTCAAAAAGTGCTCCAAAGGCAATTTTTTTTCCTGGGGACCAAATTAAGTCTGCCAACAACACCCTTTTTTTCCTTAACTACCTTTCAGGAGTAGCTTGTGCAAGCTCCCCCCCTGCCCTCCCCATATGACCTGACTTTGGTAAAAGCTGTTTCCAAAGAAACATTTCAGGTAACATAAAAGATATTTCCTAGCTCAAAATCCTTTAGGGGTAAGTGGTACCCTTTATATATTTTTTTTTCCTTAATATTTTGTCTGCAACTGACAGGTGAAATTTGGACTTGAGATTGGAAACTGAGATGGAGAAACTAGGTCTCCTATTTATGTGGAATTATAGCATTTTAATCAAATGAGATTTAGAAAAACCTGTATTCACCCTGTTTAGCAAGAAATGTGAGAAAAGTGAAGACATTTTTACCTGATTGGTTTGAGCTTTTTATGCCTTGTGTATAATAATTGCTTTTTCACTAAGACGACCAATGCCATCAGTGACATTTCTTGTTCTTCAAACTGCCTTGCACAAGACTTTGTAAGAAGCATTTTTTCCTGCCTTAGTCCTCAATGTTAGGAAATCAAAAATTACAATTTTTAAGGATTACAGTTATTAAGGAAATAAAGAACTGGCAATGCAGGGGAAAGATTTAGTGATGAGGGGGTGCTAACCAGTGTTTGGATTTGTGGCTGGAGCTGAATAGTCACTTTGAGCCATGAACAACTAGAGATAGCAACAGGAAAAAAGTCCCTGCTGCCCTGTTGGGATGTTCATTCTGTCTGAGAACTGCCTGGGTCATCACTGAACTGATCCTCCTAAAAATTAGCCAAATGCTGTAAGAGATGGTTGGTTTTAACCCCATTCAGTTTCTTTATCTTCTTCATGGAAAGATCACACAATGCACGGAGGTGAGCAAATATTTTGGCAGATGAGAGCAGGATTTGGGTGAAAATACTGACATTTTAGCTGGAAATGGTGATTAAAATGCAGCGTCTTTTTATGAGAGAGGAAGGTGGCAGGAGTTAACATGGTGGATGTGAGTGTGGTGGACAGATAGGAGGTCTCATGCCAAGGGTCAACGTTACTAGATAGGATTTTGCCAAATACAGGGTGAGCTGGTGATGGGTATTTTCCCTGTCCTCCAGGCAGAAGATAAGATTAATTTGCAGAAAATAGAACTGTGGAAATGATCTTGGATTTTGAGTTTAGTGAAGCAATGAAGGAAGGAGGTGGCGTCTCCTCCATTGCCGTTTGGTAAGAACAGATTAGATAAATTGCTGCTGTGTTTGTCCTGGGCACATCCCACCCTGCGGGTCCCCGAAGAGCTCTCCTGTGCCCACAGCCCTCACACAACGAGAGCTTCCATCAAAGTGCAGCAGAGTAACACAAATATTTTTCCATGCAGTGCCACGCACCGTGTCCCTGGTGGCCACTTGGTGGTTTCTTACCCATGCTTGTTGGCCACCAAGGTGATTAATTTGTGGTCCCGCAAGGACCGTCAGTGCTGGGGTTATGTTTGTGTTGGTTATGATGGCACCTTCGTGGGCTCGAGTCGGGGTCAGATCCCGTTTTCCCAGGCACTGTACCTTTGCTGCTGAAGGACAAACCTCGAGTTGGAGGGAAGATAAACTGACAGAGACTGAACAGATGAAGGAAAGGGAAAGGAAGGATGATACAACATACGAGCAAGCGGCGCTGGGGCAGAATTAATACAATGGTACTAAATATATGCCTTGGATGGGTTTCATTTTTAACTTTGGGCTAAGATAAGGGCCGGCATGGCTGATAGAAAAGGACTTTTCTTGCCCCTCCCTAAACTTTTACATTCCCCTGGAGAATTTGCAGAAAAAGTTAACTGCTTGTGCATGAGAAGCAAGCGGCGCTGGGGCAGAATTAATACAATGGTACTAAATATATGCCTTGGATGGGTTTCATTTTTAACTTTGGGCTAAGATAAGGGCCGGCATGGCTGATAGAAAAGGACTTTTCTTGCCCCTCCCTAAACTTTTAAATTCCCCTGGAGAATTTGCAGAAGAAGTTAACTGCTTGTGCATGAAACTTTTGAGGCACCATCACAGGTTGATGTAGTGCTGGGAGGTCTGGTTTAGTGATGGTGATGCTTCTTGTTTGTTGTGTGGGTGTCTATTTTTGTCAAAGTTAGGTTGACGGTTGGACAAGATGATCTTTAAGGTCCCTTCCAACCTAGAAGATTCTGTGATTCTGTGAAACATGCACCCAGAGGTAGGCTTCGTTGGTACCTGCTGTAAAAAACCCACACTTCCAAGGGGTTTTAAGGATTATCTCAGCTTACTGTAGGATAAACACTAGTCCTCCTCATTTTTTCTCTTATAAAAATAACTAAATTAAAAGGGTCCTCTTTCAGAAACTAATTCTATTATATTTCTTCCCTTCTTTCTTTAATATCATCTGATGCTGAAGCATCCTCATGCCCAGGCAGTCACACGTGCAAGCAGGTGGGGTAGCAGCTAGGGACAGTCACACCACATTTTGCCATTTTTTGGAGTTTAGGGTCAGTGTTACCGCCTAATCTTTACGGCTGTTTTGTTTGGGGTTTTTGTGGCACAGCGTGCAATGCTTGCTGCTCCTCGTCTCAGTGTCAAATCCATCTCCCCTGCTCCCTCCAGCAGAGCCCTGGTTGCTGGTTTTAAGCTGAGGTGGAGCTTACCTGAGTACTTGTGGCTAAAAGACAAGACAGATGCTCAAATCCCCTTTCTAATACCGCGGCTCAACCCTTCCTCCTCCCCCAGGCTTTTAAACTGGAGAGGTAGTGAGAGGGAAGGAGGTGGCTTCCTCACCACCACCTGAGACCACCATTGGAGGGGACAAACCCACTAGAGAGGAGCTGCATGAGCATCCCCTTCCATGGGACCTACACTGCTCCTCATCCTGGGGCAAGATTGTCCCACCAACATGCTCTAGCTCATGGGGCTGCAACTCCATGAGCAGGGGGAAGGTTGTCCTTACTGCCCTGTGTCAAAATTCCTGCATCCACAGGCTGTAGCCGGAGAAATCTGAAAGGCTTAAAAGTCTCCCACCACGTAGCAAATTATGTTCTCTCTTTGTCTCTGTCTCTCAAGGCGTTCGAGTAGGCTTTAACAAGCCACTGGGGACTGAAACAATAATATCTCTGTATCTAATGCTTACTGTAAGCAAAGGATGGATTACAAAATAGGCTGTTTATTTTTAATTATTAATGTGTTTGAGCTAGCAAACCTTCGCAGAGTTACACATTGTTTGGCATGGATGGAAAGGGGATGGACTATTCGGCAATGGTATTAAAAACAATAATTATTAATTTCAGGCGTGGCCATTTTTTTCCCCCCAAGTGTATAATAAAAATTTTTCAGAGCATATACTGGGTTAAGGCCAGAAAGGGTTGTCTTGAAAAAAAAGGATGGCAGAAATCAAGGGTTTCTTCCTAGTTCAGCAATAAACCTCCTTGCTTTGCTCTTCCTCAGTTTCCCAACTAATGGCTTGGTGTGTTATAATTCTTTAATGGAACTGAATGAGTCAAGGGCAGCTTTTGAAGCACAGCTTCTTGTGCTCCCAGGAAAGAGAGAGCAGAGATATCGCCGCACTTGTAGGCAACCAAATCAAATGCTGCTGGTAAAAGTCTTGATCTCAAAGACATCTGCTGAAGTTGTCTTACACTCCTCTGTCGTGCCTTCCCCAGCCTCCTTGGTGTGAGATCACCATGTATGTACCAGGATAACCTTAACAAAGAGAGATCAGTGCTCTTTATAAGACTACTATTGGCACAACGTGGGGGGAATTTCTTGCAGTGATGGAAGAGGCTGTATCCTGGGCTCCCCAAAAGTTCTAGTAAAGCTTGCATGTGTTTTTCTACCCTTTGCACACTCGCTGCTTTGCAGCATCTTGCCCCAGCAAAGCCTCCCTGCCACGGGGCAGGCCCATTGCTGCCCTGCTCTCCTCTCCCCAGGGATGCACCAGGGAAAACGCCTCCTCGGACTATTTACAGCGCTCTCCTGGCACCGCACAAGAGGAATTATCTGCCTCCTCCAGCCCTTGGCTAATCCCTAAATTGCATCTATACGGCAAAGCTTAGTTTATTCTCATTTCGTCTGGTAGTTTTAAGTATTGCGAGGAATAAAACGGGGCATGCAAAGTGGTGGCTTTAATTTTCAAGGGCAGTAAAGTGTTTTATTTTTAGGATGCTCTTACTGGGGAAAGAATCTCCGGCAGGTCTTATCTGGTGGCTAATAATAGTGACCCGGCGTGCCCCGAGCGGAGCCGGCGCTGCCGCCCTGCCCTTCTCACGCCGTCTGCTTACGCCCTGTGCTTCTGATCAGCTCATTAGAGCCTCCAAAATTACAGAGCCTAATAGTCTAATAACAAGGTTTGCTCATAATTATTAACTCCTTGCGCTCTATGTTATTACTGGAAGGGTAAGGTCCCTAATTAGAGAGCACAAATATTTACTGTAAGCAGAATTTCTCTGCAGTCCTTAGAAAACCATCCATATGTCACCATTTTTAAGATCAGATCAGAAAATAGTAAGAAGGGGTAGCTCATGGGCAAGAACCCTTTTAGATATAAACATCTGACTGACAGCTTTCAAGCAGTTTCTGCTGTTAGCTTCAGTAAAAATCTTGCTTCCAAGAAGCTTTTTTTTTCTTCCCATAGTCTGTTTATTGATAATAAATGGATCCAACGCTGAATTCATTTCACACTATTGTTAGTGCAATTCCCCCAGTGACAGTGGTGCAACTCCCAGTTTGTGGTTTCTGTGTGTCCCTGTACACAGGAGACAAGCATCAGCCTCTTGCTGCACAAAGTGCATATTATAAAAACCCCACGTTGAAGTTTGTATCTTTTCTAAAACCAGAATTTGCTCTTGCAGCGCAGCAGTGTTCCTGCAGCTTGTCACCAAATCAAGCAGCGTGCTTGAGAAAGTATAAATAGAAATTCATTTTAGTAATGCAAATCCCTCAGTCCTATTTTGGGCAGGGAAAATCCCTATATCATTTTTTTAAAAGAAGTGTGAGGGTCTAGTTTTAAGACTGGGCTTATTAGGGATTTACTCAAGCAGTGTGTTATAGTGGAGATTCTCCTCTGCCATTTAAATATGTCTGTTTCTGATTGATCTAGCTTTTACATGCTATAAATCCTTGCAAATTAGCTTTGGGTGTGACCTCCTCCAGTAATTCACTCTGTTTTATTGACTTGAGTGCTTTTTGTGATTAAGTCTCCTCTCTTCTGTCTTCCATGACTCCACTGGGAAAACGATAAAGTGAAGCAACAAAAAACAAGTTTAAAATATTTCACCCCCTCATCTTTTTTTTTTTTCTCTTCCCTTCAAGAGTTGTTTTTTGCTTATAAATCACAATGCCCTAAATTGCTTGTGTGAATCCTGCTACACTGTTTAGTGACTTTACGATGCTCTCTCTCTAATAGTCGGCGAACACCAGCTGACGGGACATAAAGTAGCAGTGAAAATCCTCAACAGACAGAAAATACGCAGTCTGGATGTGGTTGGGAAGATCAAACGAGAAATTCAAAACCTTAAACTCTTCCGGCACCCTCATATTATCAAACTGTAAGTACCTTTTTCTGCCCCATGTTCAGTTTACTCCTCCGTCTGCAAAGACTTCATGTGTATGGTTGACTTGGTTTTCAGGAGATGGCTTAGAGTCGTAGAAAACGTTAGGTGTCTGGTCAAGTTTTGGCATGGTAGAGCCAAACATTGCTTTTCCAGAGTCTCCCACTCATTTACAGGGGAACACTGTTGACACTTTGAGAAATGATGGAAGATGCTTCTCCCGTTGGGAGTCTGAGTTATTGTAACAGCCAACAGACTGGTGTCCCTGCATCAAGTTTTGCTCAGCTAAACCTGTCCAATCTGTCCTGTTTTCCATGCAGAGGCCATTATAGAGATGTTTAAAGAGGGTCTGGGCTTTCCTGCATTAGGAGTTTTTTGTGAGGACCCTTTTTTGGCTTGCTATCTCTGGACTTGAAGCTGCTGAGAGTTGTGCCTGAGGAACTGCAGCAGGGTCAGGCTTGTAGAGTGAAGCTTGGCCTGAAGTCAATAGGATTTACGTTTTAATGGCCTGATTATCCAGAGCTTAAAGGAACATTTTTATTTTTTTTTTTTAAATTTATTATTCAGACACAATTTTCAAAGTTGCCACTCTGATGAACCTGAATTTAAGTTGTAAATCAGCACCTGCACTCCAGCCTCTGGGATTCCTTCTCAATCCCCAGTTTGTGCAGCCAGTCCACATTAATGAGGCACTTGATAATATCTTTGGCATTTCTATAAAAGAAAGCTGTTGAACGGTAACTGCAAGGATAAGTTGACATTTAGGTCAGCCTTAAAACTGGCATGAGATATAGCGAATACCTGGGACTTAGAGGCAAGGGAAAACAAATTCTCTCTACAGTTAAATAACTAACCAGGCAGCAACTGTTGACTTTAGAGTAACTTCACAGTTCCTTGGATTTATTGGAGAACAGATTGGTATTATTTCATGAAAAAGCCAGCAAGAGTCCTCAGCTGTGTGTCCAGCATCCTGCAAGTTAAGTCCTGTTCACACATTTGTCAAACTGTTAAAGCCTAAAAAATTTACCCAGTTTAACCTTATCATTGTCCTATGGTACCTACTGCAATCATGAAATACAATGATAAAGAAAAGAGGTGAGGAGGAGATCACGGTATATATACCTCCTCTTTAAATAGCATTTTACATGTATATAAAGGAAATAACAGGGCAATTAACAATAGCTTGGATGTCTGGGTCCAAAGCACTTCAGAAAAATCAGGTTGATCCTATTGATCTTTAAGGGACTGTCACCTGTTCACTTGCTGATCGCTGAAATCTGTTTGTTGCAAATTACGACCCAGGGAAATTCAGCTGTAAAAAAAAGCAAACAGCAATGTATCTGAAATAAAATCAAGGGGGTCTCAGCTGGTGCTGCTATGATTTCCTGCGGCTGCGTTGACCTCAGCTCATCACTGGTGGTTTGTACCAGCTGGGACATGGAAATGCGTTTGCAGGGCTCAGGGGTCATTTAGAATGAAAATGGAGAATAAATTTGTGAGTCAAGGGTGATACTCTTCTTTTTTTTTTTTTTTTTCCCCCTCCCCACACACATTTAATGTGTGAAAAATAGCTGTGATCTTTTGGGGTGCTAGTCTTTGTTTCTATACCTATGCAAAAGAAGCTCCCTCTAGTGTCTAGAGGTCTTCTTTGTCTTCTTTATCCTTGATATGAAGGAAACCAAATATTCCCCCTCCCTACCCCCAGCTAATGAAGCCTTCATTTCTAAAGCTGTTGTTGCAGATCTTGGGCAAAATGGAAATTTGAAAGTTGGGATGGTCTTAAATGTGATAGGACTGTCTGGCAAAGATTTTAGATTATAGAAAAGCTCGAAGGAAAACTGTAGGTCTGTAAAAGAGATCCTTTCATAGACAAGTGAAACATTATACTTGCAATAAGAGATGGCTTTTCAGAAGTGGAAAGCAATAATAAATGCAAGATCGAAACAAATGCTTATTTTAAGGGTTGACATGAAGCTAACAATCCGTTTAAAAGCCTTTCCCTGTTCTTCGTAATTATTTTTTTTTTCTAAATCTGCTTGTGTCTTTGAAGGTACCAGGTCATCAGCACACCAACGGACTTCTTCATGGTCATGGAATACGTGTCTGGCGGTGAATTATTTGATTACATCTGTAAGCACGGACGTGTAAGTGCCAGTACCGTGTCAGCCCAAACACTTGTGTGGGAAGAGGATGGTGTTTAGAAGCAAAACGACTGCGAAAGGGAACGCGGTTAAGGTTAAGGCCCAAAATAGAAGTTGCTTCACAGCAATCCCATCTGGAGTGTCTCGTACCCGACTCGCACAAAAGTTGCGTGCGATTTTTTTGCGACATTCTCTGATGTATTTCGATAGGCAAACCAAAATATCCAAGGTAACGTGTTGCTTAGTGCAAATATTTGGAAAACTAGCATATTTTTTATGATTCTTAGCTCTGGGTTGCCTGTCAAAACCCCCACGGTTCGGCAGTGATTTACTGTAGGGGAAGAGCAGTCGGTGTGGTCTCCGTCCCGGTCATTCACCTCCCCCTTGGCTCCACGTCAGGTTTTTTGAAGACTTTTTAAGGATGTGGCTTATCTGAACAACATTTTCGAATGCCAGTAATCCTGCTGGGTATGAATCACCTGAGGCGTAGGTTGAGCCCGTGAAACGTGATATTATGGTTACAAAGAAAATCAGGAGTGTCTGCCCCATGGACGTTCTCCCAGGCAGGGAGCAATCGCAGGGCAAGGAGGTGAAAATGGGCTGATGGGGATATCCAGAATAAGGCTTCAGGCAAAGGATCAGCCTATCATACGTTTCCTCTCTGTAGTAAAAAAAGCCAATACATTTATAATAAATTAGTTTAGATTAGTGCACTGGTAAATGGAGCTAAGCCCATTTACGTTTCTACTGACAGTTCTGGTTTCCAGCACATGTTGCCCATTTGTCTTTTACACACGTTTATCTTTTCAGTGATTAATCTGCACCTTTTCTGACCTTTGTGTTCAGAAACTGAATTTTTTCAGGAAGAGTCTTTAGGAGGTCATCAGTAAAAATAACTAGTCTCCTCCTAATTTTAAATATAATTTCTCTAATATAGCTCATACAACTTTGTAGCTAATATAGCTATATAGCTAATTAAATCATCCCAATATTCCAACTTTAGCTTTTTTTTTTTTCACCCAAAGCCATCTGTCTGTGAGGAATCACTCTCTGAAGCATCCTCAGTGGTGTTTTGTCCAGCATCGATCTGCGTGTGCTGTATAGAAGAACTGGTCCCCTTGGGACAGGCAACCATTGCCTCGTAGGTGCCACCAGTAGGTTCTCCTTGATAGCTCAGCTAAATGTAGGTGTTCTGATTTCATCTCTGGGCCATATAATTTGAAAACACTGGCACGTTATGAAATGCAAGAGGGGAAATCTGCTTTATTTGCTGCTTCTGGTGGCAAGCACGCTGTGATTTTTTCTCTCCGCGCCCTTGGAACGTTTTTGGCTCCTTGCTAAGTCAAACCTTCCCCTGCCAGCTCTGCCCGCAGGCCAGCCTTTTCAGGCCCCTTTCCCCTTTGCACCCCCAGGTTGAAGAGGCCGAAGCTCGCCGCCTCTTCCAGCAGATTCTCTCGGCGGTGGATTACTGCCACAGACACATGGTTGTCCACCGAGACCTGAAACCGGAGAACGTGCTGCTGGACGCGCACATGAATGCCAAGATAGCCGATTTCGGTATGTGACCCCAGCAGCATTCCAGAAATGCAGCCAGCTCGGAGGAGCTTGCTGGAGCGTGTCGGTGTAGGACGCCTTACAAAACCCAGAGCCTCTTTTCCTTAACCACTTACCTGAAAAGCCCACGGTTATAAACACCAGGCTTTTTTTCGCAAATGCAGGGATTACTTCTCGTAGCCCGCTCCTGTCCCGGCATTAAGAATGGAGCAGCAATATAATTTGCAAATCTTCGCTCTGTTTTAGTGTAATCACCTAATAGAAAGATTTAGCTAATTTATGTTTAAGACGGACTGGGTGCAGTTAATTCCAGGGTGAGCTGGCGGCGTGTGTTTATTTTTAATGCGGGCTCTCCGTACGTTTGGCCACGTGCTCACTTCGTTTTACAAATGAACAGTAACAGGAGTCTTTAAAATGGCATTACCGATTGAAATCCGTGGAAATAGCTGGGCTACCAGCTCGGTCCCGGTGAGTCCTTTCTAACAGGGATAAATCCTTTTTTAAGATTTACAAATTTCACAACCCCACACAATCCCCATCGAAAGTGCATGCTCTGGGATGAATTATGTATCTTTTCCTCCGTGCTAAAGAAAGCAAGCTCTGGGATTTGTAACTTAGAGAAGCAAGATTAGCCTGGAGTGAGAGTGAATATTCCTTGGTTAGAGGTGAAAATAATAATAATAGTATTGGTAATGGTAATAATAATAGTATTATTCATAGTAATACTCAGTTCAAAGGACTCTATCTAAATTATGTCAACAGTTTCCCCTCAAATTTCCCCCTCCACTCCCTATAGCTCTCCTCCTCTGTGCCACATGGAGTCCTCTGTGGCTGGACCTTCTCATCAAACATCAATACTTAGTAAACATCTTGTTTTTAGGATTGTCCAACATGATGTCAGATGGCGAATTTCTACGCACCAGCTGCGGTTCCCCAAATTATGCAGCCCCTGAAGTCATCTCTGGAAGGTAGGACATTCCACTTCTAATCAGAGCCTCTGTGAGCACATGGTCTTTCAATTTGTTCTTGGGATTGGAAACAGCTTTGCACGTGTAGTAAAAGCAGCTGAATCCTTCCAGCCTGTATTTATATGTTTGGGTGAATCTACTGGCAAAAATCTGGACGTTTTCGTGGTTATTACATTTTTCAATAGCTGTAATAGCAAAACATGTTTTGCTAAAGGTGTTTAGTTTGGAGGAATTATTAATAGCAGATGTTGACTGTTTATATTGCTAATTAAAGAGGATGAAAATTACTCTTTGGATGCAAATACTGAGGTTTCAGATGGAAAGGCTTTTCCAGACCACCCCCTTCTCTCCTGCCCACCTATAATATAAAACACAGTGTTAATGAGGGAAACTGTTCGCTGGCAGAAAAATCAGGAAGATCTTTAATCGCTTCCCTACACTTTAAAGTCTTGTATTGAGAATACTTGTCTTCTGGTTCCTTAAAGATAGGGTGGTGTTCTTTTACCGTGACAGTGGGTTCAGCCATCATAGCTTTGTTTTGGATTGATGGATTGAGCATTTGTTTTCCTATTCCAGCGCATTTTTGCCTATAACTGTAGCTTTTAAATGCAACATTTTGCTCAAAGTGTTTTAGCTGTGATTGTGATTATTTTATCCGTGTTTACACCAGTGCAAGTGTTGGCAGAGCATCCTAGGAATTAGACCAGTGTCCAAAAAACCTGTTGTGACTATAGCTCTACACGTGAAAGCAAGTAAATCCTCCCTGTCAAGAGGGGGACAAAGACAGAAACTCTTAACGGGATTCCAAAAAAAATATCCATATCATTTCCATGTCCTTTTCAGTAAAGGCCCCAAGCATATTATTTTCAGTTCATAAAGGAGACAAGACACATTATTAACAAGTCCCTGCAGTCCCTGCATGCAGAGCCTGATTGTTTGAAGGGTACAGGCTTTCTAACGAGAAAAGTAAGAAAGAAAACCAAACCCAAGCCTACATGTTGGACTTTTTCACCAGCTCCTGCTGCCTTTGCTGGGGAGAACACAAAGGCAGCAGAGCATGACATCTCAGGTTTCAGAGTCATAAAAGTGCATCTCATTTGGGCTTAAAAGTCCAATCAACTGGTCGGGCAGTGTGGTTATCAGCAAAACAAATCAGGCTTCCTATCTGTTGGAATCACGCGTGGAGGCAGGGCCAAAGGGGAATCTAGCTAATTGCATTTCCAAAATGACTTTGATGCTGTCCCTGGCCTCACTGGTGGAAGGTCTCAATTTGGATGAGCAGAGCTGGTGTTTTGGTGGTGTTCAGAGAATGTCCGTGTGGATGACCGGCATGTTTTTGTACACCAGTGGGGCTGTGGTGGTGCTTTTCAGGAGGAGCAAGTGCAGGGTGCTGAGGTTTCATGAAGATAACTTCTGTACTTCCATTTCAACTTCTGTATTTTGGTAGGGTTTTACAGCCTGATGGTTGGCACTGCCTCCCAAAATCTCTGAGAAAGCATCGGTTGTAGCAAAAAGAGATAAACAAATGGAGTAAGCAGCAGGAAAACCCATATATTTGGTGTGTCCTGGCTTGATGATGCCAGGGAGCACATTAGCAGCTTGTCGGAAGTGCGAGCAGTTGCGTACCAGCACACAAACTTCAACTGAAAATAAACAGAGACAGATTATCTGCTGCCTTTTAGTCTGCCTTGCTGAGTGAACAGGAATTGCTGGCCGAGCCCTTGGGGTGAAGGAGAAAATAGCCTGGGCAGAGCTCTTGGAAATGTGGGGTTTGGTCTCTTTGGAGGGTCTGGTGGATGCATCCAGAAGAGCGTGGAGAGCCCACACCAGCTCTGCCATGCCATTTCCGAACGTGCCGTGCCAGCTTTGGTTGGGGGCATCTGCATGAGCATCCCTGGGGTGGGATGTGGCTCTTGCCCTCATGGAGCTGGCAGAGGATCCCCAGCTTGCTTAGAGGGACCTTCACCCCAACTAAGGAGAGAAGGACAGGGGGATGACACCTTTCTCCTGCCCTTGCCTTCACGCAGGCTGTACGCCGGCCCCGAGGTGGACATCTGGAGCTGTGGTGTTATCCTCTACGCCCTTCTCTGTGGCACTCTGCCTTTTGATGACGAGCACGTCCCCACCCTCTTCAAGAAGATCCGGGGAGGGGTGTTTTACATCCCCGAATACCTCAACCGCTCTGTTGCCACTCTCCTCATGCACATGCTGCAGGTTGACCCCCTCAAGCGAGCAACCATCAAGGACATCAGGTCAGCCCAGGTGGGATGGGGTGGGCTGGTTGTGTTCGGGGAGGCTCCAGCTGGTTTTTTGTCCCAAGTGATTCAAGGAACACTCCTGTACCCTTCTGTACTGGTGGAGAGGTGGATGCTGCCGGCTGGCAGTGGGTCATGATGAACAGGGTGAGGATTTTGTGTAGATTATGTATATATATATATATATATATATATATATATATAAAATAAAATGTGGGGTTTGGTCTCTTTGGAGGGTCTGGTGGATGCATCCAGAAGAGCGTGGAGAGCCCACACCAGCTCTGCCATGCCATTTCCGAACGTGCCGTGCCAGCTTTGGTTGGGGGCATCTGCATGAGCATCCCTGGGGTGGGATGTGGCTCTTGCCCTCATGGAGCTGGCAGAGGATCCCCAGCTTGCTTAGAGGGACCTTCACCCCAACTAAGGAGAGAAGGACAGGGGGATGACACCTTTCTCCTGCCCTTGCCTTCACGCAGGCTGTACGCCGGCCCCGAGGTGGACATCTGGAGCTGCGGTGTTATCCTCTACGCCCTTCTCTGTGGCACTCTGCCTTTTGATGACGAGCACGTCCCCACCCTCTTCAAGAAGATCCGGGGAGGGGTGTTTTACATCCCCGAATACCTCAACCGCTCTGTTGCCACTCTCCTCATGCACATGCTGCAGGTTGACCCCCTCAAGCGAGCAACCATCAAGGACATCAGGTCAGCCCAAGTGGGATGGGGTGGGCTGGTTGTGTTCGGGCTGGTTTTTTTGTCCCAAGTGATTCAAGGAACACTCCTGTACCCTTCTGTGCTGATGGAGAGGTGGATGCTGCTGGCTGGCAGTGGGTAATGATGAACAGGGTGAGGATTTTATATAGATTATGTATATATATATAAAAATGCTATTTTACTGCATTATAAAATAGCCTCAAAAATATCTTATTAGTGCTTAGCAAAACCAGCTATATCATATAATAATCCTAAAAACTTCATATCCAGCACCCGTTTTTCATTACTTTTATTTCAAGACCACCTCCCTGTGGGTACCCCTTCAGAGTAAGAGGGTAATCATTGTACTTAGTATCTATCCCATAAAAAAGTAGAAGCGCAAGAATTACTAACTTAATCCATAAATATTGGATATAGTTTAAAATGTGAGCTAATAGTTCATCTTTAAATGCAGCATAGTTTTCTTGTCTAGTCAATGAGTGCAGTGCCCATGAACCTTTTATCTGCATGCATCGCTGTGGAAATTCAAGATAAAGGGAACAATTGGGTTCTTAAGCAGATATTTGTGCCTGCAGAGATCATGAAAAGTTCATGGTTGGTAGCAGGGCTTCAAAATCCTCACAATCTGAGCCATTTTAGAAACGTTTTGTAAAACTGGAGCCTGATAAGCATTTTATGAAATTTATGGTAATCATTACATCTAGCTGGTGTGCTAAGTTTATGCATAAATGTTACTGGGACTTTCAGGAGTTCTTGGCTTTTTAATGCATTTGCAATGATGGCCTTAATTTTGCCCTTCAAGTAAAATGCCTTTTTTATTTCTTTATTCCGTAAGACTAGAGGATTTAATTACATGTTAGAGCAGCAGCACGTGATTCTATGTGGTGAGATTACAGTTGGTATGTAGAACCTATAGAGAAGGCTCTCTTACGGCGTTCAACCACTTAATCATTGACTTCATTGTAAATCAGTGAGAACCAGGTACCTGGATAGCTTTGATGCTCTGTATCTCCATCAGACCCACAGTAATCAAAGAGTGTAAGCAACTTTTTTTAAGTGCTGAGGTGTTACTTCAAAGCCAACTGAGCAAGCAGCCAGGCTTGCAAAGTGTCATCTCTGTTGGAATACTGGGGGGACCATGCAAGGTTGGGTCGAGCTCCCCAGTCTGCAGCTGAGGATTAGTCTTGGCTAGACCAAGCGAGGGACTGGTGGCCGTGGTTGCCCCAGCTTGCCTTGCACAGAGCTGACGGTGGCTCCTCTCTGCCTTTCCCCAGGGAACACGAGTGGTTCAAGGAGGAGCTGCCCAGTTACCTGTTCCCAGAGGACCCTTCCTACGACGCCACAGTCATCGACGACGACGCAGTTCGGGAAGTTTGTGAAAAGTTTGAATGCACGGAGTCGGAGGTGATGAACAGCCTGTACAGTGGTGACCCTCAGGACCAGCTGGCGGTGGCCTACCACCTCGTCATTGACAACCGGAGGATCATGAACCAAGCCAGTGAGTTCTACCTCGCCTCCAGCCCTCCCACCGGCTCCTTCATGGACGACAGCGCCATGCACATCCCTCCCGGGGTGAAGCCGCACCCCGAGCGGATGCCACCCTTGATAGCGGACAGCCCCAAAGCGCGATGTCCTTTGGATGCCCTCAACACCACCAAGCCAAAGCCCCTGACTGTCAAAAAGGCCAAGTGGCACCTGGGAATCCGCAGCCAGAGCAAGCCCTATGACATTATGGCCGAGGTGTACCGCGCCATGAAACAGCTGGACTTTGAGTGGAAGGTAGGGAGTGGTGGTGCTTCGGGCTGGTTTTCGAGGGTCTTCTTCTCATGAGCTGAATCTCTTAGGGAGGTTGGTAGGTACAGTTACAGCCTCACCTGGTTCCAAATAAATGCCCACACCTTGCGACCATCTCTGCTACTTCGTGTTAATCCAAACACGCTGCAATAAGATGCTAGCTGTGGCCTTTATTTATGGCCTGAAATAAGAGTTTTCTTTCTGAATGCTCTAAGCCTCGGTCTGGAAAGATGATTCTGCCTCGTTTAGCTGCGGGGATGAGAGGAGCCGGGCACATTTCTAATTTTAGTGGCTAATTCCTTGCGAGGTCATCTCAAGTGCTTCTGAGCAAAGTAATTCTCTTTATATCTGCTTGCATCCTAGCAGTGTCGTGTGCTGAAATGGTACAATATGCATCTTCTTTGAAGATGCACAAGTGAGGAACGGGGGGGCCGTTGGGGGCAGGAGTTTGTGCCATTGATGCGGTGGCATTTTCCTTCTTCTTTGAAGATGCACAAGTGAGGAACGGGGGGGCATTGGGGGCAGGAGTTTGTACCATTGGTGCAGTGGCATCTTCCTCGATGGAGATGGAACGGTGCTCGAGGACCAAATGTGCTTTCAAACACACTTACTGCCTCCCAGGTTTAGGGCTCAGCTTCTTGGAGCTTGATTTAAACCCAGGTGGCATTTTAGTTGACAGTACTCCCTTCAGATATTTCTTCGGAGCTACACAGTACAATCTCTTTCAAAGTAATTAATAAATCCCTGAGTTAGCCCTCAATATTTTCTGCTGAGCCTGATTCCCTAAATCTCAGTGCAGTCGCTGAGGTGAGCTCTCCTGACTCATGGCCTTTCACAGCAGCCTCGTGCAAGCGTCAAGAGCAAGGTAAGGACAATTTCAGCCCAAATCTTCATCACCGGAGGAGATACCCTCCTCGCTCCAGGTCCCAAGGGTTGTACAGTGTGAACATCGCTGTGCCTCTTCTTCAAAGCCTCCTATCTCCTCCTTATATTTGATAATACCACATATTTAAAGTGAAGTAATGCTCCGAAATCTGATTTCACTGCACCAGCCAGGAGATGGACTATCTCCAGATGATGCCTACACCAGCCAGACATTTGTTAGCTGCATGGATTTACAGAGAGCGAACAATCCTGATGTATTTCTGGTACAGCTTCGCAAACCAAGTCAGCCCAACGTCTTCATGTAGGCAGTGGAGCTTTTTTAGTATGAAGAGGTTTCACAATAGTCTTTCCCACCCTAAGAATAACTTCAGATGTGACTCTTCATCAAAATAGCTTTCCCATCCATGCAAGTGCTTCTTAAATATAGCACAGGGGAAAAAATCTCCTTGCAAATGAGATGCAGCAGATTGTGGGGTGGGAAGAGGCAAGAGAAAACGCACAGCTCAACACAAACACTGGATTTTGCTGAGCTGATGGGAGAGGTTACTCGCCCTGGCTGCCCAGCCTGCCCTGGGTTCGTTGGCATGGTCCTCATACACAGGTCCACCAGTGGACTTTTTGGCTCATATGGCCATTGCTGCTGGTGAGAGAGGAGCAAACATCAGTTTGGTGCCTGGCAGATGGGTCATGGCAGCTTCGTCTGCCAGCAGCTGGTGAATCAGAGACCTAAAAAGCATTTTTAAAGGTAGGAGGGAACAGGATATGAATCTGTTAGCTTAATTTTATAGGCATTGTTCTTTCTAGAAACTTTTCCTCAGAAGATGTCTTGCTAGTATTTAGAAAAAAGAAAAAAAAAGAATAAAAGAAATGCTCTTCTCGCTGCCTTGAATCTCACTCCTGAAAGCCAGTTTCCGTTGCAGGTGGTGAACTCCTATCATCTCAGAGTGCGGCGCAAGAACCCGGTGACGGGCAATTACGTGAAGATGAGCCTGCAGCTCTACCAGGTTGACAACCGCAGCTATCTCTTGGACTTCAAAAGCATCGATGGTAAGCAGGAAATGATGCAACACAAGATGTAAAACACTTCAAGTGGCAAGTTTGGCAGTTGAGAAAAATATTTAAAAATCATTCTTTGCCTTTTAAAATGCTTATGCAGCTGTGTCAAGTCAGTGAAAGCTCTTTCACAGAATCATGGAATGGTTTGGGTTGGAAGGGACCTTAAAGATCATCGAGTTCCAACCCCCTGCCCTGGGCAGGGACACCTCCTACCAGACCAGGTTGCTTAAAGCCCCATCCAGCCTGGCCTTGAACCCCTCCAGGGATGGGGCAGCCACAGCTTCTCTGGGCAACCTGTTCCAGTGTCTCACCACCCTCACAGGAAATCGTTTCTTTCTGATATCTATCTAAATCTCCCCTCTTTTAGTTTAAAACCATCCCCCCTCGTCCTATCGCTCCACTCCCTGATAAAGAGTCCCTCCCTATCCCTCCTGTAGCTCCTTTAGGGACTAGAAGGGGGTGTAAGGTCTCCTTGAAGCCTTCTCTTCTCCAGGCTGAACAACCCCAGCTCTCTCAGTCTGTCCTCATAGGAGAGGTGCTTGATCCCTCTGATCATCTTCATGGCCCTCCTCTGACCCCATTCCAACAAGGTCCACGTCCTTCTTGTGCTGAGCTCCATTTGCCTCCACTACTGTTACTAGCTGCTCACCAAACACGTGTTACAGATGCCAAATTAATGCCACTTTTTCCTTCTTTTTTTTTTTTTTTTTTTTTTTTTATTTTCCATTCCAACAAGGTCCACGTCCTTCCTTGGCTGAGATCCATTTGCCTCCACTACTGTTACTAGCTGCTCACCAAACATGCATTGCAGATGCCAAATTATTGTCCACTACTGTTACTAGCTGCTCACCAAACACGTGTTACAGATGCCAAATTAATGCCACTTTTTCCTTCTTTTTTTTTTTTTTTTTTTTTTTAATATTGGAGACGATGTGATGGAGCAGAGGTCCGGCTCATCCACCCCGCAGCGCTCCTGCTCCGCCGCCGGCTTGCACCGCCCGAGGCTGAGCATCGATGCCGCTGCCGCCGCCGAGTGCCAGTCGCTGATGGGTTCTCTGAGCGGCTCCTTCGTGGGCAGCATCCCCTCGGTGACCCCCCGCCTGGGGAGCCACACCATGGACTTCTTCGAGATGTGTGCCAGCTTGATCATGGCCCTGGCTCGCTGACGGCCGGCAGGGAGGCACCGGTCCCTCCGCACACGGTATCGCGCTCTGAGGATCTGGTCCAACTTGTCCCTTCCTTGTTTCTTCTGCTTTGTTCCTCCTACTCCCCCCTCTTACAGCCCCGTAGAGCCAATTCCAGACCCAAAACATAATCCCCTCTAACAAGGCACTGAGGAAATTAAGAAGAACTTTATTTCACTTGTTAGACGGTGGTGAAATATATCCAATAGTCTTTTTTTTTTCCCCTCTAACAAGGCACTGAGGAAATTAAGAATAACTTTATTTCACTCGTTAGACGGTGGTGAAATATATCCAATAGCCTTTTTTTTTTCCCCCTAGTGAACCGAATGGGAAATGTTGGCATGGCTGTAAAGTAGGGAATGTATCACTGAGGTTTTGGGAAATGCCTTCTCCCTGCTTCATCCTGAGTTGACGGAGCCGTGGCCAAGCTGTCTGCAGTGTAGGTGGCCTGAAGTGAGGTTGATGTTGTGTCCCCTTTGCTGTGCAGAGCCAGGGGCAGGATGGGCTGAGCCAGCTCAGGGGGGTGGACCAGGAGCTACAGAAAATGGGGGTAATGAAGTAGCTCTGCAGCATTTGCACCTGGGTGCCTCTGGTAACACTTTTCTTCTAAAAACTAGCATTTTCCCAGACGCTTCTGCACTACTGCAATATGCCATCCCTCCCCTCTGTTGTTTTTTTTTCCATGCTAAAGTTGGGGAGGGAAGGTGGGATGTGCAAAGGTCCTGTTGCAAATGTGCCACGGGAAAGCTTCCATGCATTGAGCCTTTGCAGAGGAGTGTTGCATAAAATGCTTTATTTCCTCCTCCTGAGAGCCCTGGATGGCACTGACCTCTCACCACCTTCAAAGGTGAAGGCAGCTTGCCTTTTTACCAGCCCTTAATCATCACCTCCCCTCTAACCTGCCCACCAGGGGCTGAATCCCAAGCAAAATTCAGATGAACCACCTGGGGAGAACAGGATTGCCAGCGAACCCCCAAAAAACCCATCACTCCACCAACCCGCGGGTGGGGATCATCACTCTCTGGGTGAGAGCTGGCAGCATCCTGCAGCTCCAAAGCATTTTACCTCTCTCCTTTCCCCACAGGAAGCCTTCACCTGGTTGTCACCACCCGAAAATCGCTGCCAAATCTGCCTTCCCTGCCCTCCCTGCTCGCAGCTTCGTGCCGCCGGAGACTGGCTGCTGGTCGCCGAAGGGCTCTCCCGTCCCACCGCTGCTCGTCGGGCTGCGACCCGCACCCCACAAGGCAGGGATCTCTGACCCCACAGTTCTTCTCTTCCTTTACTACTGCCTATCCGAAGGATAGGATTTTATTTTCTAAGACAAACTTACCGGCCGTTTTTAAGGTTAAATTCTTGTTATTCAAGGGGAAACTCTAATGCATGTGGTGACTTCTTTGTCGAAAAGAATTTTTAATTTTTTTATGGCATAGGCTTAATTTAATGGGCAGCGTCGGCACCTGCTTGGCTTTGCTATGGTATTTAATTCCATTTACTTGATTGCGAAGGGACATAATAGTCTAATCAGTCAAGGAACAAATGCTTTATGAAAACTTTGCCAAAAAAATCCTGGGTGGGCTTTTTTTCTTTTTTTTTTTTTGTTTTGTTTTGGGTTTTTTTGTTATAAGAAACAAAGCAAAGGAGAACTTTTGCTGGTCCCAGGAATGCGGTCACTCAACTTTAAAAAAAATTTAATCCATCTTTTTGATAGCTTCTTAGGACCCATTGAGGTTTTTTGCTAGGTTTTTTTGTACAGTTGCACTTTAATTTATACTCTCTGCAAGTTTCTATGAGAAGCAAGGAAGAGAATGACACATTAAGCCTTTTGTACTAATCATTTTAGGTAATGAAGACAAACACGGGATATTTTTGCCATCTACTGGCAGCTAAATGGACATTTTCAGCCTGAAGTCCCTTTTTTTTAAAAACACAAAATTGCCTTACTTTTGTTACAGATGATGCTTGGATTCTCACTAAGGTGACTTTACAGCTCCAATTTTTTCCAGAAGCCGCACAAAGTAGAAAGCTTCCAAAAAAAAAAAAAAAAAAAGAAAAAAAAAATCAGTTTTGCTGTTAAGTTCTCATAATGCCAAATCCAACAGCAGCAGTGGTTGGATTATAAACCCGGCAGCAGAACGATTTTGTTTTTAAAAGAAACACTGGAAATATTTGTAGTACTCTTAGGTTTTGTAACAAGCTTTTTATTATATTATCGTAATTAAATAAATACTCCGGGGCGGAGGATGGCTTTGGTGCTGTGCCTGGTGGCCCTCGGATGATGCGTGTCTCCAGTGCTGCTGTGTGAGCGGGTCATACCTGGTGAGGATGGAGAATCCAGACTCCTGCATGCAAAAATAACCACCCCAGAGCCAAAGCTGAGCAGCACCCAGGTTTTTAGCAGCTTTCGGAGCAGTGCTGAGACAGGAGCAAATGCTGAGCAAACGAGCAGCCCTCAATGGTTTTGGGTGCTGGAGATAAGCCCCTTTGGAAAGCAGGAGAGGGCAGCTGAGCAGCCGTAGGGACAGACATTAATTTCCATCCAGGAAAGAATTAGGAGCGTCCGTACCCCTGCTGTGAAATGTATTTGAGATGTAGAAGGCTGTTTAAACCATCACTCCCGACTGAGCATCTTGCCAAGTGGCTTGTCCTGGAAACACCTGTAGCCCAGTTGATGAGGGGCTGGTGCAGTAGATATAATCTGTGGTTCAGGAGAATGTAGATGTACAGATGTCTCGCCTCAAAATGACACTTGTCCTCTGGGATGTCCTCCCCAGCAGAACTAATGGCATTAAACGGCAGCGAATGCCCTTGGGAGGAAATATTTGCTTCCTGGAGGTGGGTGGGATTTCTAGGTGGTAGCATAAGCCCTTGTAGCACTTGGCATCTTCTCAGAGCCAGGGAAATGTTAACTCCTATATGGATCTGCAAAGCCAGGCCTGCTGAGAAGGCAGTAAGAGTGGCTCAGTTCTCCATATGGAGAGACACACAGAGATCAGGCAGCGGAGCAAGTGGGACTGATGGAAGTACCTCCACGAGGAACGTGTCCAATTAAACTGTCCCTCGCAGCCTTACCCAAATCCACGCTGCATTTTTAATTAATCTCAGAAGTTTCACTTCTTTTTTTTTTTTTTTAATATTTATTTTGCCTTCACACAGGCTGTTTTCTGGTTCCCGGCTGCAGAGAAGCTGCTGACCTCCAGTTACATTTTCCAGAGGAAAAGTTTAACTTTTACTCTGTGGTCAGTTTTTTGGAGTTGAGTTTTGCTGGTCCACACACGACCATCAGGGGAAGCAGGGTAGACCTCTTTGAACTACAGAAACTTGAATTACTCCAAGTGCAATTCTTCAAAAGCCACTGGACAGCTGTGCTTTGCAAGCCACAAACTCACCCAGACTTTTTGCTTCAGCCTAAGGGGGAGAGAGAGACAAAATGCAGAGGCTGGAGTTCAATTTGGCTCCAGCATTAACTTCCAGCTCCTGGATGAGTTAATTCAGAAATAGCTTGTACTGTACTAGTTGGCAAATATATATGTGTATATATAATATATGTATACATATAGAGGTATTATATGTATAAAATATATGTATACATATACTTTTTATATATAATATATGTATACATATATATGTATATATTATATATGTGTATATATATTAAAAAATGTAGGTGGCATCCCTGTGATTGGTAGGTAGGTGTGTGCCCTGGGCACCTGCCATGGCACAAAATAATCCTGGCGTGCGAGAGGACCTGGAGAAAAGGGGTGATATTTTTACACCCTCTTCTAGGTAAAACCCCTGAGTAGCTTAGCTGACCCTGTCCGACCCAGCGTGGGGAGGAGAGGTGGCAGCACGAGCCAGGAGTATCCTCCCACCCTCCCTGGCTGAAGCCCTGGTGCCCACAGGGTTTTGGGGCAGTTTTGTGTCCGGGAGTCAGAGATGAGCAGGTGGAAAGCAGCGGGATTTTGGTTTTTTTTTTCTCTTAAGGGGTCAAAAATGCATCTTCAGCGTGTACATCCAATCCAGCATTTCGTAAGGGATGTAGAAGCACAGGGGTATATTTGGGCAGTGTTGTAGAAAGTGAAGCGACTGGTTAGTATCTGTTGTATATACATTTTTTGGGGTGTAATTATAAAGGCATTCGCATTGGAATAGATGAAGTTTGAACAAAATAACCATTCTGTCTGCTCCTTTTCATTTCACTGCTCTTTTGTCGTCGGTTGTCTTGTGAGCACCCACATGGAAGGAAGAGAGACCTACACGCAGGACACGAGATTGTGCCTTCGATGTACGTTAGGACTGCTGGAAGCTGCAGCTTTATTTCACGAGGTGCACAAATCCCCCGGGTTATGCAGAATCCCACCGGTGAGACATGCGGGCCGTGTTTCTAAATACTTGAAGTACCATTTCTTGTGCAATTATTTGGCTTCGCCCTTTCGTTAAGCTGAGAGGAGAGGGGGGAAGAAGAAGAATGGCACATCCATCCCTTCGGATGAGCCAAACAAATCCCCGCTCTGGCTCCTGAAGTATTTTACTGGAAAGTTTTAGGATGTGTTTTTGTTTCAGGTGTATGACGTACCTCCTAGAGTCACCTTTATAAGGTCTTATTTTGGTATGGGCTTGCCATTTAGCGCTTTCCTTTGGCTTCCTTAGCCCTTCCCTTATATATATTTTCATCATTCACTTTTTAAGAAAAGCAACAGCTTCCTGTAAATTCTGAATTTCCAGTCTGCCTCTTGGGCATGGAGTTAACGATTCATTCAGAGGTACCTCACTCCCACATCTGAGAGATGAACTGGTTTTTAGAATTCCCACATTATACCTATTGACCAAACACTGACTTTTTTGCTGAGAGCAAACCTGGTGTTACATGTATTCGAGGCACATTATCTTTGCTCGGTTTTGGTCATCAAAATTAGGAGGCCTGGATGGTAAATCAGAGCTCTGGTTGCAAAGTATGAGTACGCTTTTGGTGTTACGAAAAGTCTGTTTTCAACAAAAGCCTTGGAATTCCTGCTGAAGCTGCCTTAATTTAAAAATCAAAGTTTATTTGTGAGACTCATCTCTATGGTTTTTTTCAAGTTTTGAAATAGTTTATTTGTCCTCATCTCACGAAGCTGTGAAGTAGGTACTGTAGACATGGTAATATTTATTCCTGTTGCTGAAAGCATGTTCATGTGTTCTGTATCATGTTATATCCACATGTTTTGTACCTCAATGCATTTTGGTTTGTTTTTTTTTAATCTTAGAGCACAAAGCAAAACTGAACCTGAGGATAACTGTAGTGTCCGTGGCCCAGCATCTCTGGGCAGACAACCCTCAGCTCGGTGAGAGAGATGAACCAGACTAGTCCAGTGCAATTTTTTTATTTGTACTATAAGGAGTATTTATGATTTATGATATTACGTATTTATGGGGTTTTTTGATGAAAATACAGAATTTTTAAAATCTCTGGGTATAAGCATCCCTTCAAACATATCATTGACATCAAGCTCAGAAAAAAATCTGTAAGTACTCCATCCTTCTTGGCATTTTCTAGTTTGTCAACTGATGGACTGTAGAAGGTTTTGTTTTCAAATGAATTGCTTTAGTACTTTCTGGGGCTGGCTGTGGTGGAAGGGCACGGAGCCTAGGTTCAGTTTTGTCCTTTGTGCAAGTAACTGTGCATTAGATAATCACAACGAAGCCTTTTACCTTCCATTTATGGTGTGGAAAGTGTTTCTCGGTGTACTGCACTGCATGTGATAGCTGTCTCCATGGTTGACATTTGCACTTTAATAAACTCAGAGATGAAAAGAGGCAAGAGCAACAAATCCTTAAACCTTACTTATTGCACAGTCCCTTTTTTCAGGCTGGGGCTGGCTGGTAGAGTTTCCTTCTGGAGATGTTCCCGGCGCATCCCAGCTGCGGGGCCATGGATGCCCCCAGGGCTTGGGTGGGGGGCAAAAGGACAGGGAGGGGAATTAAAATATATAAATGGATAACAGAAACAGCTTCCCCAACCCAAAATACGTGCCAGCAGCCAGGCACAAAGGTTTTTCTTCTGTATTAACTTGCATCCAGCAGAGCTGATGGACCTTTGCTGACTGAGATCGTGATGCCTTACGCAAAAGCATGAAGAGGAGCCTTTTCAAGGTATTGTGCAAAAATAACCTTTTATTGCAGGATAGGTACTGGGGGGAAAGGGGGTATTTGGGTACTGGGGACTTAGTTCATAGACGCCTGTGATGCAGAGGGAGGTAAATCCAGTTAAAGCACAAAGCTGCAGCGAGTGCTCCAGTGTCATCCCTAGCCACACTCTTACTTTTTAAACAATTTAGGTTACAAGGAATTGGCTTCTAAGAAATTTCAATTTGCTTTCGGATTGAGCAAATGAGAACAGTTATCATGATGATCTCCACTTTGAGAAGGAAGGTGGGGGAACAGGGTTTAAAACTCCCATGAGAATTACTTCATGTTTGGATGTGCTTAGGGTGTACCAGCAAGGCTATAAAAGAAAAAAAAAAGGAAGCATTTAATTTCCTGACCAATATCTTGACCTAAATATAGCCAACCTGTGGTTTAATGGAGGAAATCTAAGTTGCTATATGTAAAGCATTTTTTATATTGTCTTGAGTCATCCCATATCAAGCACTTTCCTGCTGTACATGTGCTGGAATCTGTCCATGAAGAAAAGTAGCTTTAAGTGCATTGCAAGGCGTCCTCCCGTGAAGTCAGCGGCCAACATTGGTCCAGAAGTTTGTGTTTCACATCGAGTTGGGTCACACCCCACAAGGACTGCATGTAATTGCAACAGGATTGGGGTCTGGTCACGTATATCACAGGATATATGGGGAGATTTTTTTTTTTTTTTAATTTAAAAAAAAAAAATAGTTAAATAACTTCCTTAGGAGACAAAAATGAACCAGCACATGTGGCTAATTTAAGATTTGCCTATAGTGCTTACAGGGTGTGTGATTAATAGACTTCAGGAGTTGTGAGCTAGTGCTGGATGGGGAGGAGGAAGAGGAAGGCGTCGAGGAAGGAGGTGTTTTCTTCACAGGATCACTCCTAAACATGGCTGCGGAAAAAAAATCCTCCCAGGTAAAGTGTCTCCACAACTTCCATTGGGATAATTCCCCGCAAAGGCTGTAGGTGAAGGACATAGAGCACGTCCCAGCCTCCTCTGAAGCCAAACACGCACTTCAGCTCCCCGAACTCTCCATCTCCGCTACAGAAGTCTAAATATTTGGGCTGGCAAGCCTGCAAAGCTGTGCATGCTTACAGGGGATTGTTTTATTTATTTTTTTTTTTTTTATTGCAAGGATGGATGCAGGCCAACGCACTTAATAGTAACCACATGGTAAAATAAATAAGAATGCCTGTATAGACTTAAAAGTAAATGTTAAATATTTGCTCTGTTTTTTCTGATGTCTTCTATGCCAGCTTTGAAAGGGCCGTGTGGCAAATAGGGCTTTTATTTTGCTCTGCTTTCTTAAGCCTGGAACATTTAATAATTTCTAATTAAACCATCTACATTTTTAGGATATTTATGAGCAAAGTGATACAGGCTCTTAAAAATGTGCCAGGGAGGGGCAGAAGCTCTACACTTCTACAGTCATATTTTGGGGTTTGTTGTTTTGTTTTTTTTTTCTTCCAAAGCCATGCAAAAACTCTATCCCCATTTTTCTGGTTTTGAAAAGGTATCCACTGGATACAGCGAGGAGAAGCCGTTAGCAATTTATATTTCTCTTCCTACATTTAGGAGCATTTTTCTTCAAATAAGCAATCATCCTCCAGGCCCACAGTGGAGAATAGCCCAAACACAGGGGCAACTGTTGGGTAACTGCCTGCTGCTGCGAGTCGGGGGGAGCCAGAAGTCAGCCTTTACATATCTGGGATGCCTAAGTTAGCTTACAAAAATAAAGTAAATTTTGACTGAATGCTTTATTTACTCTTTTAAAAATGTTTTTTGGAAAGAAATGAGTCAAGTTTTCCACTATTTTATATATTTAACCCAGCAAGACTTCTTGTCTCAAGACCAAAACCAGTTCATATTTATATGGTTTGCTTTCCAAAGAGCAAACCTTTTTGGGGTGTCTTCTAATTCCAGCACCTAAAACAGGCACTAATGAGATGGAGCAACTAAACCACACAACTATTTTCATGTAAATGCAGACATGTTACAGGTATTTTAGAGATGACCCACCAAGATACTCCAAAAAGTGAAAAATCCTGAAAATACCTATTGTCGAGCTAATCAGTGAAGATATGCTCTAAATAACAAAGAAAAAAAAAAAAGAAAAGGAAACATCTCTTGCATGTTTAAGCATAAAAAATAAAACTTTATTTACAATCACATCAGCTCTCCACAGCTGACCAATGTGGACTCTCATGAAGCACAGAAGAGACCTTCAGGGGTGCTCCAGGGGAGAGCAGTTCTCGGAGCAGTTTTAGTACTGTCTGTCTCAAAAAAAAAAAAAAGAAAAAGAAAGTTTCACAACAATGGGCACCTGGGCAATAGGAGGTTCATTTGTATCAATTATGCATGAGCATGCAAGGAAATGATATTGCAGCAAGGGATTTAAGGGTGTGTTTTGGCACGGAGATGCACACCGAGTGGCCCATGTTTGCAGCAGATGTGAATTAATATGGCATATCTGAAGGCAAGTCAAGAATCTCCAATTTATACAAGTCATGACTGGACGGGGCTTTTTTTAGCTGCAGTTGGACTGGAAACCTGTGTAACAGCAGAATAGCAGACTAAAACTGGAAATACTTATTAAATATTAAATACGGGCTGTTTACATTAACCTTCCCCTGCCTTCAGAAGTTTTAAGTACATTTCACCAGATCTCAAATATCTCAAATATCTATACACAGGAAGGAGGAGAAAATATGCATCATAATAAAGAAAAACCGAGTTTACCTGAAGTTCAAATGCTCCACTAGAACATATCCATCTGAGAGAAAGAGAAAAAAAGTAGTAAATTAATAAACTCCTGAGCAAATAAAGTCACAGTGGCTAAGCACAAAGAACATACTGTTGCTTGGCCCTCAAAACTGGAGTGAGAAGTGGCCACCCATGCCAGAGACTTTCTACAAACTCACATCTGCCCTCCGAATTGCGGCAAATCACTGCGTTGCCCTCCGTGACATCGATAACATCCAGCTGCTCTCCAGCTGTGAGTGGGAGATCAACGCTCCTCTTACTGGGGACCGAGCACTCGGCCGTGGCTGTGTTGATGACGTTGATGTCCTTATCGTACTGCAGAGAAAAAATAAAAAGCACGAGTTAATTCTAGACTCACGTGCAACGTCTTTAAGGGCGGCGGGGAGGGATGGAGAGATCTCAGAATGGGTTGTGGGGCTTCACATGGGGCTGAAGAGAGTGGGGAAGCCAATAATGTGCCTGATGAAGATCACAGATTAGGGGAGAACACCCCAGGTCAGTTGGGCATCTCTTCCAACCTAGATAAGGACTAACAACTTCCCACCATGCATCTCTTAAGCATGTCACATGGCTGCTTTCCTCCTCTGACACAGCTAATTCTCTAAATAGAGACACATACCATAAATGTTTCTCTAAAAATCTTCTCTTCTTTTTCCATCTTCTTGCTTTTTTCTGAATTACTCTTCTTGACTTTGAAGATCTTTCTGCATTGAGAGAGAGACATGCATTTCTGAGCTCCATTCACATAACCCCTGGGAAATACAGAGTTTAAGTCCAGTCTTCCCTGCAATGAACTCTCAGCAGAGCAAAGCACACCATTCACATCTCTATTTTTCATAAAACAATGACTATACAACTCAAACTTGGTGAGCATAATCTGAGCCATTTTGTATCTCCACTTGGAATAACTGTTTCCTCTGTAAGCAGCATGGGAACAAACAAACAATCGAGTGTTTCAAATCAGTCATGTTTTTTACAGAAGTCAACAATTCACTTTTCCCTCAGCAATTTATCTCCTCCTGGTTTTATTTATATTCAGACATAAAGGGTCCCCAGATAACTCTCATCCCGAGTCATTTATGGAAGTGGGGCTCGACACAGCTCTCCAGATTTTTGTTGCTTTTTGAGCACACAGAGGAGAAAGTCACCCATAGTGGAGATGCCACTCTTTCTGGTTTGTACATGAAATCCCAGCTGTGACATTCATTTTAAAACTAAGGCAGGAAAAACCTCCAAACAAGCAAAAACCACCTACTTGCAATGAATTATCCACCCTTGGCTAACTTTTGTGCACTTAAAATTAAGAGGAAGGGAAACAAGAGCTGAGATTCAGGATTTTTAAGCTGTATAGAGATTCCTCCTCAGCAGCCTCAGCCTGCAGGACCTGGGATCTCTGAGGAACAAATGAAATTGCATTGGCTTCCTGACAGTCTGTAAAATTACACACATGACTCTGCACAACACAACAAGGGGTGTGTGAGCAACCCCACGCAGGAACTCTGTGGTAAGAACCCATAAAATATATCTCTGATTTGCATTTGTTTGAAGTCCCGGGTACTGGGTCATGAAAAACCTCATCGCAACACACATTTTTCTGCTCTAAAAGGGAAATGAAAATTCCTACTTCCACGTGAATTTTTGCAGCACCGGTAACAAAAAAGTTGTCATTTTGCTTTTATGCACAAATGCTACAGCAAAAGGCAATTAATAAACCCAACTGGAAAAAGAAGACCCAAGAAATCAATACTTTTAAACAAGGCCAAGGGGAACACACAGGCAATTACTACACTGTGTAAAGGGCTTCTAAACACAGTGCTCTTGCCAAAATAGCAATAACTGATCCACAGAGATCAAATATTAAATTAAGGCAGAATTAAAGAAGGAATGGGAGTGACCAGGGCAGAAAAGCAGCTAAATATATATCAGGTAGCGTCTTTTTGTGTCGGCTAAGTGAGAAGACACGATACAACTTCAGGATGAGACCCTCAGGGTATCCCCTGCTTGCGTACAGCTCAGCTCCAGGAGTTTGTTTTGCCCTCAAGATACTTTCTGCAAAGTTTCCCGAGAGCTGAGTTCAAAGGGAAAGGACCCCGGAGCAGGAGCCAACACTAAATCTGTGCACAATCAGGGCCACCCCATTCCTGCAAATGGCTTAGAGATGCCTACAAAGTTAGACAACATGGGAAAACATAGAATAGAAACCAAGACCTTTCCACATCATCGCTGCTTTTCCTTTGGTCCTTATCCTCTCTTGCCAGCAGAAATTTTGGCCTCCAGGTTTTGTACTTGTCATCCTTCTCTCTAAGAGGAGGGGAAAGAGTCACACAAAAATTCAATATTTTCCAGCAGACTGTGTCCCCTCCCCAAACCCGTGTACCTACAAAGTTGTGATTTTTCTCCCTGTCTCCCCCCACAACCACCCCTGAAACACAAACACTTGCTGCGATTTATACCAGCACGCACTGCCGCCACAATCGTCTGGCAGCAAGACATCAAGACATGCTGTTCCTATTAAAAGTAATTTTTCTGACAAGGAGCTTGCCAGGACGGGGCTGATTATTGGGTCTGGGAGCTGGAGTTTTCCTTCCTTAGGAAAAACTACCTGAATTTTCACGTCTTTCAGGGAGCAGCTCTCTCTTTTTCACGTTTCTCGCACTAACTAGGTAGCATTGAAGAAACTTTTTGTGGGATGCTCCTTGCCAAATCAAACACACATGGGGAGGGCACCTGGCCTGAGTCCCGACCAGCTCATGACCCACGGTGGCTTGCAGTACCGCAGGCTCCCCAGGGCACAGGTTGGTGCCAAGAAGAACATCTCCTTGGCCCAAGGCCAGGCCCAGGAGAGGACACCCGCCTCACCTCGGCTCTCCCTGCCCCATCTCGACGTCGTCGTACACCGCATCCTCCTGGGAAACAGCCGCTGTCAACCAAAATGCAACAGAGAAAATTATTAGGAGATGTCATTCTCAGCCTGGTACTCAAAGGGCTGGATTACAGAGGAAAATTGGGGCTGCTGCTAGTCGCTCAACCCAAAGGGGCCAAGGCAATGTGAAAGGAAGATCCCTGGGACTCTGACAACACGAGGCAGGATTCTTGGGTTTGTTAGTTGTGTTTGCGGGCAGTTTTCTGCATGGGCTTGGCCATCCATCTCCAGGAATGGAGCGGGAGCAGCAGCAAAGCCTCCAACTTTTCCATCCCACTTTCAGGGTTCCCATCCTGAGGACATAGGTCCATTCCCTCCAGCACCTTTCCAAGGCTGGATTAGTGGGGACAGTTTTTCCGTCCACCCCCATTTACACAAGGCATGAACTTGTCCCTCCATCAGGCAGTGATAAGCAGTAAAGTTTTATAGAGTGCTGCTGGAGAGCAGTTGGCTGTTGAACACCACCACCAGCCTGAAAGCAGTGGCTCGGCGTGGATCACTTCCCACGATGCCTTCCTAAATATATTCAGATCTGCAAGAGGAATGCTCCTCTTCAAAGAAAACCACCTAAAAACATGCAAAAAACCCACCCTCAAATGAAGCACAAATGTCTACCAAGTCTTTAAAGGCCACGCTGCCACATTACAGGACTTTGAGAAAGGCACACTGCTTAAAGTTATTTTTCCTTCATTTAATAAATTTGCCTCTTTATACACACAAATCCCCAAGAGCCAGATACATGCCCGTTGCTTACCTAAATTTGATATTGAGACGGAAAACAATCTGTGGATAGAAAGAGGTTTTTAGAAACAAATTTGCCCATCAGCATTGCCCAAAATGCCATGAGCACCAACAAGGTGGCAGCACACAGCTGAAGTGATGGATGCAGGTCTAGGTGCCACCATGACACCAACCACATTTACCAGAATTACATCCCTTGCTAAATTAGCATCTCCACCCTCTGGCAGCAACAAGACCCACGTGTTGTTCATCAAGCAGGTTATGAAAGATCTGCATCGCATCCAAAGAACAGTCCAAATGGGCAAAAGCACCCTCTTCCTGCCCACCCCTTCCCAATAGCTGGAGGGTTGGTGGACAGTTGGTAACTGTACTCAATAGTAATTCTCTCTTTGTAGTCTGCCAATATAATGGGTTGCCCAGGAATTTAAATGTGACAATGACCGTAGACATCCAAGATGCTTGCAGGAACTTTAAGGGTTCTTTGCAACAAGACAACGTTATGAAACCTGGTGACTCCTTCCCTATAATGATATTTAGCATTAATGCAGGAAGGAGTCACTGACATGGCACAGCACCTAGTGGGAAAAGATTTTTTTAAGCAAACAAACCTTCCTCAGATAAATGAGGAAAGGGTTAATCTGGAATTTCCAAAGAAATAAGAAGTAGCAGCGTTTTCTTGGCCTTCAGGCACTGTGCTCAGGGTGAGGCACACGCTGGCGGCCGTGGAGGATGGGCTCTGCAGGCAGCTACTGTGCACTTAAGGAAAAGGCAGTTTCCATGGAACCTTAAGCAGGATTTTGAATATTAAAGTAAGAATACCCGAAAGGGCACTATAGGAAGTTATTCAATATCCTCTATCCTAACTTGTTGGACTACAAACTCAAGAGTAAACTTCTTCAGCAGATGCTGTGGCCAGATTGACTATAAATGGTACCCTTGAATAAAAAAACCCCTCAACCCTTAGGAACCACATCAGAAGCCTTTGCCAAATCCTGGACCACAGGTCTAGGCAGCAGCTGTCACATTTCTATGTTTCCTTGTGTAGCTGCACCATGCTGAGGTATCAGGAAGATTCCAAAGGCAGCAGAAAGCCTATGAAAACTTGGATGCTGCTGTAGGACCAACTGCTGTACATTCCTCATGCTAGAGACTTTGGAGAAGCTGCACAGACTGACTACTGGCCACAACTGCCATAGCAGCTCCTAATGAGTTGATAGAAGCCCTTTTGGCACAATATTCCAGATAAAGCTGTATTCCTTACTCCTAGACCTCCTACTCTCAAATTACAGCAAATAGGAATGCTCAGGTTTGGAGGGGGGAGTAAGGACAACCAAAGTTTTCTTACCTGAAGTTTTCCTTGAGCTTGATGTTCCTCAGCTTCAACTTGTCAATCTTAAACAAGTTTCCAAATCTCTTTTCCTTTTCTGTTCTGTCCAAGAGAGAAACAGATTTTAAACTAAAGAGGCACCAGGCACTGAAGTACATCAGAGCTGCAATATTCATAGCCCCAGAGATCCTGAAGCAAGTAAAGGAAGCTCAGCAGACCTTAGACCTCATCTTAGCAGTACGGCTTAAGATTTAACAGCATCATGTGGATGAATGATGGATTCAATGGGACAGGCACCAACACAGCAAAAGGTGCTTAATTATAAAGTCCAAGCTCAAACCTTTGCTTAGCTTTACGCTTTTCTGTGTTAATTGAAGTTGTCCTCCTGGGACCCAACCGCTACAGAATGATCCAGGTTTATGTGGAGTAAAAAATCCTGATGACAGGGACAAAAACTCCCCAGAAGCATGCAGTGCGCCTCAAAGGAGGACACCAGGAGCATCTGTCTGTGCCACCCTTCATCGCACATTTCTATCATGTGTGCTTTTAAGAAGGACATTCCACTACACACACTCTTCTCTGAAGCTTACGGGGGTTGAAAAGCTACACAGAGATTTTCTACTAAAGTATTGGTTCTGCAAAGATCCAAGATCCTCACATGGGGGACATTACCCACACACAAGTACTATTAAAAATACTTTATGTGTATCAGCACGTCTAATCCTGCGTGTGGGATCAGTAGAAAGATTCCATAAAAACTGACTGGGGGATTAAGACACTGACCCTTGCACCCCGCGAATTTGGTCCCAACTCTAGTTTTGTGATGAAGTTCCCTTGCAAACCCAGCAAGATGCTCTCCTCCTCTGTGAATTAGCAATAGAGTTTAATTTCTGCTGCTCTTCAGCAGCATTGTGCAGAGAGAAGAGGCTTGGATATGCTTCCCTGTGGGTGTGGGACAGGCATGGTTGGTCCAGGAGCCAGAAACAAAACTACCCACTGACTGAAAAAGTTTGTGCATCTCCACCACCCAACTCCCATGGACAATTTTCAGAGAAATGACACTTTGACCTTTTAATAAGTGCCCAGTTACCTCTGGGGTTTCAGGTTCCCAGTCCTTTTCCCCTCTCCAACACACACACAGGCTCTACACGGACACATCAGCTAGACTTGAATCCAGACGCAAGCCAGTATGAGTCTCACATCCGTAAAGGGAGAAGCATCTGTACAGCAACACCTTATTATTCCTCCCACACTGCTCCTTAGAAGAGAGCCACCAGATGCACTGGGAGCAGTTGTGTGCAGCATCCCCAGCCCATATGCCGTTCCCAAAGGCTGTCTCTATTTCTTACAAAGGGATGCAGGAAATCTTTTACTGCGTGAGGGCAGGGAACCACACAAAGCTAGTAAGTAAAAACACGACTGACTTCATGTTTCACCTCTTAATCCATTTGGGAAGCTCAGGCAATGCATAAACCTGAGGCTGCAAAACTCATTGCTTTTATAACACACCCTGTGGAAGCAAATATCTTGAGAAGGTATATAAAAAAAGAGCAGGTTGCAAGTTAGTTACAGCATGTCAGCTGCAGGCACTAGCTCACTGCTTGGGCTCCTTTCAGCTTTCCAAACTTCTGTGATCTGAAACGTGAGCATTTTGTCCCTTTTTTTGAGGCGATGATGCCCCTATTTGTCCCTCGGGCAGTGCCCCTTTTCCCACACACACATGGGGTTGAGGCCCCATCCCTGGAGATATTCAAGGAGAGAGAAAAAAATGTGTAATTTCTCAGCCACAACCGAGCAACGCTTTTGATCAAGAGAAGGGTAGCAAGATTGTCCTTTCTGTTTTATGCAAGCAGATGTCTGTAAGGGGAGTACAAGCTCTAATAGAAAGGCCTCACTGCTTAGGGGGTTAATTTTGGTAAGTATTTTTTACTTCTTAAGTGTCAGCCAAAGGGGAAAGAGGGAGGAGGAGAGGGAAGAAACCCATCCATACAATTGCATCTCTGCTGTTGCATTAGGGAAAAAAAAGAAAATGGCTTCCAGCCAATACCTGGCATGTGAATTCAATGAAGTATGGTCAGTATTTCAAAATACAGGCTAAGAAACTGCAACTTACTCTGATTTTGCTGGATTATCACCCCCAATGTCAACATCTTCATATGTTTCTTCGCAGTTGCTTCCTGAAACTTCAAACCAAGGCATGCCATTATCACAAACCACGTTCAGCAGTGATGAGGTGAGGTTTGCTGGACAAATTGCACCCAGGCCATTCCATTTTACTCTTACAGAGGTTTCGGGTTTGCTCAAATGAATTCTATGCTGGACACATGTATCGCTCCCCACTAGTTTTAATGGGAATTTAGAGCAACCAGGCCAGAAGGAGACACTATAGATGTTGAAAGTTAAATGAAGCTATTCACATCATCTCCCAGAGACCATCCCAAATTAAAAGCAGCCCCCGTTCGAGCTTCCCCATGTGCTGCACTTACTGCTGGCTGATGCAGACTGACTTGAGGTGTCTGATGCTTGGCTGCTAAAAGACAGAAATATTACATGGGGATGTGCTGCAGTGTAGTTTTTAAAAGACATTTCATAGATAAATCCATTGCAAAGAGCCTAGGTCCATACTTACAGTCTATCTTGTATTTCCCCAACGTCATCATATATATCCTCTGGTGCCTGCAGAGATGGCAAAGTGTTTCGGTTCAAGGCTGTTCCTTCCACCCCTGGCTTTGAAGCATCAACGTACACATAGGGCACTGGAAATGAGAAAGAACCTTTGCTTTAGAAGCTTTTCTGAGGAACATCTCTCAGGGCAAGGATGATTGTTGAGGGTAACAGTTGACGCCACAACAAATAAGAGCCTGCAGATATACTTTCCATTCCAGGAGACCATGAAAGTCTCTGGTCTGATCCACATTTAGAGAGAAAAAGCATTTAACTTTAAAACATTTAAAAGTTTTAAAATATTTTAGGTTTCAAAAAATTAAACTATCCATCAATAATCCCAGTGTGGCAGCTCTGACCCAAATTCTCTTCACCAAAAAACATCCCAAGAGACTTTTCATGGATGTTTGCAGAGTGACTGAAGGGAGGGAGGGCTTTGCATCATTGATAGAGATGCTAAGATCCAAATAACAGACCAGCCCATTGGGAATACACCTGTAAATCAACATCTCAGAAAGGAGACAATGACAGAGAGTATCCCAGAGATGTGGTTCACCAAGGGCTGGAGTAGAGCATGAGAGTTGCACCTCATGAGGTGAGAAAAAAATTATTACTGGAGGACTCTGTTAAGTGGCAATATTAAATCCTAAAAACTGGTTTAAGAGAGTTGGAATAATGCAGAAATACAATCACACAAATAAAAGCAGATAGTGTTTTTGAATGAACACAGGCGTACCAGAAACACGCACCATCACGATATGGTCTAGTTAATGACCAAAATATCTGCAAAACATTCTAACCCCCATGAAGAAGAAAAGGAGTGAGGGGAACCAAACAGTTCTCTGCATCAGCCTCTCCGGTGAAGCAATAGCAGAAGACTCACCATGAGCACTTTAAAAAAAAAAATCCCTACAGAAATTACCTCCAGCTGTTCAAAGCTCAAGCAAACCAGCAAGATTTCTTAAAAAAAAAAAAAAAGAGACCAATCAAACCAGAAAATTACTATGAAGTGATTTAAAAAAAATAAAATAAAACAAAACAAAACAAAAAACCAAACCAAACAAACAACAACCAAGGACCACACCAATACCAACCACCACAGTCAATTTACACTGCCTCCTTCACACTCCTGGGCTGTCCACAGAGCCCATCAGAGCTACCTTTCTCTCTTTCATCCTTGAATTGCTGCCATATCTCACTAACAGCTTGCAGAGGCAGGAGTTGGCCTTTGCAGAATAGAGCCTATGCACACTTAGACCTGAAGTTGCAAAATGGTGTTTACAGAGGAGACGTGACTGGGTTTAATTGTGCAGTTAAGGTGTGTATTACCAGCTCTGGACCTTATCTCAGAGCATCATGACAGAAGGAGCCCAAAGTCAGAAAAAGGCTCACTGGAACTACTAAGATGACAGAGCAAGGAGCCATCATCCTTCTTAATAAGGAGACTTCAGGCTCTCGTCCTGCTCGTGCGTATTTCTACCACAAGCCTCAGCCAAACCCTTTTCTGAGACTCAATAAATTATGAGAAGCAGAGGAGATGGATTTCAGCTCTCTCGGATAAGGGAAATCTGCTAGAAAAACAAACACCTTGGTTTGAGTTATGCAGACGGTTAACCAACTTAGGAAGCTATTTGCCAAGCCAAAATAAATGATTCAGACCAGAATACAAATGCGCATGCAACCTTTTGCCCTGGTTTAACTAAATTGGTTCAAGAGTTGCGTCCAAATTTAACATTATTTCCCATATGGAAGAGACATTTGGGCAACAGATGGGATTGAGGAAACACTCAACAGCGCAACGAGATACTCACAGAACTCTGCTCCGTCTTTTGCCAGCCCTTGTGGGGTTGGGGGCCTTGCAGTCTGGGTACTGGTCACATACTGCTTCCCATGTGGCACCTTCATCCCACCTCTACCATCTTCCTCAGTTTGGCTGATGGCAGATATGTATTTGTTTCCACCTGTCTGAGATCAGACACTTGGTTTGGTCAACACAGTCTTTAGAAACGGCTTTCTAATGTAAATTAACATAACTTACACATGTACGTCTATAAGAATATAAGTTATCTTTCTGTGGGATTAAAACAGTTTCATGCCCTTTTCCATCAAGGATTTCTGGTAGATATAGGTGTTGCTTTGCAGCACTACCTGCCTTTTAGGCAGTAGCAGTTGAACAATGAGCAGGCAAAAGGGAAAGCAGAAAAAAACAAGTGACCGGGGACCCAAATTTCAACTGTTTCCCAAAGAAAAGGAGGATAGAAGAAGAGACATCCTACAGTTAATTATTAAAAGCAATCTCAAGGATACCATACTTCAAAAATTTTTTTTCCTTCATGTTTCTCTCTTTCAAGACTTGTTTTTTCCTCTTTTTCATCCTCTATTATAGTTCTTCCAGGACTGAAAATGTCAGAAATGAGAGACATCTCAGAACAGAGACACTTTAGCAAAGTCACAGACAGACATATTGCTTTATGATTGTGCTCAAATAAGCAGCTCATTTTCCGTCTGAATGAGGTAGATGCCAAAAAGACCGTCACTACTAAAAGTAAGGGCAATTCCAAATCTAAAGGCCACTGGTTATTTGGGTAATAGCAATCACCCTCAGAAAAGAGAAAAACTAAGATGATTGTTTTCTAGTAGCAGGAATAGACAAGCTGGATCCATTTGCCAGTGGTGGTACCTGGCTCAGAAGATGTGCCTCTCACCACACTATATTGCAATTTAGGGAAGAAGATACAGCAACGGGAGGTAGAACATGAAACCTTTTTTCCAGCATCACAGCCATTTCCCATTGAGATGACCCTCTTTTATCACATGATTCTTCCATCCCCATCAAAAAAACACCCTTCAGCCAGTGACAGTAATTATATACTGCAAGGAGTTTGAAATGTGACATTTATAGTAGGAAATTCAGGGAGGACCTTGCCTTTACCACAGCTTTGGACCTGGAACTCCATTTCCCAGCATGAGAGCCTCACACCTCTCCCTTCTTATATTGAGAGAGTTCAGGTTTCAATGGGAAACGACAATGTATTTTTTGTGTGCCAGAGGAGAGAAGAAAACCTCCCCTCCAGATATGCTTTAGAATGGAAACAATCTTAGAAACCATGAGTGCTGACACAGAAGAGCATCATTGTCTACATTGTTCTGGTCGTGAAATATATGAAATTTCTTTCTATTTACTGAGTGTTACAATATTCTAGCCCTAACCTGGCTTGGTTGTGGGGTTAGAAGGAGCTTGAGAGAAAGGAAAGGAAATTACCTGGATTTGGCAAAGAAAAAAGTCTTCTGTTTCTAGAATAAAGAAGAGGAAAGCCTTCAGCCACTGTGCTTTTCTCAACAGTCAGGCTTTTATACAAGGCCTCAACTGTCATCTCATATTTAAAGACGTATTTCTTTAGAAAGCCCAGAAGCATTTTACGTTTGGAATAGTCATCAGACAAGGATATTTCCTCTACTTCGCAGGACAGGGGATACACATATTGACAAACTATACAGGGATAATGTAACAGTGCAAAGGATCAGGCCAATGAAGCTACTGGTCAGAATGAAAGCAATTACAGGTTGGAGAGCTTACAGAAGAGGAGAAAGATGTTTTTTTATTAAATAAAGATTTTTTCCAACCTACCATAAAATAAGACTAGAGTCAAGCCAGAGAACCTCTCTGCAAATCACGCACAGATAAGTGCATTTGGAAACCTGTGCTATTTCCTGTACAATTTGATTGCTTTGCAAGTCAGGACTTGAAAGTGGAGTTTGATGTTTTCCAATGAGTAGTTTCCTCTCTGTTATCACGGCCAGAACTGATAACCAGTACATGATTATCTCCTGGCATGAGATGATTCTCCTGTTCTCTCAGCCCAGCCACCCCCTGTGAGCCTGGCCATGCAGCCAAGCAGGTCTTCTCTAGGGACAGCTGTAGCAACTCCTGCCCTGTGCAAGGCACTATCCTGCCTTCACTGCAGGTCATCCCCATCACCAAGGTGAACGCCACCCCCTTTGTAGCCAGGATAAAATGAAAAGGGTCAGGTCACAGTTTGCAGCAGAGATATCCCTGCAGCAGGGGATGAAAACCCATACAGTTGTGCCCACAACAGTCGCCCTCGCTTACGAGTCAAAGCTTGAAGTGTGCTGCTGTGAAAAGGAATCTGGCTCAATTCTTTTATGCTTTCACAGAGGGATTACCATCACCAGTCCACTTTTGACAGGAAATTCCAGAACATTTCAGTGGATTTTTCCTCCAAGAATTCATGATCTTGATGTCGGTGGTTGACACTTACTTGGTCTACCACCAACATCCAGATGGTGTTATCACTTTCTTACATGTTTGCAGAGGAAGTCAAGGAAAAGGACTCTCTCCCCTACTGTGTTTGGAAACCCCATTAGTCCTCACGTTCCCTCTGAAATTACTTATTTATTTTTTGAGAGTTTTCACAGACAGCACAACACACATAAAGAAATACTCAGCAGATAAGAAATACAGATATTAAAAATTTCTAGGATAGGAAAGTACTCTAGATATGGTACAGTCAAGCCTAAAAGATCAAAACCAGCTGTGAGGAGACTTACCTTGTCTTCTTCAGGCTCTTCCTTTGGTACTAGAAAAGATATTTGTGAATAAATATTACTTTTTAGTCTATGTTAAAGTCACTGCACTTTAAGTTGCAAAACTCAGCTTCAGCCCACATGTTCCACGTCCCAGCACACATTCACCACGGTACGTTCACCGTGTGCTACTGCCCAGGGTCCTTCAATTTGCTATTTGAGTGTTGGCTTATGCTCAGAGGACTGCAGCATCCAGCTTGGATGGCCACAGTTTTCATAGCCCTTGGGGCAAACCCTAAAGGGCTGTGGTGCCCCCCCCAAGGAAGTTTCTTGGCTCCTGTTCCAATGGGAGAGAAAGCCATTGCACAAGGCAGAAACAAACCTCCCCAAAAAGGGAAACTTGGAAAAAAATAAAAACAGAGCAGTGGCAACTCTGATAGAGAAAATTCTACTGGGAAGAAGCAGTGATGGAGAGGGAAAAGCTTTGTACCCTGAAAAAAAAAAAAAAAAAATTCCAAGAAGATGCTGAGATTTACCTCACTATTTTCTTTCTTTTCTACATGGGTAGTGTCAGCTTCTCCCCACTGCAATTTTACACTGAGCACCATCTCACCACCAAAATGGTGGTTCTTTTTTGTCTGTGCCCCAAAGTCCTCACACTGTGACAGAGCACAGAGGTACAATACAGACAGTCATCTTTGGTCACCCCTACCAATGTGCATCTGCTTTTCTCATCTTGAATAAACTATATTATTTCCTTTTTTAAAGGCTCTATCCCAGAGAGCACGTAATTCATCTCGCAATCTTGCCTTATAAAGTACCTTCAATGACACACAAGGTTTTGGCGTCCCCAGGCTGATTCAGGTACACTGAGGTTTCTTCATCATTTTCCTGCTCTTCAAGTCGAGCACTGAGAAGATGAGAGAAAAGAGAAAAGAGAGATTTTTTTCTGGCCCAGGCTGATTCAGGTACACTGAGGTTTCTTCATCATTTTCCTGCTCTTCAAGTCGAGCACTGAGAAGATGAGAGAAAAGAGAAAAGAGATATTTTTTTCTGGTCCTTTTAGAAGTCTGGAAAAAAAAAAATCCATCTTAAGGACATGGAATTCAAGTGCTTTGATACTCTGCCTACAAGAAAGCAAAGTGAAATCAGGAACTCCTTGGAGGGAGAGGAGACCTGTGCCAGACACAGGGTTCAGCTGAGCCTCCCCCCAACTCCACACCCCACTGCCTTTCCTCTGGGAGAACTGGCAGTATTTATGGGGCTCATAACACATCAGGGCACTTCATACTGTGATTATGGGCTTCTGCCTACAGGGATCCCTCAAGTAGAAACAGAACAAAAAAGTCCACGGAAATCAGAGTGCAGCATTTTTCAAACATACCACAGCCACTTAAAAATTAGCTAACAACCCAGTTGCACTGTTTGGCGTGCTGGTTGTCATTTCAGGAAACAGGAAGGGGAAAATACAGATATCAGAGGGTACATATAAAGGTCCTGCTCCTGTGCTTATCAAGTGACACGCTGCACGCCCACATGGCGAGTGGCCCTTGCCAGCCATGTGGGGAGCAAGGTGTCACAGCCCCAGCACCACACAGCCTTCAGTATTGGTCTTCCCAGTCCCCATCTCCTCATTCTCTGTTTTCCTTTCCTCCTCCGGAAATTCAAATTAGATTTGTTTGGGAATGGGTGCAGCGAGAAATCCAAGCTTTTCCAGAGGCAAAGCCCCGAGGCTTCCCCTCCACCCATGGCAGCAGAGGTTTCGGCATCTCAGGAGCGTTCTGGGAAGTGGCAAATGCACAAGCTGCAGCTTGCAAGACCTGCGGGGGACGGGATGGGGTGGTGAAAGAGAATCGGGAAGAGTTATAGTGGGAACTTCCATCTTTTAACAGTAAATCTATAATAAACTTCAGGGAGGGCTTGGTTTTCCTTGAATCACCTTGCTGTCACAACTCGGTGTCAACAGGGTAAGGACTAAGTAGCTGTTGCAAACCAGAACAAGAGGAACAAGAAACTCAGGGTACATTTTACCAGTAGTGAAATTTAAAGTAAGAAACACCACCCAAAGGCAAGCAGGAGCTTGCACTAATGGCAAAGGCTGCTCCAGCCCCCTGCTCTCCCCTGCAGCCCCCCCCAGCACTGGGGGCAGTGCCTGCTGGTTTGCTGGTCCCACAACAAGTTTTGGACATGTAAGTCCCACTGAAGGGGACACACATATACATATTGCATTTATATATATTTTTTTTGTGTGTATGTATATATATATGGTATATATATATACATATACCACAAGCAGGTATTTTATTCACAGTGTTATCACTTAAGGAAGAGGGGACCAAGAAAACCCATACCCTTCACCTCCCTAGCCCAACCCTGGGGATAAAACTGGGATAAAATATCATCCTGAGAGCTTGGCTGGACACCAGACAGCCCTTTATATACACCAGGGTGTTACACCTGTCCTGAAATGCAGCTAAGTTGATGGATCCCTGACTAGCAGCCCTGAAGGCAGCGCGTTTATCCCCAAACAAGGAATCAGAGCTCAAGATCAGCTGGCAGAAACAACTATGTGAATGTCTCTAAGAGACCAGGCTTCATTACAGGTGAGGCTCCCTGGGCTTCAGGGAGGGGAATTTCTGCCCCCAGAACCCTACAGTTTTGCTTTTGTGCTGGAATTCATTTAACTCACTTCCCCCTTATCACATGGTTAATATTTAACAAGTGACCTATTGTGAAGACCATACCACAAGTATTAGAGGGCAAGAGCTAATCTTGCTACAAGATTAGGACAGCTTCCTCGTGGTGCATGACAGCTTTGGAGCTGGTTATTTTTTTGGCCAGTTCTTTTCTGACAAGTGCAGGTTAAAAGTTAAACAAAACACCAGCCAACACTGGCAGGAACACCTCATGATGTGGAAAGCACAACTTGCTGTGTTGTTAGCTGCAAGAGTTCATTGTTTGGGCACTGAAAGTATTTTGAGAATTCATCTCTTTTTGCTTTGGTTCAGCCACTCCTTTTTTCATTTTCCCAGCTGTATATTCATGCATCCAAGACAAAACATATATATATGAATATTTCTTTCTCCATTTTCGCTGGTTTTGTGGCACAGAACCAGGACCACTACACAACCACCCATGGCAAATCAGAGACACACCAAAAAAAGGCAGGATCTGCCTGCAAGATTTTTGAGCCATTTCAGATACTTGCAGCATCAGAAACTGAAGCCATCGGCTCACGTCCTCTGGTGAGTGAGTTTGGACCACCACTCAATAAAAATCTCATTTCAGCATCTGGAGACAGCTGAAGTCCTGGGGATGGGCAGGAGGGCATGCTCCTCTGTTGCTGGCACAGAGCCCCTCAACACCTGCTGATTACGTTTGGGCTTTGTTTCAACAACAGGTCTCAAAAGCATCTCTTTTCTAAAAACACCAAGCCTGAATACATGGAAAACAGGAAGGGAAAAACACACAACGGGTGGGTGCAAGCAAAGCACTGGCATGTTTTCACTCCAGCCAGCTGAACCAGACCGAATGACACACGGCAGGGTTCTCCATGCTGCTGAAAGAGCTTGGAGAAGAAAACAGGGAAGAAGCTTTCTACTTTAGGAGAAAGTCACCCAAGCCAGCTTTGAGCTTCCCACATAGGTTTGCATGATCCCCAGAGCTGCAGCAAATCACTGCCTATAGGAGTGGGATGTTCCCTCCAGGCTGCTCGGGGATCACAGAATCACAGAGTGGTTAAAGTTGGAAGCAACCTTAAAGATTACCCAGTTCCAACCCCCCTGCCATGGGCAGGGACACCTCCCACCAGAGCAGGTTGCTCAAAGCCCCATCCAGCCTGGCCTGGAACCCCTCCAGGGATGGGGCAGCCACAGCTTCTTTGGGCAACCTAGGCAAGGGTCTCACCACCTTCATAGGAAAGAATTTCTTCCTAATATCTAATCTAAATCTCCCCTCTTTCAGTTTAAAACCATTACCCCTCGTCCTATTGCTACACTCCTCGATAAAGAGTCCCTCCCCATCTCTCCTGTAGATCCCTTTAGCTACTGGAAGGCTGCTGTAAGGTGTCCCCAGAGCCTTCTCTTCTCCAGGCTGAACAGGCTCAACTCTCTCAGCCTGTCTTCAGAGGAGAGGTGCTCCAGCCTCTGATCATCTTTGTGGCCCTCCTTTGGACTCAGTCCAACAGGTCCATGTCCTTCTTACGTTGGGGGCTCCAGAGCTAGACACAGTACTGCAGGTGGGGGTCTCATGAGAGCAGAGCAGAGTGGTAGAATAACCTCCCTTGACCTGCTGGCCACACTTCTTTTCATGCAACCCAGGATATAGCTGGCTTTCTGGGCTGCGAGCACACATTTTTGGGTCATGTTGAGCTTCTCATCGCCCAACACCCCCAAGTCCTCTTCAGCTTTCAATCCATTCTCCACCCAGCCTCTACTTGTGCTTGGGATTGCCCAAGCTTGGGATGCTTCGGCACCATGGGATGGAGATGCTCCTGTCGCCTACAAGCCACGCGTTGCCGTGCCACACGCTCACCTTTCAGGAGTCAAGTAATCCTCTTCATCAGCAGCTGCACACAAACACACAGAGGATTAGCGTTTGAAGGCAATACCACTCTCCTACAGAACACAGGCTGGAGCGACGGGGAGGTGTGACGGGGACGGCCCTTACTGGAGGCAACACGCCGCACACAAAGGCAGCCGTGAAATAAGATTGCCAGCAGAAACTGGGGATGTGGCTTTGTTAATAAGTCATGATTTCGTGTTTCCAGGCAACAACCTCAGGCTTTCTAGAGATCAATAAATGACCGATATTGAGAGAGGATGGAGATGATGACATAAATCTGACTAGTTTCCTCCATCAAATTAATACATTTAGAAAAGGCAGACAGGTTAGAAAAGAGTTTCAGTGAAAGCCTCTCTCTTTGCCTCTTATTCTTAACAAGGCCAGGGCAGACCAATAAGCACTGGCACAGTAAAGCCAAAGAGAGTTTAGCTCAGCCCTCCCTAGAAAAGCAGCTCCCTCTGAATTCAGCAAAAGTTGTGCCTAAAGATCTGGCTGTAATTAAGCCTGTATCTATAAAGAAACACTATTTTCCAGCGTAATAAGTGGTCCAAAATATTCTATTATGCAACATCAATAGGGTTTTATTATGGGAAAGCGAACTTTTGCATTTCTTGATGTTGGAACATTTAACGACGTTGCCCTCCGTTGTATTTAAAACAGGAGGGGGGGGATTAGCAGACCGGTTTCTACCGATTTTATTGTGCCTTCCCACAGTCGTGTGCTGCAGAGTCAAGGCATTTCCCATTGAAGCAGAGTGATAGAGATCAGCTGGCCACGGACGCAGCTGCTGTTGCTTTACAGCCAGCTGTAAACTGCTCACAGCGCCCTGCAGTTGGGAGGAAAGCGGGTTTCTGCACAGTGGATGACACCCAGCCTGGAAAACCAGAGCCCTTTTCCAAATTTGGAGCAAAAAAATCAGCCTCACTGAAACCGTTGGGCTCGAGGAAGATGTTAGAAACAAGTAATAGCATCTTATTTCCACACGCTTGGAATGGTGGCTTTACAGGTATCAATAAACTGGAAACTATTATTCATTTTCTGCAGAACAGGTTTGGGAAGGAAGACTAGAAATCTCTTACTTGTTTCATTTCCTCTGCGGACGGAAAGCACGGTGCTTCGGAAGGCACTGAGATCAAACTTTGGGGGTCTTGCTGGCTTCTCAGGGGCTGGACCCAGGGATTCAACTGAAGGCAGAAGTTTAACTCTTGGCCACTTGCTGCCGGGGCTGTAAGACCAATTCCCTGCTCCAGGCTGGCAGAAGGGGGGCTCCGATTCTGCTCCAGGGAAGCACAAGGACAGACAGAAATTAGCCCTCATTTAGGAAAAAAAATGCATGTAGGATCATTAGTTGTTATACAGACATTTCTAACCAGCTCTGCTTCCTCCAGTTTCAGCGTCCCCGTTATACAGTGGGGCTCTTACCATGTTAGACTGGAAAAATAAATGGAAACGTCCATTTTTACAGATTTTTTACAGACTTAACCATGTTGGGGCCTCAGCTCTTGACAGCTCCCTTCCTCTGGATTATAAAATACTAGCCTCATTTTCTGTGCCGATAACAGTTTAATCTGCCAGGATTTAGTGGCATAGCTGTTTTCCATGCACAGCCCGGGCGAGGTGGCTTTCCAGGGTAAACAAAGACTTAATCTTTTCAGTGCCCCGTCACTCGGCGTGACGTCAGCGAGGGGAACTTCACGGCATCCCAGTTTCCTCGCACCGGTTTCTGTAAGAACTGCCACAAGGAGAACACGCTCTCCAAACTCAGCTGCGACCTTTCCCAAAGCTGGGAGGGTGCAGAAGGGGAGCTCAGGTTTAAGCCATTTTAAGTTGAACTAGGCTGTCTCTGCAGAAAAGCCAAGCCTTGATATGTCTGTGTGAAAACACAATAGCAGGTTAGAATCATAGAATGGTTTGGGTTGGAAGGGACCTCAAGGATCATCAAGTTCCAACCCCCCTGCCCTGGGCAGGGACACCTCCCACTAGAGCAGGTTGCTCAAGGCCCCATCCAGCCTGGCCTTGAACACCTCCAGGGATGGGGCAGCCACAGCTTCCCTGGGCAACCTGTTCCAGTGTCTCACCACCCTCATAGTAAAGAATTTCTTCCTGAGATCTAATCTGAATCTTTTTTCTTCCAATTTAAAACCGTTTCCCCTTGTCCTATCATTACCCTTCCTGACAAAGAGTCCCTCCCCAGCTCTTCTATAGGCACCCTTCAGATATTGAAAGGCCACTATAAGATCTCCCAGGTTAGAGTCACATTTACTTTGTAAATGTAAAAGGCCAGAGCGGATCAAAACTGAAGATACTCCCTTGCCTTCTCTCCTCATCTTACTCTCAAAACGTGGACAACTTCTTAAAGCGAGTTTTAAACAATTTGGTGGAGATGGGGAGCCCTCACCTTACCCAAGCTCAGCAGCACTATGAGGCGTTTGTTTTTTTATCTCCAGGACCTCCAGGGAAGGAAGGGAGCACTCCAGTGGGCCAGTTTGGCTTCTTGTTTAAGGGTCCCAACCCATAACAGCTTTTCTCTTCAGCTGCTGTATCCTGCACTTTCAGAGCACCTATACACATATGTGCTCCTATGCTCAGTGTTAGGAGTACAGCCTACTTTACCTTTCTGGTGCTGAGGTTCCTTTTTTGGTGGGAGATAACCCAGCTGGCAGAATGCAGTTGCCACCGCGATCTCAGGAACAACTCCATCAGAGCCTCTGTGTCCTCTGGATGCCTGAGGAAGAGCCAGCCCACGGCCACGCAGAGCATCCTTCTTCTGGGCAGGCAGGTCCAGCACGGGCTTGCTTCCAGAGGGTTGAGTCCTGCCACCCGATGCAGTTGGAGCACGCATCGCCCTCTGCTCCGGGCAAGGGTGCACATACAAGTTTGTTGCCCGTTGGGTTGGGAGTATTACATTGGCTTTCTCACCACAGGATAAAGCATTTTCCCAGATCTTTAGGGCATGCTGGAAAGAATTTGAGAGCGAAGGGTCCTCTGGGGCTGTTTGGGTTGATCCTTGCCAATCAACGCAATAGGATGGCAGAGGCTTCTCTGGACCACTCTTGGGAGAGCTCAGCCCTTTCTCTGAGTTGTTGCCTTTCTGCTCTTCATTGTGCTCTGTTGGCTCCATGTAACCCAGCTTGGCTCTTGGCCATGCCAAGGGGTTGCATTGGGTGAGTGCAGAGGGTTGGGAGGCAGGATGGACAGGTTCATCCTTGGGTTTTGGTGTTATCACTTCTCTCTTACTCAGAGGCAGAGGGCTGGACACGGCGTTACCTCTAGAGCCCGGTTTGGGTGCAATCTTAGGGGGAAGCTTCTTGCGTGGCTGCACCAGCTTGTTGGCCAAGTTAGAGTCATTTTGAAATTTTGCTCGTAGAGCTCTGATGTCAGTCACACCTTCCTGGGGGTGGGGGAAGAGAGGAGAGCATAAAACATCTGCTTTCAGAGGCAATTTATATGATCATGATCCTTTCAGAGAGAAAAGAGGCCATAGGCTCCTCCCTGGTCACCATGGATATGCAGAGCCTGATGAAAATCCTGAAGCAGGTGAGGAGAATTAGCTCATTTGAAGGATCCTCCAAAGGGTCACAACTCACTCCTGATAAAGGCAATAGGAGCAGAGACGGGGGGAAACACAGGAGCAGAGCATGGAAATGCAACCAAGCAGAGCCAGCAGGAACAGCAGAGATGGCTTCTGCTCCCCAACATCACCCAGTGCTGGAGAAACTCCTTCAGCAGGTCCTGGCAAACACTAAAATGAATGTTAGAGCTTCCCAGCAGAGGTGCTGTGACACTGCTTATGCACCTGCTGGGCAGGAAAGCTGCATTTTATTTTCAGTACACAAGCACCAGCCAGAGGAGACGTTGATGCTGCTCCAAAAATCCCCAGTCCATCCCCTGCCTCCTCTAGAAAATTCTACCATCGGAGGAGAAGCACCAACCATACTCCCTGGTGGGCTCCAAACAACCCCTGGGACATGTTGGTTCAGTTCAGGGTTCCCATGGCTCTTTGGATGCTTCTACCCTTGCTGCTTCCCACCCCATGAAGCAGAGGACATACAAATCAAACATGCAGGACACAAGGACAGCAAGACCATCTCCCAGTCTAGGTGATGAATACAGGGTAAGATATTCAATCCCTCTCCCATGCAGTTACCAGACCCCAGGTTATATAAAATTTTGATCAAAGAGAGCTAATCAGTGACAGCACAGTTTAAAAGAACATTTTGTTTCAGGCTTTTGTCCCCAGACATCTCACTGTCCCATGCTGGAGAAAGGGGACCCCAGTTTTTGCCTGCAATATTGCGGCTTCAGTTCAGCCCTGAACTGAACTAGGGAGAAAATATGAAGAAAAATTTATGAGCTACTTAAGTCCTTGAACTGCTCTATAAGTTTTTATATGCCATGATTACATTAGATGCACTACTCTGGCAGCTTAGTTCGGCGCGGAGAACTGTAAGGCTTCACGAGAACCTGTCTAATGAGGAAATTGGAAAAAATTATCTAGGACAGAACTTCGTTATTCTGAAAAAAGGCCCAGCCTTAAGTGTTAAGGCAGAACAGATGAATAGCATACTGAGGTTTTATTGCATTTAATTGCACGATTTATTAAACACTGACAATTTCTCTTGAATAACCCCTTTCACTGACTTTATTACTTTCACAGGGTAGCGCATGATGTAAAGAACCAACCCTTGGGGGGAGAGGTTTGAATTGCTCCAATTATATTTCATATTAGTGGTCAGCAGCGTGATGCCGTGTAAGCTGCCCAGACAGCCTAATCTAGCGGCGAGCCGATGGGAAGGGGAGTTTTTCAGAGGCATACGGAGGATGAATCAGATTTTGGAAAAAAAAAATATACTATAATCCCATGTGTACCCGATTCCCTCCAGCGATGCCAGACAGGAAATAAAGCAGCGAGGTGCCCTAATGCAATCGCTCCAGGTTTTTGCACGTGCAGCAGCAACAGTTGAAGAGTTCAGTGCTGTTTACCTCCCCTCACTGATTTTTCTTTACCGTAACGCAGAGTCCCTCAGCAGCCCCCTTGGAGACAAAGAAAACAGAAAAGAAAAAGTACCTGCATGTCTCAATGTGCCACGGGCGAGGCGGATTCCTGTGAAACAGGGTTTTCAGTCAGGCCACTCCCTGGCACTGGTGGTGACAGTCACTAGTTGGCACTACCTTTAATTAAAGAGGGATGGATATGAGCTTCCTCCCCCCCCCGCCCCCCCAACCTCCAAGTTGTTATTCTTCTTGCCTTGAAATGACAGCTGCAAATGGTTTGCCTAATTAACAGGGAGGTTATCTGCACTCTCAGTGCCCTCCACTAGAATATAGCTTCCCCCCAGCTTGCAGCCCGCTGGTGTGTTGGTGCCGATGCCACAACGTGGGAAGGACACACATGTCCTGATGCTATTTTCCTCCAACAAAGCTCCCACAACCACCGCTTCCTTGTGGGGGGCTGAGCTTAGCAAGACCCTCTGAGGTGCAATGAGTTTTCCTGGCCTCTGTGGGGATGATTTTCCATCAGAGCTGGGACCGTTTCAAACCACAGAGATTTCAAACCACCCGAGGGGCTCTCCAGCTTGACCTGCCCGCTTTAAGCCAGCTCAGGGAGATGGTCACCCTCAACACAGTGCAGGCATGTGGGACACACATGAAGTCCCAGTGCCCCACCAGCCCAGGGAAGCTTCAGCGCAGCGGCGAGAGGCGCTCCCCTGTAAATCAGATCGGTTGACAAGTAGGGAGAATACACTAATAAATTTAAAGGACTGCCAAAAGCTCACAATGTGCATTACAGCTACATCTGGCCAAATAATTCACTCTGAATAATAATACATTTGGCAAAAGCCCATGCAAGATGAGAGAGGGAGAGAATAAAAAGGAAACAAACTTCCACTGGCCGGAAAGCTACGAGCATTACAGAGTCAGGGGACAGCTAAACTTTCCATATTTTCTCCCTATAAATAAAAGATCCTTCTAACATTCAGATCATTTTAAAACACAATAGCAGGTTAGAATCATAGAATGGTTTGGGTTGGAAGGGACCTCAAGGATCATCAAGTTCCAACCCCCCTGCCCTGGGCAGGGACACCTCCCACTAGAGCAGGTTGCTCAAGGCCCCATCCAGCCTGGCCTTGAACACCTCCAGGGATGGGGCAGCCACAGCTTCCCTGGGCAACCTGTTCCAGTGTCTCACCACCCTCATAGTAAAGAATTTCTTCCTGAGATCTAATCTGAATCTTTTTTCTTCCAATTTAAAACCGTTTCCCCTTGTCCTATCATTACCCTTCCTGACAAAGAGTCCCTCCCCAGCTCTTCTATAGGCACCCTTCAGATATTGAAAGGCCACTATAAGATCTCCCAGGTTAGAGTCACATTTACTTTGTAAATGTAAAAGGCCAGAGCGGATCAAAACTGAAGATACTCCCTTGCCTTCTCTCCTCATCTTACTCTCAAAACGTGGACAACTTCTTAAAGCGAGTTTTAAACAATTTGGTGGAGATGGGGAGCCCTCACCTTACCCAAGCTCAGCAGCACTATGAGGCGTTTGTTTTTTTATCTCCAGGACCTCCAGGGAAGGAAGGGAGCACTCCAGTGGGTCAGTTTGGCTTCTTGTTTAAGGGTCCCAACCCATAACAGCTTTTCTCTTCAGCTGCTGTATCCTGCACTTTCAGAGCACCTATACACATATGTGCTCCTATGCTCAGTGTTAGGAGTACAGCCTACTTTACCTTTCTGGTGCTGAGGTTCCTTTTTTGGTGGGAGATAACCCAGCTGGCAGAATGCAGTTGCCACCGCGATCTCAGGAACAACTCCATCAGAGCCTCTGTGTCCTCTGGATGCCTGAGGAAGAGCCAGCCCACGACCACGCAGAGCATCCTTCTTCTGGGCAGGCAGGTCCAGCACGGGCTTGCTTCCAGAGGGTTGAGTCCTGCCACCCGATGCAGTTGGAGCACGCATCGCCCTCTGCTCCGGGCAAGGGTGCACATACAAGTTTGTTGCCCGTTGGGTTGGGAGTATTACATTGGCTTTCTCACCACAGGATAAAGCATTTTCCCAGATCTTTAGGGCATGCTGGAAAGAATTTGAGAGCGAAGGGTCCTCTGGGGCTGTTTGGGTTGATCCTTGCCAATCAACGCAATAGGATGGCAGAGGCTTCTCTGGACCACTCTTGGGAGAGCTCAGCCCTTTCTCTGAGTTGTTGCCTTTCTGCTCTTCATTGTGCTCTGTTGGCTCCATGTAACCCAGCTTGGCTCTTGGCCATGCCAAGGGGTTGCATTGGGTGAGTGCAGAGGGTTGGGAGGCAGGATGGACAGGTTCATCCTTGGGTTTTGGTGTTATCACTTCTCTCTTACTCAGAGGCAGAGGGCTGGACACGGCGTTACCTCTAGAGCCCGGTTTGGGTGCAATCTTAGGGGGAAGCTTCTTGCGTGGCTGCACCAGCTTGTTGGCCAAGTTAGAGTCATTTTGAAATTTTGCTCGTAGAGCTCTGATGTCAGTCACACCTTCCTGGGGGTGGGGGAAGAGAGGAGAGCATAAAACATCTGCTTTCAGAGGCAATTTATATGATCATGATCCTTTCAGAGAGAAAAGAGGCCATAGGCTCCTCCCTGGTCACCATGGATATGCAGAGCCTGATGAAAATCCTGAAGCAGGTGAGGAGAATTAGCTCATTTGAAGGATCCTCCAAAGGGTCACAACTCACTCCTGATAAAGGCAATAGGAGCAGAGACGGGGGGAAACACAGGAGCAGAGCATGGAAATGCAACCAAGCAGAGCCAGCAGGAACAGCAGAGATGGCTTCTGCTCCCCAACATCACCCAGTGCTGGAGAAACTCCTTCAGCAGGTCCTGGCAAACACTAAAATGAATGTTAGAGCTTCCCAGCAGAGGTGCTGTGATACTGCTTATGCACCTGCTGGGCAGGAAAGCTGCATTTTATTTTCAGTACACAAGCACCAGCCAGAGGAGACGTTGATGCTGCTCCAAAAATCCCCAGTCCATCCCCTGCCTCCTCTAGAAAATTCTACCATCGGAGGAGAAGCACCAACCATACTCCCTGGTGGGCTCCAAACAACCCCTGGGACATGTTGGTTCAGTTCAGGGTTTCCATGGCTCTTTGGATGCTTCTACCCTTGCTGCTTCCCACCCCATGAAGCAGAGGACATACAAATCAAACATGCAGGACACAAGGACAGCAAGACCATCTCCCAGTCTAGGTGATGAATACAGGGTAAGATATTCAATCCCTCTCCCATGCAGTTACCAGACCCCAGGTTATATAAAATTTTGATCAAAGAGAGCTAATCAGTGACAGCACAGTTTAAAAGAACATTTTGTTTCAGGCTTTTGTCCCCAGACATCTCACTGTCCCATGCTGGAGAAAGGGGACCCCAGTTTTTGCCTGCAATATTGCGGCTTCAGTTCAGCCCTGAACTGAACTAGGGAGAAAATATGAAGAAAAATTTATGAGCTACTTAAGTCCTTGAACTGCTCTATAAGTTTTTATATGCCATGATTACATTAGATGCACTACTCTGGCAGCTTAGTTCGGCGCGGAGAACTGTAAGGCTTCACGAGAACCTGTCTAATGAGGAAATTGGAAAAAATTATCTAGGACAGAACTTCGTTATTCTGAAAAAAGGCCCAGCCTTAAGTGTTAAGGCAGAACAGATGAATAGCATACTGAGGTTTTATTGCATTTAATTGCACGATTTATTAAACACTGACAATTTCTCTTGAATAACCCCTTTCACTGACTTTATTACTTTCACAGGGTAGCGCATGATGTAAAGAACCAACCCTTGGGGGGAGAGGTTTGAATTGCTCCAATTATATTTCATATTAGTGGTCAGCAGCGTGATGCCGTGTAAGCTGCCCAGACAGCCTAATCTAGCGGCGAGCCGATGGGAAGGGGAGTTTTTCAGAGGCATACGGAGGATGAATCAGATTTTGGAAAAAAAAAATATACTATAATCCCATGTGTACCCGATTCCCTCCAGCGATGCCAGACAGGAAATAAAGCAGCGAGGTGCCCTAATGCAATCGCTCCAGGTTTTTGCACGTGCAGCAGCAACAGTTGAAGAGTTCAGTGCTGTTTACCTCCCCTCACTGATTTTTCTTTACCGTAACGCAGAGTCCCTCAGCAGCCCCCTTGGAGACAAAGAAAACAGAAAAGAAAAAGTACCTGCATGTCTCAATGTGCCACGGGCGAGGCGGATTCCTGTGAAACAGGGTTTTCAGTCAGGCCACTCCCTGGCACTGGTGGTGACAGTCACTAGTTGGCACTACCTTTAATTAAAGAGGGATGGATATGAGCTTCCTCCCCCCCCCGCCCCCCCAACCTCCAAGTTGTTATTCTTCTTGCCTTGAAATGACAGCTGCAAATGGTTTGCCTAATTAACAGGGAGGTTATCTGCACTCTCAGTGCCCTCCACTAGAATATAGCTTCCCCCCAGCTTGCAGCCCGCTGGTGTGTTGGTGCCGATGCCACAACGTGGGAAGGACACACATGTCCTGATGCTATTTTCCTCCAACAAAGCTCCCACAACCACCGCTTCCTTGTGGGGGGCTGAGCTTAGCAAGACCCTCTGAGGTGCAATGAGTTCTCCTGGCCTCTGTGGGGATGATTTTCCATCAGAGCTGGGACCATTTCAAACCACAGGCCCACCTGAGGGGCTCTCCAGCTTGACCTGCCTGCTTTAAGCCAGCTCAGGGAGATGGTCACCCTCAACACAGTGCAGGCATGTGGGACACACATGAAGTCCCAGTGCCCCACCAGCCCAGGGAAGCTTCAGCGCAGCGGCGAGAGGCGCTCCCCTGTAAATCAGATCGGTTGACAAGTAGGGAGAATACACTAATAAATTTAAAGGACTGCCAAAAGCTCACAATGTGCATTACAGCTACATCTGGCCAAATAATTCACTCTGAATAATAATACATTTGGCAAAAGCCCATGCAAGATGAGAGAGGGAGAGAATAAAAAGGAAACAAACTTCCACTGGCCGGAAAGCTACGAGCATTACAGAGTCAGGGGACAGCTAAACTTTCCATATTTTCTCCCTATAAATAAAATACTCTTCTAACATTAAGATCATTCTAGGAAGCAGAATAAAGCTTAGCTTAAGCCTATGATAAGGATCCCTTTTAGAAAGAGCAGCAGCTGGAGGTTTGTGCTGATACCAAAGACTGACCAAACCGAGTTCTGATTAATTTTCTGCATCTGCTTTTGTAAAAGGAATCGACGGCGGGAGAGAAAACCCCACTCGAGATGTGGCCTTCAGGCCGGCCGACAGGAAGCACGGCGTGTTCCCCCTCCTGAAACTTTTTTCTGCTTTCACCCAACTCTTTTCATCCTGATTTCCATGGGTGCTGCCGTGGGTAAATGTTTAATCAGCACTGCCCTCTGCCCCGCAGCGGGGTGGCTGGAGCCGAGCCCAGGCACCTCGGGCAGGCTGAGGAGAGCACGCCATAGATACCGTCTACTCATTAACCCAACGGCTTCACCCGGAAACAAACTTTTTTAATTAAAAAAAAAATAAATCCACATCTACTTTTTTTGTTAAACCGAGAGGCGGCAACTGCAGCTCATCTCAGAGTGAAGAGAGGGGAAGAAACCAGGCACCGGGAGCCCCTCAGCCCCTTCCTCTGGGGCAGAAAAGCTGTCCCTTTGGGGTCCCCCAAGCAGAGTGGCATTAAGAGGGTGCGGGAGAGAAAACCCCACTCGAGATGTGGCCTGCAGGCCTCCTGAAACTTTTTTCTGCTTTCACCCAACTCTTTTCATCCTGATTTCCATGGGTGCTGCCGTGGGTAAATGTTTAATCAGCACTGCCCTCTGCCCCGCAGCGGGGTGGCTGGAGCCGAGCCCAGGCACCTCGGGCAGGCTGAGGAGAGCACGCCATAGATACCGTCTACTCATTAACCCAACGGCTTCACCCGGAAACAAACTTTTTTAATTAAAAAAAAAATAAATCCACATCTACTTTTTTTGTTAAACCGAGAGGCGGCAACTGCAGCTCATCTCAGAGTGAAGAGAGGGGAAGAAACCAGGCACCGGGAGCCCCTCAGCCCCTTCCTCTGGGGCAGAAAAGCTGTCCCTTTGGGGTCCCCCAAGCAGAGTGGCATTAAGAGGGTGCAGCTAACGGGGAGGTGACAGCCCCGAAGCGAGGAACCGGCAGAAAAATCAAGCAGCAAGTCTTTCACCCGGGGATGGGGAAGGGATAGAGGGGACCGAGCAGCCCCCGTTGCTGGGGTGAGGGTGGAAAGGAGAAGTTACCACGTCCATCCCTCCGCAGGTCTCCAGCGGCTCAGCCCGGCGGCATCGTTCCCGGCCTCCCGCTCCCGTCGCTCCTCCCCGCCGCCCCCGCAGCACCGGGCGAGGCGGGGCGAGCCCGAAAACACACCTGGGCCCCGGCGTGGGTCTGCCCCCGGGGCGGGGAGAGACTCAACCGGGGCTGGGCCGAGCCCGTGGGGCCACGGCCAGGATGCTGTGACACCCCCCGGGCTCATGGCTTCCCCTGGTCAACATGGCGGCTGGGCTGGGGATGGGGTCAGGAAAGGAAGAATGGGGTTGGGTTTGCTTTCCGAGGGAAGGGACGGCATTTCCCCGCCACCAAAGTCCATAGAGTGGCCAGTTCTCAGGTGGACAAGATGATCTTTAAGGTCCCTTCCAACCTAGAAGATTCTGTGATTTTGTCTCTTCTCACACTCGGGCCAGCAAAGCCGAGGAGAGCAGAGGAGTCCCACCACGTCCAGCGGTGATCCTTTACCCCCCCACACACACACACCACTTTGCAGGTCTCCCCATGGGTGACACCCAAACCCCCTGCATCCGCTCAGTCTCCCAAGCTCTTCCCCAAGCCAGAGACCTCGGAGTGATTACAGAATCACAGAATCTTCTAGGTCGGAAGGGACCTTAAAGATCATCTTGTCCAACCGTCAACCTCATTTTGACAAAAATAGACACCCCCACAACAAACAAAAAGTAACACCATCACTAAACGGTATCTCCCAGCACTACATTAACCTGTCTTTTGAACACCTCCAGGGATGGTGCCTCAACCACCTCCCTGGGCAGCCCATTCCAATGTCTGATAACCTTTTTGGTGAAAAAATTTTTCCTAATATCCAGCCTGAACCTCCCCTGGTGTAACTTGAGGCCATTTCCTCTAGTCCTGTCGCCTGTGACTTGGGAGAAGAGACTGACCCCCACCTCCCTACAACCTCCTTTCAGGTAGTTGTAGAGAGCAATAAGGTTTCCCCGGAAGAACCGAGTGTTTTCTTCATCTCTGGATAGCAAAGCCCAGCAAAAATAGTCATCCTCGCTGAAACCTGTACATATTCCCTGCATTCTTGATGATGCAGCTCTTTTCGTGGTGAGCTGTTTCCAAAGTCCTAAGGACAGACCAGTTAAATCAGGGCAAACAAGACTTTTCCCATTGCTGGATGTTTCTGCCCTGGAGAACAGCCTGTCCAAACATTGAGCCCATATTGTTATGGAGCACATCTCCCAGGAAAGCAAGGCTGGTTAGCTTGGCAAGAAGTTAACTGAGAGCCCCAGGACTTCCTTTTTCCCTCTGTAACTGATCAAATATTATTTCATCTTTCCCTGCAGGAGCACTTGAAGTTTTCCTTTGAGCAGAGACAGCTGCTGCACAGAGCCTGGGTGCTGGGCAGTATTTGGAGGTGGCTGTCCATACAGCCTGGGTGGGCAGGGAGCCATCAGCAGCCTGGACAATGCTCACCCATCACAGGCGGGTCCTAATCCCACGTACCAGGATGCAGCACCTCTCCTATCCACCATTCCCAAAGAACTGCCTGGAAAAGAAACCCTGCAGCAATAGCAGGCCTTCAATTTAGGGGAAAAGAGAGCAGTAAAGCATGTCTGTAATGTGTGGGACCTGATGGCAAGCTATGTGACACCAACCTGAAGGTGTCCTACATTTCTCTCCATGGATTTGAGGCTAATGGTATGATACATGACTTGTGGATGGACGTTCCCCATCAGTAGAGAAAGTCTTGCCCCAAGCATCCCTACCATGGGACCAATGCTCTCCCAGCCTAATCTCACTCTGCTTTTCAGAGCCAAGCTCGACCAGAGCTGAAAAAAAAAAAAACAAACCTCAGGAAAAAAAATGGAAAAAAAAAAGTCTCAGTCATCGGAGACATGACTCGAAGTGCGGGTCTCGTTCCTCGCCACATGAAAAGACCTGCTGCTGCGTGGTGGTCTTTGAGAAGAAAGGGGGGTCCTGCCGACCTGGGAGTTGGCAGGGACGTCCCCCAAGCTGGGGCTGGAGTCACGATGTGATGAAAATGAATGCTGGCTTTGTGTACAGGTAGCTGGGGAGGATTTATGACCCGCCCAGGGGTATGAACGCCGGCCGTGAATTAAAGCACTGTTGGAGAATGAGGAGGTTGTGACTTCAGAGCCATGGTCCTATGGGAAAGGACAGGACAGATTCCTCTACACAGGCTCTAAAAAAAGCCAAAGTTTTCTTTAAAACATGTATTTTGTGCGTGCTAGCCCTTGTGGGACCCCGCTTGCCCCACCTCCCTTCGACAGCAGCCCCAGGGCTGCCATAAATCGCACTGGGCTATAATAACTGCATGGGGAGTGTGGTGTAGCTGTGGTGTTGTGTAGATCAAACACCACAGAAGTGGGAGCCGACCTTTTTTCTCTGGCTCTGGACCTTTGTGGGAATGCCTGATGATAAAGAGCTGGCGCTGCTCTATGCAAGTCACCTTTTCATGGGCCACATGGCACAATTTCCTTAAGAGAAACTAGACAGAGATGACAAAACATGACTTTACACCCTCCTGGAAACGTTGAGGAGAATGCAGGTAATCCCTTTGATAGTTCTTCCCCTCCTGCCCCACCTCTCCCTGCAGGACTGGTGCCTCCCATTGGTACCCACCAAGCTGCAAACTGCCATAGAATCATCTGGGTTGGAAGGGACCTTTAAGCTCATCAAGCCCAACCATTAACCTAACACTGCCAAAACCACCGTGGGTGGAGACATCCCAGCAAAACACAACGACCACCTTGTCCACCGCTTTTATAACAGGCAGCAGTTTGGGGCAGGAGCTTGGGGTTTGGTCTGGGTTTGGGGACCAGAGGCACTGACCCAGAACAGGAGTTCCCAGCCACAGCTCCCACTCAAATAAAACCAAATACCACTACTGAGAGCAACACCACCAAACGCTCCTCAAGGGTGCACAATCTCCCCAGAAAAAAACAATTTCAGCCTGCTTAAAAATTTAAAATGTTATGATTTGGATGGGGTCTTTGAAGTGCTGCAATTAATATCCAATATAGACATATTAGTCCAACGGCTGCAAGTACAGCATTCAGCAAACTTATTTTCCCTGCATTATTCTTTGCAGCTACTTTGTTACTCGTGGGCTTTGTCACGTGTTACAGATATATTATACAAGTTTGGATTTTTTTTCCTGGATTTCAGAGGTGTTGCTATAGACCAGAAACAACAGCAGATCTTGGGCATATGACTTATTCCTAGTCTTCCAGCCTTTTAGAGAGGGCGGCAGCAGCATGACTGGTGAAGACCAGGGAAATTTTGGGGCAATCCAGCCTTCTTTGGAAGACAACTAGATTCAGGTATTGCCCGTGATAGGACTGCTGGTAACAGTAGCCCATTGTCATCATATTATATAGTCTGAGGATTGTCTGACAGGTTATTTTCCCTTGTCACAGCTACTGGCCCCATCTGTGGGGACAACACTGAGGGAAGGAGATGGAGCACAGAGTGAGGGAAACAGCTGCTCCTGGGGGCCATGCAGTAGGGTCCATAATTCTGAAGAAAACCCTCAGAACCCAGAAAAAATGGGTGAAAGGGGATAGGAGGGCACAACCTTGTGTTAGGGGGGAAATTCAGCTCAGTTTTTCTGCCTTATTCTGGTCCCAGCAGGGCCAGAGCAGCCACCCCAGCCCGGTTCCCCACACAACTCACCCTTTTCTGCCAGGAAGTCATATCGTGGTTTTCCAGCAGAGGGGGAGATAGGATCACTTGTTCCACCACCGAGTCGCTTGCTCTGCCTTGCATTACTGGCATTAACAAGGAATTTAAGAAAATGCAATACAATTGATCCCCGCATTCAAAAAGCTAACGCTTTCTTTTACTGACCAGGACAAAGCTTGTTTAGGAGGAGCCAATGAAGGTACTCATGTGGCTCCTTCGGAAGTTTTAAGATCAGCCCTGTTGAAGCACTGTAGCAGTTAAGAAAATTAATGTAAAAGCCTTGCAGTGTTTCAGCTTTTTTAGCAATAAAGCCCATATAATCACTTGTGTGTTTAAAGCTGAGTGTTTACTCTGGTAGAAGGTGCAGGATCAGACCAGTTCACTGACACCAAATGAGCACTAGCATGTCCAGTGGGCATCTTCTGGTCCTTAGGTGGACCTTCTCCACACCACTCTGCAGCCACTGGGTTCAGTAACTGGGACACGTGCCCGACGCACATAAATAACAGTGACCTCCATTGGTCCTTACAATTCCCAGTCTTTCCACAAGAACTCAGTGACCTAAGAATTTAAACTGGAGATGAAGAACAGCTGAACCTCAGGAACTGAGATGCACAACTGGTGCAGAGAAGAAGAGCATGTTGGTGGTTGCAGAGGTTGGTCAGCCCTGTTATAAGGACACAACTACTACCTGCAGTGTGGGACCATCACTATGACACTGCCCACTCCTGCCACCACTTGTAGGCAGTGTTTGCTGTCACCCCACTGACACGGAGGCTGATGACCAGGGTCAGGTACAGCCTGCAGCATCCTTTCCCTGCCCTGCAGGGATGCAGAGCAGCTGGGCACGAGGCCTTCAAAACCACAGAAGCAACATCCAGTGCAGAGCATCTGCTCAGCAGCACAAGCTACAGCAAACTCATCACGTCTGTCTTACCCTGTGTAATACTTCCATTGTGTACAAAGCCATCTTCCAAATCTAACCCCTTCTCTTGAAGGTATCTGTGCTGCGATTTTGAGTTTGAAGTTCAGAGATGAAGACCTTGGTAACCAGCTTTGCTTCCTTGGCAGAACAGAAGTTATTTACCCAGCTCCTGTGCAGAGAAATCTCTTCAGCGCCTGCAGAGAGGATGAGCTGAGAGAGCCCATGTGTGCTGCGAAAGCACGTGTGAAACGGTGAACTTTCCAAGGGCAGAGCTCCAATTGCTAGGCACAATTCCTTCATCTTGCCGTATCTAACATCTCTATCACCTCTGTACGTTGCAACAATCTCTCTATTTTTTTTTTTTTTTTTTTCAAAACAAGCCCACACCCTACCTCTGAAGGAAAGGCTGTCTGCTCTGTGCTTTTCCCCGGGGAACCACGAGAGAACAAACAGCACATGGCAGGCGTCAGTCACATCGACAGCAAGAAGCTGGGCTACAACTTTGGGGGTATTGTGTGTATCGAACAGAATAACAAAGAGCAGGGCTCTGTCTTTAGATGTTCACGGTCTCCAAGTCAGGAGCAAAATTCAGATTTACAGTATTGCATCAATAATGTACTACAAAAATTATAAATAGAATATTGGCATTAAAAAAAGGACAATTCTTTTAAGTAACTGTATCCCTTGCTGCAAAAACCATGTGAATATACTAAAAATAAAAATCTACCTATAAAGAAAACACAAATTCAAATTGCTGGACAACAACAACATCACGTTAGCTCTTGTAATATACTCTCACCTTAGAGCTAGACTCTAGTAGACAGCCACGTTCCTGAATGTGCTACTCAGGTGCTATTTAAAAGATCAACGCGTACTGCAGGCAGAAATTAATTCCCGTTGTTGTGGCAGAGAGACTGGAGGATTGAAGTGGAGACTTTTTGAAGTGGAACATAATCCTGTATTGCTATCAGTGAGGAAAAGTGGGTGACCAAGTTTGTTTATAGTGAGTTAATCTGCTTCTGATTTTAGATACATAAGAGTTGTAAATGAGGAGTGAGGTGCCCTCTAATTAGAGGCTGGCAGTGAAGAGTTCTTCAGCGTCAAGGAAAAGAGCTTTGTGATGGGAACAGTCCCAAAGTGACAAAGCAAACTCCCACTCAGGCTTAGCTGCAGTGAGCTCGCTGCTCATCCCAGCCTGTATTTTCATGCTCTTGAAGAGCCCCAAGACGTCAGTTCATGGCTCATCCTCCTGAAGGTGACTGCATCGCTATCGACAGCACGGCGAGCATCGCAAGCCAGAGTTCAGAGAGTTAATTCAGGTTTAGAGGCAAGGATCCAACACGCATTTGAGACAAGTTCAATTCATAACGTTATAAATGGAACCATAACTTTTATATATATCACTTTTGGAACACAACACCTTTGAGAAAGGTTCTTTAATTTCACCTCTAACGCGGTGTGCCTTTGCTCGCTGCTTAAATCTCTCTCGCACGCCTCCCCCCAAATGACCTCACCTATCAGTGCGAAATTGTTGTTGTGCCTGATTGCACAAACCAGCCCAGCCTTTTACCTGGGAGACGTGCCACAAATAACTTTCATTATATATATGGTGTGTTTCTGAGGCTGCTATCAGAAAAGAAAAGATATAATGCTCCGACGGTCTTGCTGAGGTGCTGAGGAGGCACTTGGCTGCGCAGAGCAGCCATTCATATGTCAAAGGATGGCAGAAGTTTGGAAGGTTTGGAAGAAGACAGGTTTGGCAGACGGCCAGGGTGGCTCCTACCATGGGGAGAGTGGGGGCCACCCCCACCAGACCTCTCTAAGCGTTGCTGAAACCTTTTTATGTCATTCTCTCTTAACAGCGACATGCAGAGAGGCTGTAACATGTAACGGGGAGGTAACAGCGGGGATCGCCTTAGGCCAATTTCAGTCCCCTGCTTTCCTCCCAGGCAAAAGCAATTTAGGTTTAATAGTATTTTAAAAAATATTAAAACCCTTATTTGAGTCCTCCTTGTGTAGGCGAAGAAGGGAGAAGGACATTCTGAACTCATCTGAAGTGCATTAGTAGGTAAGGGACTACATTAACAGACTCTCGAAGGTCACAAAAAGGCAGTTTTCATTTCATTTCACTACAGAGTCTACCCATGTGCTACGTTACACCGTGTTTAGCAAAGACAAGCCCCAGGGTCATTCTAAACTTTAATTACATTAAAATAACACGGTAAGAGGTCCTTTTATTTTGATAATTTATATTACCAGCTATTGAATCGAGCTTTTGCAATTAATTTGGGAAATACACAAAGTGACACTTCTATCCCAGTCTTTTGTGGACAGAGGACAATTCACTGTCTGCTTAATAGCTGTAATAGCCTAAGACTAGATTTTTCCTACAATAATTACACTTTCTCTTGAATTTATTGAGGTTCAAGCTTCCATTTGTCTGCTGGGAACACTTCATTTATGCATGAAGCATCTCAGCCCTCCTATGCAGAAGAAAAAGCAGGGAGATACAGACCCTTGGTGGAACACAGAATTCTCCATAGATCTCTCACTATTTTTTTTAAAGTAATATCTAATGAAATTATAGATTCCTTATGTATTTTTTGGGCCTGCCCAAGAGCCCTTGGGGGAATTCAGCAGACTGTGTGCAAGTTCAAAAAAATAGGTGTGGGGCAACCTGGGCTATACCATGACCAAGTGTCTTTCCAATGGCCATTTTCTCTTTCCTTCAACAGATGAAAACTAAATATTTTCATCTTGTGACTATTATCTTAATAATAAATAACCCATGGCGTTCTTCCTTTGGATGGTACTGCTTTCTTAGACTTGTGCACATCCACTACTTCTGTGTTAAGATACCAACCAGTGAGAAGCATTAGAGCCACCACTGACGGATGAGTTTGCACAGCTTATGGGAAAGGACACAATTCCAGATTTAAGCAGTATCTTTCTCACCCCAAATCACTTCAGGAAACAAAGATTTGGATTCTTGTGTTGCAGTGACTGTGCAGGGCCATCAAAAGCCAGTTGATAACTCACCTCAGCTTTGGAGATGGGACACTGATTCATGGGGATGGCAGCGGGAAGAGGCTGAACTGACATTTCCTTGACGTATCTGGGAGGCACAAGTTCCCTGTAACAGAAGTTTGTAATAATCTTCAATTTGCTGTACTGGGAAGCTTTTCCCTGGTAAGTGCCCAGACGCACCAAAATTGCAGTTAAGTCACTATGGGAAATAAAATGAGTTTTCTCCTCCTTCAAATTAAAAGGAGGGAGCAGGCTGGACGTGAAATACACTGCTGCAATAGGACTTGATTGACTTTAATGTGGAAACAGTTGCACAGTTTAATATATTCCCTTGCCAGAAAACCGGGAATTTGTTTCCAAAAGGTCAAAGGCCTCCGGGATGTGTCCTGATTCTTTGTGATTCGATCTGGGCCGTCGTCAATGATTTACCACAGCATTTTGGAGCCAGGTGGGCTCCGTCCTCCTTCTAGCAGTCCCGAAGCCTAAAGCTTTTCTTTGCAGCTAATCTATAGCAAACATTTACATATGGAAAAACAATGCAGTGGAGCCTGTGTCAGCTTTCTCCTCTGATCCTCTCTCTATGCTCCCTGGCTTTAGTGGCACATCAGGCCACGGCTACGGCACACGGGGGGCTCGAGGCATTGCCTTCCCAGAGGTAAGTCAAGTCTGTTCCACCCTCCCACCCCCAACTTTACGTATAGAAATTATGGGCAAGTCGGTCAGCCCATCAATTTTGTCCTGACTTGAGGCATGTGCACACTGTGCTCTCTGTAAACAGCTACCAGAAAAAATAATAATATATTGGCAGTTGTCCAAAGCCCGAGCTAAGGCATCGTAATTCCTTCTTACACGAACTGTTTGCATAATGGTTTTTCTTTTAGAGATTACTATTAAGCCTTATTAAACTTCCTTACCAAAATTACCATACTGGTTTTGGGCACTTGGAATGAACTCCCAATACAGGACAATTTATGAGTGAATACTTTTCATATTCTTTCTCATCAAGCCAGAGCCTCATACCTCTGTTTTTTATCCCTGAACAATATTATTAACCTATACGAGTGCCATTTAGGCTTTGAAGGGAGGGAATAAACAAGTTACCTTTTCCTAAAGCTATAATGTCACGATAGGAAAATGGTTGGGTGTTTTTTTTCTACAGCTATTAGTTTCAGGCTTGTTCTAAAGGCAAATATGATTTAGATGGATCAAAAAAGGTATCAGTGATAATTGGAACGTGGAGACAAGGGGAAGGCGGAAAGGAAAAAAAAAAAAAAGTGGTAGTGATACACTTAATTATGAAGGCTTATTCCAATAATCCCTTTTGAAAATGAATAAAGACGAGATTTTTGATGTTTGATGAACTTATCAAACGCGGCAGAATAATGAAGAGGTAAATGTAAAATCCAATCGAAGGTGAGCCAATTAAGTACTTTGTGAAGTGCTGAAGGATACAGCCCACAAATCCCCCTGTCAGAGCGAAAAGGCATCAATACATACGTGTCCTCCAGCTCCGTGTTTGTCTGCAGGCTCTTGTTGTTTTTCCTAGAGAGGTGGCGGGGTTTTATCTCACACACTGATCTGCATCCACGGGCTCCCTCGCTGAGCCGTTGTGGCTTTCGTTGAGTAAGTCTCTCTTCTGCAGCCTCTGATGAATCCCCAATGTGCTCCGTACCCCTGCTAATTATCAATATTTCTCTTTGGAGTGCAGTCTCGTAAGTAAAACAGACTGCTCATTAGTTAATCACCAAAATAATAAAAATAATGTTTTGGCTCAGAATAACCCCTCAAAATGCTTCAAAGGCTGTGGCAAACACAGAGTTGTACTGACACGCCACAGATTGCTCCTGAAGACAAAGAAACACATTATATAAATAAAGATTGTAGGACTAGGGACAGAAACAGAGATTATAATGACTGGTCTGGGAGGCAAGAGAAGTCTTTTTTTTTTGCTATTGTACAGTGATATTCAGTGTTTATGCAGAAAGCCTGACCCAAGGGCCACTGCGATACAGTACCTTTGCCATGTTCTGCTTCTATACTCTTCCTTTAGTTATTTTCCTCTTCTCAGAACTTACGTATTTCCTTTTAGAAACCATCAACCAACAAATTCTCATGGTCAGCTGGCTTTGTGCCTTGCCTCCTCAGCATTATTGGTGCAGCCATTCCCATCACTCCGCAAATTCCACGGGAATCAGACCCTGGTTTCATACTTGGCAGGAAAAATACTGACCATGATTTCACTGTGGTGCAAAAAAAAAGTGAAATCAGTAGATTTCAGAATAGGCCCAAGGCGATAAACATCACTGCTCCTGGAGTTTGTGATGTGTGTCTGAGAACTGGTCAGCTGGCTTTGTGCCTTGCCTCCTCAGCATTATTGGTGCAGCCATTCCCATCACTCCGCAAATTCCACGGGAATCAGACCCTGGTTTCATACTTGGCAGGAAAAATACTGACCATGAGTTCACTGTGGTGCAAAATAAAGTGAAATCGGTAGATTTCAGAACAGGCCCAAGGTGATAAACATCACTTCTCCTGGAGTTTGTGATGTTTGTCTGAGAAGAAAACCAAAAATAGAAGCCTTTCCTTAAAACCCGTCTCCTTTTGACATTCATTCTGTTTACTCAGTGTATTTAGTCTTATATATACGATGTATGTATATTTCATTGCAATCTACATATTGGAAAGGGCTAGGATCTCTTGGGAGAGCAGGAATCCCAAGAAAAAAACCCTCACCTGCTGCCCCTGACCAATTCTGATGGTGAATACTTGGACAGAGCATCTCGGGTGGTACAGCTCCCCCCCCCCGCCCCAGCTAAGGGATGCTTCTCATTTCGTACAAAATAGGTTCCTGGTGGAAAAAACACACACAGAGAGATCATTTTCTCCCTGCTAGCCTCCAGCCCTCCTTAAAACACAACTTCAAAGGCCTTAGACCGCTTTCTCTTCCCCTCTTTAGAAGAAGCAGCAGAAATGTTAATTCTCCGGCTCCTGTCGACTGTCAGCTGAGCCAGTGGTCAGAATGGACTGATTGCTTTCCTTGCCAAGAGAAAAAAGTAAGGCTACTACTGTAATGTATTCATTTATCTTCAGATGTGTCTGTGATGAGGATGTACACACATTAATTATATATATTATACATATTCATCATTCTGAAGCATCCAGTAAACTCATCCAAATATGATGGAGATGCTCCTTTACTAGAGAGGCTCTTACTTACCCTGGTGTAAACGAGGGAATAAATTCATTTAAGGCAGCAGAACAGCAAAATGAAAAAAAATCAAGGCAAATGGTGGAAGAATCAGGCCAGAATATTTGCCCAAGACTTTTCTCCTTTTCTATCTCAAATTTAATTAAGCATACCCTGATTCTTAATGCAAATATTCCAATGAAAAGAAATTAAAAGCAGCCTTCATTCATCAGCTCCTGATCTCAATTTTTTATATCATTTCACATACGTCTTAATAATTCAAGAATTTATTTTTGAATACCTGAAATAATTCTGCCTTCTGCTGAGTTTATATCCCTGTATTTTTGTTTGTTCCTGTGCTTATAAGCAGCACATGATTTGGCTTTTCTTTCTTTCCTTCCCCCCACCCCAGTTTAAAGAGCAGCAATTCTCATTAATAATCCATCAGAAATGTTGCAGGATCAGTGTTGTAATTAGTGTCTGTGTCCATCTGAGCCTGTTACGTTCTGGGACAAAGCATATGTAACTGGAAAAATGCCACATTATTTCCAAGGTATAAAAGAGGAAAGATATTTTTAAAAACAGTCATTCCAGCCCCCACCAAATTCACCTGTGTGAACTTCAAGCCGATCTCCTGAGCTCCCACCCCTCTGCTGACTCTCCTCCATTTATCACGTGCAAAATCTGTGGACTACACAAAAAAAAAAAAAAAAAAAAAAAAAAAAAAAGAGAGAAAAGCGATAGCTCTAATTGCTTTATAGCCTACGGAGGTGATGTCTGTGGGGGATAAAAGTTAGGTGCTGGCTGTGTTTTAATCTCTTGTGTGGTTCAGCACCGGTACCGGAGGCTGGTGCAGCCAGCGAAGTTCTCGGGGCGGCGATGTGGAGGGTACTTCTGGGATGAAGAAGCTTGCCACACCGAGACAACCTGCACGGGACACCCCACCTGTGGAAAGGACTTTCAGTGCGAGGAAACAGGTGAGTACTGCAAGAGAAAGATGGAAACGTCCCCATCTTTGTTTTTTTTTCCCCCCACTCTTAGAGAAATGCATCCATGTTAGGCTTAGATTTGTGTAGGAAAGAAGGCTGTGTGACATGGAAAAGGTTAATTTTTCAGTGGAACAAAGAGAAGAGAAATATTCTGCTCCAACTGCTGTGCTACATGCTCACACTCCCCTCCATGGGCAGCAACGCTCCCACAACGCACCCCTTTCTCCCCCTGCAGAAGACATAGTTCAATCATGAATCCAACTAGCAATCTGTTGGGGTGATTTATTTATTTTTAGCCATCCCCAGCTCTGAGGATTGGGATATACTACGGCTGTTCTCTGAAAGTCTGAGTAGCCTTGAACAGATTTTTGTTTTTACACAAATGGCTCAAACTCCCATCTTGAGCATTTAATGAAAATTCTATTGAAATTTAGAAATACACACCAGCTCATCAACTGGAGCAGGTCATCTTCGCTTCATTGAGGCAAGTGCAGCAGTACCAGTTGCCTCCTGCCACAAACGTCATGTCAAGGCTTTCTCCTTAGTCCCAGGAGCAAAAGCACTTTCCAGTTGCCCTTCCTGCAAATACCCATTCTTGAGCTATAATTATGGCAATAAACAGGGCAACAAAGATGATTAAGGGATTGGAGCACCTCCCTTACGAGGAAAGGCTCAAGGAGCTGGGACTCTTTAGCCTGGACAAGCGAAGACTGAGGGGAGACCTTATTTATGTTTGTAAGTATCTAAAGGGTGAGTTGAAGGATGTTGGAGCCCGACTCTTTTCAGTGGTTTCCAGCGATAGGACAAGGGGCAACGGGCTCAAGCTGCAACATAGAAAGTTCCATTCAAATATGAGGAAGAATTTCTTTGGGGTGAGGGTGGCAGAGCCCTGGAACAGGCTGCCCAGGGGGGTCGTGGAGTCCCCTTCTCTGGAGATCTTCAAGACCCACCTGGATGCCACCCTGAGTGATGTGCTCTAGGCGTTCCTGCTTTGGCAGGGGAGTTGGACCAGATGATCTCTAGAGGTCCCTTCCAACTCTGACAATTCCGTGATTCCGTGAAACTCCCCAAATACCTCCTGCCATAGGAAGAGGCAAAAAATGCCCTTTAAACAGAGTTGCCTTTCCTAAGCCAAGTGGAGAATCTATTGCTTCCTGTAGCTCCCTTCCAGAAGCATGATTGCAGATAATAAAATTGGGCCAGTGAGGTGACCTCTACTTGACTCCCATCCCATGGGAGCCCAAGGGAGCAGCTGGCTTGGACTCTGAGCTCTGCTCGCTCCAGGTTGCAAAGGAAAACCTCCCCCCTCCAAAGAGCTGGGAAAAGTAAGCACCCCATGGAAAAGCGTTGTGTCTAACACCCAGCGGGACTTCCTGTGGCCCCGAGATACGGGTGGAAACCAGCACAATCAGTGCAAGCTGCCAAAAAGGTGTTGTGAAGGGCAGACGAGCGATGGCCTGTACCTGTGCACTTCAGGTCGCTGCATCAAACGGCATCTTGTGTGCAATGGAGAGCCAGACTGCAGAGATGGGTCTGATGAGGAAAACTGTGAGGAGGAAGATATCGAAAGTCCTTGTGAAGATCTGTTTCCAATCCCAGGGTCTGAAAAGGCAGCCCAAGGGTAAGTAATTAATCAATAGCTGCTACTCTCATCATCAAATCTGGATTCAGCTTTTCATATTGCTCTGTCTCAGTAACAGCAGTGCTCCCTGAAGTGACAGGAAGCCTTGCAAAACCCCAAACTGACCCACCTGCCAATGGGTAGCAATGAGGGAGGCAGGAAGGTTCATCCCAGCTTTAATTTCAAATTCTGCCTCGAACTTACTATTTTATCTTGCCCTCTCCAAAGTACTCTGTACTTGTGATGTCCTCTTTATACTCATGTAAAAAGCACATCCCAGTCATCTTAAAGTTTGCCCCAGTCGATAAAAGCAATATATTAAAGCAAATAGTAGACTCTGGAGATGCAGCATCCTGGTGGCGTTCATCCTTAAGGTGAAGATTTAACTCCAGGGTTTAGGACTTCAGAGCAGAGGTTCAAGGCAGGAAGCCTCAGCTTCACATGAATATGTGCAGGATAAATACTTCTATCCATAGAAAAGCATTACCCTGTCCAGTTTCAAATGTTGGTTAGGCAATACATGCAAAAGAGGAATCCAGAGCAACTTGAAAGGCAAATTGTGACATTCTTGGTTTTAATTGTGTGTTTTAACCAAGCTACTGCTTAGTTTCACTTGGAGAACATGGACTACAGCACGAGAATGTAGTCACCCATGAGATAACTTTCCCATCAGCTGGATCCAGTGCTCTCTGGGGTCCAAGAGATAAATGTCTCTCTGGCCCAGGGCCTGGTAGAGTCCATCAAAAGTTTTTCAAGACATATATTAATTTTTGCTGAGCACCCCATTTAATACCCCTCTCTGATGTGTTTCTCCTGCAGAACACACAAAAGCAATAGTATTTACTATCTTAGCCTTAAAGACGATTCCCCATTGTGAGGAGCAATGCTGCTGTCTCGTCTGAATAATGCTTTCATTTGGGGCCATGGAAGTACAGGGAATATTAAGTAACAGGCGGGATTTCAGAGGGCAGCAGCTGTGATGGCTGGAGAGCAGGAAGAAAGAGGCGTAAGGAAATAATAAGTGAGAGACTTGGCAGAGCACAAGCAGACTGCGAGTCTAGGGAGGGAGATAAGTCCCCTGAGAAATGGGACCATTATTAAAAGGAAGGAGATGAAATAAAGATAGAAAACAATTACAGGAAATGCCAGGAAACACTTGGTGACAGTGAGATGCATTAGGCTGCGAGAGACTCACGGGGGACCTGGAGGAATTCCAGGAGTTTGGGACTAGATGAAATAAAGATAGAAAACAATTACAGGGAATGCCAGGAAACACTTGGTGACAGTGAAATGCATTAGGCTGCAAGGGACTCACGGGGGACCTGGAGGAATTCCAAGAGTTTGGGACTTTGTAACTGTAACAATTCATAACTGGACAATTTAACTGATTTCTTCCATCTCTAGCATATGAGTCCAAACCAATACCTTGGAAATAAAATGCCTTTTTGACTCCTGTTAGCTTTGGGAAGGAGAGAGCAAGGAGAACAGACTCACCTCAGAGACAGATAGACAATGTATAGCGTCAGGAGAACAGAAACACTGACAGAGACTGCTGTGGAAATAAAACAGGAGCTACGGATGACTTTCTGAATGCTGTTCCTTTCCCAGATACAATATCCTAACACAGGAAGAGAGCCAGTACGTATATGATCATAAGTTCTTTGGAGGCCAGTGTGAGTATGTCTACAACGGAGAGTGGCGGGAGCTGAAGTACGACGCCGCGTGTGAACATCTCTACTACGGAGACGACGAGAAGTATTTCCGCAAACCTTACAACTTCCATGTTTACCAGTTCCTCGTAAGTGCTTCGGGTGGTCAAAGTTAGCAGTGTGCTCCCAGATAAAAGCCAAACTCCCTATAAATACATTATGTACATTTTGTTGTTCACAATAGGTTGCCTTTCAAGGTCCCTTTCTCCAGCTGCCCCCAAACACAAGCAATCGATGATATAAATGCTGTTTTATGGCACATCAAGGAACTGACGTGTTTTATCACCCAGGCATCTGCTTACTCTGGCCTAGTCAGAGCCAAGAGAAATGGGTTTTCTCTAAATTCTGCTATTAGTGAGCTGTGGAGCTTGTGCAAGCCACTCGCCTCCCTAGGGATGAAGTTGGCTATGTGTAAAACGGGAGCACTGCTACCAGTTCAATCTTTGAAAGCATTTTAAGTCTACAGCATGGCTACAAGGGACATAAATCCAAATTCTGAGTGAGACAAAGATCCTGAAAGCCATCATCATATATCACACCACCTGGGGGAGGTCACATCTGATGTTGGAGCCTGAACTAAGTCGAGCAGGGATTCAGCCTGAGTGTCCTACCTCCCAGCGGGTACCTTGGCCACCCTGTTAAACATTTACTATGCTTTCTGCAATGAATGAATGAAAGACATGTTATTCCAGGGGAATATTACAGACAACAGCTAAATGCAAGTGCTTTCATTTTCTCCCAGCAAGCAGACTCTCCTGTGACCCTTAGTCCTGTGACCCACCACGTGGGCCACATTTTCTTCTCCCTTTTATCTGCTGCAAGAAGTGTAATGACATCTGCACCATGGTCAGGCCCTTAGGGATGCTTGAGCATGCCCCATATGCATCTTGGCTTAGGAGCTTCTACCTGCTGGGGTCCAGGAAGTCACTGATGACAACGTGAGATGCTTTTTTTCAGTGTTGTTGGTAATTTAGCCAGCTTTTTATAGAGACGGCAAATGGCACAGCCCAGATTCAGCAGGGCTGCTCAATTCCACATGCTGGCAAAGTAGAGCTGTCAAGGAAAAGGTCACTTCTCTCAAACACGGGCAAAACAACGTTTGTTTTCCAGTGTTGCCAACACAAGTGGCTGGATCACAGCTGTTTAAGTTTTTTCCTAAATAAATTCATCCAGAAGCAGGCTGGAGAGAAAAAAATAACTCCAAATCATTAGGATTTGGCAAAGCTGTAAGGATCTGGAAGGAGGATTTTGTAATGGGAAGTGTCGAGCCCTCTTAATAGGCACCATTACCAGCTCTGCCTGTAATGGTACTGCTTGGAGTGGCTGAACACAAACCTTTCCCCTGCCTGGAGATGGATAAAACAAAATGTATGGGTTTAGCTGCATTTCTCAACATATTTCCAAATGAAACAGCGCATGACTAAATTCCTTATTCCATGTTCACTAAGTCAGTGTCAGTGCTGTCAGGAGCATCATGGGCTTCAATAGAGGCACCATCAGCTCCTTAACGAAATGGAGATTAAAAAGAAAGGGAAGTACCTGAAAAATTAATGTCTGCTCCTTTCACTTTAGGCTCATGCTGATTCTGGATTCACTTTTGAGACTTACGAAGATTCAAAGGACCTGCTTGACGCCCTTAAAAAGGAAAAATCCGGATCAATAGGCCTTAACTTTGGAATTTCACCTAAAAAAATACCTGTCCGGTTAAACTTGGGCTTCACTTTGTCAGGTGGCAAAGCAACCACGAAGAATTTCACACAATACGATTCAAAGGTAAAAAAGAGATAATAATCAACTCTGCATATGCTCCAGTTGTGTCATCTGTGCATTGCATGGTCTGGCTATAACTTATGCCAGTTTATTCTCTCAACTGCATTTTTTAACACATAGTAATTATACCTTAATTTGTTCATGTAATTGCAAATGTATGATCGTTAGTAATCCTGTTTGTTGTTCTTATTATGTTTCAGCAAACAGGGAGTGGGAATAAAATTGAATTACAAAATACCACAACACATGTCATCCCACCCCATCCTGTTTCATGGCCACATTAAGCACATAAATGAAAAAATGCTTAAAGTGATGATGAGGGAGGAGGAAATATCAAGACGTTGATCAAAACAGTTGTCCTTAAGGAACGAACTCTGGTAGCAGATATATCTTGTTCAAATTAATACAAGCTGCCTTATGATGGGGAAAGACGTTACTTTTCATGAGAAGTTAAAATACCACACTGAAAGAAGAGTACCCAATAACAGGGTGCGTTTCTCACAGTGAGTTTACATCATGGACTACCCGTGATGACCTCTTTCCAATCTAGTATCATGAGTGCTGGTATTTCCCACATTTACCGTGCTCAGTTTCCACTTCTCTTGTGGCTGCTGACAGAAAACAATACAGAAGAATTACTTTGACGGTGTTCTGAGTTGAAAAGCTGTTGGAAATGGGCACCATTATAGTATTCACTGTGTCCTTGTCTAGACTCACGTGATGTTTGCAGCTAAACGATGATCAATTATTGGAGGAACCACGTAAAAGGCTGTTCTCTTTGCACTGGAGCCTTGTCTGAGGCAACGGCTAATCTAGAAGAGTAGTTGTGGATCTGGTGGTATATCCTCTCCCCATCAGTACCTTCCTGGCCAGGTCTTCCCCTGACTGCCAGGTTGGGCTGGGCTTACCATGAGCCCTTGTCCTGCATCAATGCTCAAGGCTGTGAAAAAAAGCAAAAGGGAATGACCAATATGGAAGGGAAACCAGAAAAAAGAAATAGCAGAAATGGAGGAGGGAGGGGAATTATGTGGACTCTAATTCTGATTGTATTCATACATCAGTAAAAAAAACCCATGGTGTGCAAACCCATGGCTCTGCCCTCCACCTCACACAGCACACAAGAGACACTCCCTGAAAAACAGAATTATTTTATTTAAATGTGGCTGGTTTTCATGCCCTTGACATCCACTGATAGTCAAAAATTCAGGCTTTTCTCTGCAAACCTGAAGAATAGAAATGATTTGGTTTTTTAAAAATAGATGTTGAGTGGAAGCTCCTGTTTTCTTTATCTGCAGGAGCTTGAATTCATTAGAGCTGTGACAAAGGTGCAGACAGCCCGTTTCAAGATGCGAAGGGACAACATCGTTTTGGATGAAGACATGCTGCTCGCCCTGCAAGAGCTTCCAGACACCTACAACTACGGCATGTATGCCAAATTCATTAACGACTACGGCACCCACTTCATGACATCCGGCACTATGGGAGGTGTCTTTGAGTACATCCTCGTCATTAACAAAGAGGAAATGAGAAAAAAAGGTTAGAAAAACACTAGAAATTCTCTGTTCGTAACTTTCAGCTTTAAACAGGGCATTTCCAACCTAGAGACCACGGGGCAGGCCCAGTCCACCAGAGTAATTAATCTGGCTTGGGCTGCTCTGCACCACTGTCATCTCCCTGGGCCATGGGAGGCTGGGTGCTCATCAGCCCCTCTTTGCCAAGCTGGCTTGCATGTCTCATCACATGATAGACACGTGCCCGTCACTAGTCCAGAAATACAGAATGAAGGTGGGGTAGGGGTATCCACATGCACTACTGGCCACGTAGCAGGGGATAAGCTTCAGTGTCCCAAAATGTGATCATTTCAGAAGAATCTGGGTGAGATTTTGGTATCTTAGGAAGGAACCTGAGCATCTTTTTCTCCCTTTCTTTCAATGTCACTTGCTAGACTTCTTTAAACTTCGCCTATTTCTTATAATCTTTGTTCTGGCCATTGTCATGAATGCTCAAGGACTGGAAACTCATCCAGAGTAAAGAAAGATAGCCCACTCATGTTGTAGCCTCCTAACAGTGAGGGTTTCAATTTTCTGTAAATGGAAATAATGCATTGCACTTGGTAATACCTCTGCCACTTTACTCTGGTTAGTGTAGTATCTGAAGACTAAGAGACCTCTGTTATCTCCAGTTCTCAACAAATTAGAGTTTATGAGGCTGGAGAGCCATACCTCTAAATCTCAGTTACATAAAATATCTACTGCAGATGTCTAGAGCGCAAGAATAGCCATTACTGGTGAGCCAAAGCATAACATTTTTTCTAATCAAGAACATAAGATGCAGAACAATAATATGGTACTTCAGCACACTAGCTGAAATGTGGACTTTTGCAAAGGTGTTGACAATGCAATAGACCCCACTTTCCCTAAGGACCATCACTCTGCTCTGCTGAGGGTAACGCTGCCTTGGTAACTCCAGGCTGGACATTTATGCAAAAGAAAATGGTGATCTTGGACAACAGGTGCAAATGGCTGTAATTCCATTAAGTCCATTAATTTCCATGGTTCTATCCCAAATTCTGCCTCCAGTCTGAAATGGTTTGGTACCATCATGCACTCCATATTGAGTTTTAACCATGCCAATTTTTCCACAAGAAATTAACGACTGAGAGAATTTTCATCAAGTTACTGAACTACTAATGTTTGGAAACATGATGTCTCTTCAAATCTTTTATTCACTTTGAAGAGTGAGTGATATAGAAGTGAACAAGATCTTGGCAAGCAAGTCTTCAGGAAGCAGACTGCCAATTTCAGAGGAAGAATGAATCAAGAGCATGAGGAGGGAGGCTATTATTTTGCTTTATCTTGTGCTTGCTGTGTATATAAGGAGGAGATTTACTGCTACGAGATGCCTATCTTAGGAAAGAAGGATGTTGAAGTTCAGCAAAAGACAAAAATGTGCCCCAGCAGAGATGTAATTTTCATTCTAATGTAGCACGCTCCTGTAATTTTCATCTAACCCAGACTCTGCAAGAAGGTCCACATTTACCAAGTCAGCACACTCTGCATCACACGACATAGACCCAGAAGGACCCACCTGGAGTGGCTTATATGCCACTCTTCAAAAGCATTTAGTAAAAAATTTGCTTCTTCTAATGGTGATCACAGCCATGCTTGAAGGCTGTATTTGCAAGAGGATTATCTGTCTCCCCTGAGGAATGGTCAGGATCAGGATACAAGTGCTCAAGTCTTAAAACTAGAGCTTCAAAAGATGAGTTTGAAGCTTTGCAGATGCCTGGAGATGTATTGCTGAGTCCCGACAGGGCTGGGTGGCATGGCACCTGCCTTAGATCAACCACTGCACCCTGAGAGCCCACCTACCCCGTGAGGCTACACATTAAATGCTCTGGAAGAGAAAACACCTTTTTTATAGACCAGTGACTAAAGCACATTGCCCAGGAAAAAGATCCCCAGGCAGTCACTGAACATCCAGCTAGACATAGGCATGAGCTGGACTTCAAGCATCTAGGAAACCTGAAATTTGAAACTGAAGTTCCCTTCTGTGTTTAGATACCCAGGAACAGACCACAACTCACTGGGGCAGAGCTTAGGACTGCAATTTTGCTGCCAGACCCCTTTCCGGCTTTCAGGTTGCCAGGGCTGAAATGGATGCGGTCATGAGTGAAATAAATACATATGTCAGAACGAGGTCCCTTGTTGCTCTGCCATCAATATTTTTCATTACTTGTTTTTAAAATAGATTGTTATGGTTCTATTATTTAGCAGAAAACAGTATAATGTGTTCACACATTACAAGAACATTTATGGGAGAAACATTATGCGCAGAGTAAATTAGAAAGACTCTTCATATATTCTGATTAATTCAAAATGCAGCAGTAAATCTTATCACTCGAGCACATTTAACTATCGCAAATTATATCATAAGAAAAAAACTATCAAGGCTCCCCCCTCAAGTGCCAATATTTTCTATGACCACCCTTTTGCAGTGATAACCACTTTTCATTTATCAAGACCCGATCTTGCTGCAACCAATAGCGAATTGTATTGACAGACCCTCGCTGAACATAATTACTCAACGGGAACCATGGCGAATCAATTAATCAGGGTGTTCCTCAAGTTTAATTTTATGGCACTCCAACACCAAGATAAGCAATCACTCATGTTGCTTTGGGTGAATGAACTTTACCCACTGTGTTTACAACTGTTGAATAGTTTAGTACAAGTAATTGAGTGCTACACATTTAATCTTTCTCAAGGGCCCAGTTCTGCAATGGGATGTAATTCCCCCTGAAGTCTTGAGCATGCTTCAGCTCTCACCAGTTTGAATCCAGGACTTGTAGCACCTTTCTTGAGATGCTAAGTACCTCTGCTGGTTGGGACCTACCAAGCCAAGGAGCTGTGCCCCATAGAACTCCAGCCAGGTGTGCAGAAGGGAGCAAAACCAGAGCTCTGGGTGTTTTCAGTATTTTAAACATGAGGAAGACAAGATGCTGCTCCCCAGTGCTGGGGTGAGGCAGTTCAGCACACAGAGCTCTAGGCTGGAGCCTCAATCTTCAGACCATTAAGCCACGATGCCCAAATCCTGCTGACCTCTGTGCCTCCCTTTCAATACTGGGGTATTGATCGCTGGGCTGCTTTGTAAAACACTTTAAGGCCTTCTGACAAAAAGAGCAATATAAAAGTTACCTATTACTTACAATACCCGCATTTATTGAAATCAATGGATTTTTTAACTACTACAGAAGACGGCCTTATATTTGCAGTACACTGAAGTGTGTACATAAAACCAGGCTGTATGAAATATGCGCATTGCTTACCTTGGTGAAACCACCTCATTAGTTCCCTTCTCCCCTCTGCAGTCGCTTCATGGGTCTCCAGTTACATATTTCCATGATGAATGTGGCGGTGCTGGTAGCAGCAGCCCAGCAGCAGGCAGGAAGGCTTTGGCAGCTCTCAGCAGACAAACCTTTTGCAAGTTGCTACTTAAGATGCTGCTTAAGCCACGAACACATGGGTCAGATCCTCAGTTTAGGAAAATAAGCAAGGGTCTGTTGATTTCAGCTGGTATTCCCGGCTTTACCCTGGTTACAAGTTAGTCTGTAAAAAAAATAAAAATGTTTTATTTTTAAATAAATTAACCAAACAAGGAAATACATGCCTGAAGCCCTGTGTTAAGATTTTTACTTTCTTCTAATACTTTCAAAGGAAATGTTTTTACGGTGAGGACATTTCCCTTTTCACCTATTATGGGATAGGTCCAACATACCCCACTAAAATATTGGCTTTTCCACTGCAAGACTGAAGGCTGTCCTCTGCCTGGAACAGGTCTTGACTTTGAAAAACGAGACCCTGCAAATAAATGAATATTTTCTTCATTTAAAAAAAAAAAATCAAGTAGGAATATGAACATCCTTCCAGTCAGAATGAGTCACCAGCTTTACTGGCTTCCTTTCTGTTTTGCAGACGTCCGCACCGAGCAGCTAAATGGCTGTGTTGGGCTGTCACTCGGCGTTACAGCCACCTTGAAGAAACTGCAGGTGATACCAACTGTGTCAGCCTCTTACTGTGCATCGCAAGGATTTATGAAAACTGGTATGATAGCAGGGCACCTTGTTAAGGTCTCCTGTGTCACTTCTTTTGGTCACTCGAGCATGGAGATTCAAGCAGGGTCACAGAAGGGTATGAAGAAGGGAGCTCTCGTGCCATCCCCAGACATGGCTCAGGTCTAATTGGGGGACCAAAGTGACTTTGGTCCAAGTCTCCAGAGTACTGATTGCTCTTGAAAGAGCAGGAATTAAGGTAGCAATACCTGGCTTAGAAACACGTGTAAATAGAGGCATGGGGTGGCTGGGAGGCTGCAGTCTCTATAGGGACAACAGACTGGGCACAGATGACAAGGGCAACGTGGCAACTATTAAAGAAGTCAAAACTGACTATAAAAAGTACTCAAAGAGGCTAAGAAGCATCAGATTTTTAAATCACTTAACCAGCTACAGACAGGGTGATATACCGCCCACGTGCTAACTGGAAACAAAGGCTGGAGGTGTGCTGGAGGCTTTTCAGGTCTTACCAACCTAGAGCATTTGTGATGCTCAACTCATCACCAACCGCCTTGTGATAACGTGGCAGGGCTTGCCCCGCCAGCGGGGAACGCCAAGCTCCCATCGATTTCAGGAGGCAGCATCAGTGCTGCTCAGTGATAGCCCCTTACACCATTGATCTCACCTCCATTCAGCAGTTTCATGTGTGTGTGTGTAAACGATAACTAAATAATATGGGTGCAATTCAACTTTTCAGATCGTAACAGCAATGGGGCAGTTGTGGAAGATATTATTCCCCGGATTAAAGGTGGAGATGCCAGTTCCAGTGGAGGGCTCTTAAACAGTTGGGATGGCAATATATATCGTCACTGGGGAAGGTCATTAAAATATAATCCTGCTGTTATTGATTTTGAGGTAAGGCTTTTCTGCAGTTGAAGAAACTCTGCCGCTATAAGGAATGAAAGTGTAGTCGAGCAGATCATTTCGTATTTTTATTGTGATCCCATCACAGAACAAGATTAAATGTAATGGGCCACTGATCTGGTAACCTCTTATTCATTTCACAATGGGGAGTACATCTCCCACCGACTGCATCCGCAGGGAGACAGACAAGGAGCTTAATGCTGGATTAGTGCCGAGTTAAGTTTTTGATGTGTCCCCAAACAGCTTCTCGATGAATGGCTCTCTGCGGTAGCATTCATCCCTATTATTCTCCCCAGCACTATCCGCCCTCCTGTATAAGCAAGGGACTCGCGGGGGGCTGGGGAAGGAGTCTTCTTCCTCCCAGCAAAGGCTCTGCAGAGACCCCCTCCCGCTTTTCACCTGCCTCAGAGCCAAAGTGGCTATGCCAAGCCTCTGCAAACCCACAATACCTTGGTGGGTATTGCTATGGGTGCTTCCAGGAGTTTTTAGAGTAGGGGGCTCCTGGTTGCTTTGTCAGGCGAGTCCTGTCTCTCCCTATGCTCCACAAAGAAGGTCCATGGCCATAAAAATCAGTCAAGTTATCCTCTTCCCTTCATATTACTGGGTGCCTCATACAATGGAAAGACCACTGAACCATCCTGCCGGGCTTCAGAGACGCAGAGGAGATGGGTACAAGTAGAGGGGATGGAAAGGAAGAAAGAATCCAGGACCAGAGACCACAAAGGCATGAGGAGACAGACACGCTCCTCAGCTGTGGTGAGGAGTACCACATCTACCCTGAGATGCTCCCATTGCTGGTCTGCTCTGGGAGGGCAGCTGTGGCGTGTGGGGGAAGGACCTCAGTCATGGCAAGGACACACTGCCACTTGCATCCCTCTCATCTTCATCTGAAAGCACTTCCAACTCCTGGATCTGACAGAGGGTGGGAGAAGGGAAGGTGGAACCAGGAGCCATCTGTGGTGTTGGCAGGGCAAGAGGGAATCTGCAAACCCTTCCTGGGCAGCACCCTGCCGGCAGAGAGCCCTGATTAAGTAGAAGCGCTTTCGGTTCCAGCTGAACGCATGCTGCAGGTTATTCACCTTTCTGCACAAGTTCCCATCAATCCTGGGCAAAATTCATTGCAATTTTCCAGTAAACCATGCGCTGACCTCTCTGTTGGCTGCTCCAGAGCTCAGCAGTTGCTGTGCAACGGGAGCTGCCGATAAGTGCTCCTGGCCACTTGAGTGGCTCTTATCGGCAGCTCCCTCTCCTTTGTTAAACAGCCCTGTGCAAATTTGTCTACCAGCTCTTCCCAAAGCCCAGCTGATCCTCCCCACAAATCCCTCTCACTGCACCTTGTGCAATGAGACGATGCCCAGCTCTTCTCTGGGACAGCTTTCCACCGATTCCCAGCCAGGACACGCAGCGTTTGCACAGATGGACAAAAAAATAAATATCTGTCCTCAGACCAGCCCTGAGCTTTTAGCTTTAATATTCAGTTGAATATTAATATTCAGTTGGGCAAATTATAATTACCATGGCCCCACGCCGGACTATTTTTGCTGAATGATATATAGGAACTGGATTTTGCTGCTGAAAATACTATGAGCGTGTTATATTTTTAAAGCTGCAAATGGCACAATATTATTTCGCTGTATCCAAGGGCAAAAAGTAGGCAGATAAAATTCTTCATGCTCAGCATTTATCGGATGGTTCACAATTTCGTCACGATTAGCTAAGCTGGCACCAAGTTTTGGTGATACCCACTGTCCAAAGCTCTTACCAAAACATTTTGGTTCAAAAAGGCAAAAAGCAGGCAAGAATCTCTGGGATCGTGACAGCACTAAGAAAGGAGTCAAAAAATGGGCTTACTGGGGTGCTTAAATTTATCATTTGAATCCAGTCTGAATCTCCAACGCATGTCCAGAAAAGCCAATCCCACAGAAACCTCAAAGATGAGGAGGGTTTTGGAACGGTGGTTTCTCACCCAGGCCCATCAGTCGTGGTAACACATTTGCATGATGTACATGGAGCTGTCAAGGAGACAAATGAGTTTTTTTCTGAGCCCTGGGTTTATCCAGCAATGTCACAGCTCCCTGACTGCTGCGTGGTAGCATTTCAGTGGATGCCCAGCTGAAATTGTCTCTGTGCTCTTCATCTCCACCCTACGCAGCTGCAGCCCATCCACGAAATTCTCCGCAGAAGCAACCTCGGCGACATGGAAACCAAACGGCAAAACCTGAAACGGGCTTTGGAGGATTACTTGGAGGAATTCAACACCTGCCGCTGCGGACCCTGCCAGAACAACGGCGAACCCCTTTTGGTGGGAGACACGTGTTTCTGCCAGTGTCGACCAGGGGACGAAGGCCCTGCCTGCGAGCAGACCAAGCGCCGAGGTAAGACCCCGGCCTGCACCCGTAGCAGGAGAAGGCAAAAAGCAGCAAAAAGACAGGGTTTTCCCCTCCATGTCATTACCCAACACCTCTTTGCATCCATGCATTGATCGAGCTTTCGCTCCTGTATCACTTTTGTTGCTACGCTATATCCTAAGCAGCCCTGCAAAAAAAATTAAATTAACAGTTCGGGTGATTATTATAAATAAATTAGTGGAAATTAGGATGTGTTTAATAGCTGGATACTTACTGACACGTTGCAGAAAGCTGAGCTGAGGTGCAGCAGGCCATATTGCCTGTTAAAGGATGGGCTTGCCCTGCAGTACTCTATGGAAGCAGCTCGTTAGTCTAAATGAGACCATCACCTGGTCCTCACTGACCAGCTGGGACATCCCCCCATGGATGCCTGCTACAAAGGCCAGAATGAAAACATCAACAGGGAGGCTGAAAGGGGAAGGCACATTAACTGGGAAGTGGTGCTCAAGCGATGTGTCACCAAAGATGCTGTTAGTTAAAAATTGCCACATTGTCAGATATCCCCCCCCAACAGGGCAACTTTTTAACTAGAGGGAAGTACCTATTTTTGGGGAGAAAAAAAAAGTGTTTTTCCAAAGTGATGAGCTTTTATTTATGATTTCTTTATTGCTTAATACACTACCCTAAAAAATTAAATGGGTGCAAAAAAAAGCCAATCTTGGAACATGCTCTTTGATTTCAAAAAAAGTCAGTTCTTTCTGAACTGGATATTCAAAAACATTCAAAAATTCAAAAAAAATTATGACAAAAAAATCCAAATGAAGCTGGCACAAAAATCCATCTTCAGAGCAGTTCCACCAGGTAGAGCTCTAGGCTTTCAACCGTGTGCTCATAACTAGAGTCTCACCACTGGAAAATCAAAGCTGGGATGAGATAAGGAGTTAGAGCCAAACTGGGTAGATGATTCACAAAGCTGAAGTCAGAAGCATTGCTTCAGTGACTCAAAAGTGGGTTGCTCAAAACAAAAATCTCAGGTTGAGTTGTCTGCAAATCCACGGAACCGACTTCAGATGACGAGAATGGAAAGCTCAGGACCTGGCCCCAAAGCAGCCCACCAAACTGGCTGGCCCCTCTGCTCCCTCCTTTTAGTCATAGCAGGGATGGACACACGCAGTTCCAGCTTATGGGAAATGAAGCCAATTCTTAGTTTCAAAACTCATTTATGACCAAACCCAGTTTTTTAAAGAATGATGTACCAGCAGACGGGAAACCCAGCTTTTCAGCCAGCACTAAGTAAGAGCACACACGTCCATTTGTGCTGTCTGGATTACTAAAGTGCCCAAGCCAGGCATGAAGGCCAGTTGAGTAAATAAAAAACGACAGTAAATGACAGCCATCAAGCACTCCCATCATTCAGGAGCACTGCCATAATCCATAGTATCGACCGCTCCTGACAACTCAGTCTGTACTGTAATGAAAAAGCCTTGAAATGACCCGATCTCCAAAGGGATGGGCAGACTTTTCAAAACACCTCCACAACTTTAGGAGACTTTTGTCCCTCTGGCTTGGCCAGAGGTGGGAAAGTTAGTGCAGAGAGAGCTGTCAGCTGCCCTTTGGGAAAGGAAAGGCAAACTGCAGCCTTTCAAAGGAAGAGAGGAGGAAAAGAAACGGGTATTATTGGCTGAAGAAGGTGATGCTGCTTCATCTCCCCTGGCTTCAAAGCATCTATCTCAAAAGCCATCTGTGTGCTGGGCATGGCTGGGATGGACCAAGGAACCTGCTCCCACCCAAAGTATGCTGCTGTCATCAGGCCATATGTAGCACTTCAGACCTGAATAATTTTTTTCTTTTTTTTCCCCCCTATTTTATTACCTTTCCAGGTGGGGAGACGAAAGGCCACTGGAGCTGCTGGTCCCAGTGGAGTCCCTGCCAGTCGGGCACGGCGCGGCGCAGCCGGCAGTGCAACAACCCATCCCCACAGCGTGGTGGGGAGCCCTGCGCCGGGAGGGACCAGCAGAGCAAAGCCTGCTGAAAACCCACAGGACAGCATCGCTCCCCACAGGTACAGTCTGGAGTCTGTGCTGGGCTATAGATTCCCTGGGAATAATCCTTCCTCCAATGGAATTGCACTGGGTGGAAATAACTGTCAAATATTGCATTTCACAGAATCTTCATGGTTGGAAAAGAGACAAAACCCAACAGTCTCGGGCATTAGAGCATGACCATAAGTGCCATGTCTACACGTTTCTTAAATACCTCCAGGGATGGTGACTCCACCACCTCCCTGGGCAGCCTGTTCCAGTGCCTGACCACTCTCTCAGTAAAGTAATTCTTCCTAATATCTAATCTAAACCTCCCCTGCAACTTCAGACCATTTCCTCTGGTCCTGTCATTATTCCCTTGGGAGAAGAGGCCAACACCCACCTCTCTACCATCTCCTTTCAGGGAGTTGTAGAGGGCAATGAGGTCTCCCCAGAGCCTCCTCTTCTCCAAGCTAAACATGCCCAGTTCCCTCAGCCTCTCCTCCTATGACTTGTTCTCTAGACCCCTCACCAGCTTGGTGGCTCTCCTCTGGACACGCTCCAGCACTTCAATGTCCTTGCTGTAGGGAGGGGCCCAGAACTGAACACAGCACTCAGGTGAGGTTTCACCAGTGCCCAGTACAGAGACATCATCACTGCCCTGCTCCTGCTGGCCAAGCTATTCCTGATACAGGCCAGGATGCTGTTGGCCTTCTTGGCCACCTGGGCACACTGCTGGCTCATGTTAAGCTGGCTGTCCACCAACACCCCCAGGTCATTTTCTGCTGGGCAGCTTTCCAGCCCCCAAGCCTGTAGCATTGCCTGGGGTTCTTGTGACCAAAATGCAGGACCCGGCACTTGGACTTATTAAACCTCATTCCATTGGCCTTGACCCATTGATCCAGCCTGTCCAGACCCCTCTGTAGAGCCTTCTGATCCTCAAGCAGATCAACACTCCCACCTAGTTTGGTGTCATCTGCAAACTTACTGAGGGTGCACTCAATCCCCTTATCTAGATCATCAATAAAAACATTAAACAAGACTGGCCCCAGAACCAAGCCCTGAGGGACACCACTGGTGACCGGCCGCCAACTGGATTTCACCCCATTTCTATATGGAGACATGCTGGATTCACTTCATAAAATCAGACCAATATAAAACTTTATAAAAGTTTTATAAAGTTTTTAAGAAAGCAGCCATCTCTGGCTGCCCCCTCACACCATGAGATGTGATGGGAGCCCCACCAGTTCACAGCGGCAGGGCTGCAATACAGGAGATGGTGGAGAATCCACATGGGTGGTTTTGCTGCTGCGTGACCATGGGTCTATAAGGTGTCATGAAATAAATTTAGTAGAAGTGTTTACATGAGTAAGCTTGACTCACAGAGATTTTTATATTTGCCTTTGGAAAACCCATTAAAAGCTCACGATCCTTGCATTTTTATGCAGTTGGTATTGACATATGTAACATGAAACTTTTATAAGTTGGCGCTGTCAGATTTTTAAGTCCAGCATATTGGCCAGGGCTGCCTTTGCAGCAAAGCCATATGCTGCTCTGTATGGGAGGAGGCTTAAGCCTAAAGACACCAAAGCATCATTGCGAAACATGAACCCAAGCTGATGAAAAATCTGAAATATACAAATAAAGCAACAAACAGACATGCTGCTGATGAAAAATCTGAAATATACAAATAAATATACAAATAAAGCAACAAACACAACCATTCTGCAGAGGATGTTCACACACAAATGAAGGCTACTCCTCTTTTAAGATCAGTGATGAACTGACTATTAGCACGCAGGCTTTTTATCTCCCAGACACCCAGAGCCAGAGAAGATGCTAACAGACCGCTTGATTTAAGGGGCTTTTTTGAATGTAAGACGTAAATCTCAGCACAAGAATACACACAGTATTGAACTGTGTCCAGAGACCACAGCGAGAGCTCCCAGCTCCCTCTTAATGAACTGCTGCAAAAACCTGGGGTGGAGGGAAGGCGAATGGCACTTCATTTTACTGTGCTTTTCATTACTAGAGAAGAAGAGAAAAAAAAAAAGCTCTGAGAAGGAATCAGGCATTATGAAAAGCAACACAACAACAAAACCTTAAGGCACAAAGGAGCACTTCCATATACATTTGAATGGAAACAGGGAGCAGAAAGGAATCATGGTTTAGTGAAAGAAATGTGCTTGGCTATAGCTCTGATTCTTGGAAATGCTTGTTTTTCAACAGTGTGTCGGTGGTGATTTAGAGCCCGACACTTACCTGATGTAAATCAGTGTCACCCCTTCAGGGCAGCTGATTTATGCTACCTAAAGATCTGGGCCCATGTTTTCTTTTGTGTGCATGTTTGCCAAAGGACAATTTTTTCCCCACTTCTCTTTTGCTTGAAAATGAAACTATCATTTTGTATATGAAAACAACAAGCCATGTTGTCTCAAACTCAGACATGTAATCGTTCTGTGCAAAAACCCTATGCCAACTTTGCTTTTCCAGGTAAAGCTGATTTTCACCCAGAGATGAATATTCTCCCAAGGGCTTGAACCTGATGTCTTCTACGTTGGGAAAATGCAGCAGCCTAAAGCACCCATTTATCGCTATGATTTAGACATCCCAGAGGAACAGGAAATGATCAAAATAAGGTTTCCCACCCATGGTTTTATCAGTACTGTCTGGCGTCGGGCTGGCAGGTTATGGAGAAACATGAGACAGCGCTCTTACACCAAGGACTTGTTTGGCTCAGAGGAGATTCTTACCTTTATACTGACTGCTTAGGACTCAGGAAAACACCTGAAAATAAGCGAGTATGAAGTCACCTTGGTTAGAAAGCCACGTGTGCTTCTTTTGTGACCAGAAGGAAGAAATTAATGAATGGAAAAATGGGACGCCTTGGAGGCTGGGGAGGGACGGGGCCTGCAGGAAGGCAACCTGCATCCTCAGCTTTTAGAGCCACTTTTATCAGGATAGATCACAGGCTGGAAAACCACACACACAAAAAAAATCCAAGTGATTAAAGAAACCACATGTGAAATACCACAATGAAACACATATAAATAAGAGCGAAAAAGCTGGGATTTGCCTGCAGTTGTTCATTCTCCACGTTGAACGCCGTGGTGTCAAAATAGAGAGATGAAAGCCAGGATACACGTGGGGCAGAGCTCGTCGTTCACCTCGCAACCCAGGGCAAGGAAATACAAAGCCAAGGGTTCCCTTCAAATGCCAAAGGTGGCTCGGCAGCAGCCCCTCTCCTCCCACTCCACATCCAGGGCTCAGACATCCGCACGGCTGAATCTCAGGAGCAGCAAAGCTGAAGTCAAAAGAAAGGAAGAAGCTGCCTGCAAGATCTGGGGGGGAAAAAAAACCCAAACAAACAGATTATGAGCAATTACACATTTACAATGCCAGTCAAAGAAGCTACTATATCTCATGCTGAAGTGGCCAGGCATGAGAGTTGTGCTAGATGAGATAAGCAGCAAAAACGTACGTTTCTTACTTAAACTTAAAGCTTAGAGGGTACAATAAAATACTGCAGTTCTACCCTGGCTTTAATGAATGGATTTTCCCCTCTTGCACACTGACATACATTTGATATAGCTATTTATCCTATATATTTCTTGCGGCATATTTCCCAGGAGACCTTGTTTATCTTGCTCATAAGTACATGATGGATGTATGGTGCTTTGGATAAATGGTATCACAATCAGATATTTTTATGGATATAGGCAAACTGGGTTATTAACAAAGGAAGGGCAGAGAGGAACCAGTACGTAAAAGAAAATAGGAAATGATTGATGACAATACACCTGAGGTTGCAAGGTGCAGACTCCAGATAACCAGCTAACAGAAGAGGAGATAAGGGCAGTGCTTGAGACAGAGCTGTTTCCTACCTTGGGGTCAATGTCACGCCAACTACCCAAACGCCCGCATCCCTCCGAGCCTGCAATTTCAGAGCAGGCAAAAAAAATTCCCCAGCAGGAGCGGCTGGAAAATCATTGCCCTCCTTTTTAGATGGTTTAATGCAGAGGCACGTGAAGATACAAAACATTTAATCCTACCCCCCAAAAACCTGAAACAAAAGAAACGCCAGATTCTGGAGCGTTTGGGGAGGGACTGGCATTTGTTGTGCTCCTCTATCACGCTCAACACAGCAGGACTCTTGGTGCTGCATTACAATTAAGTAAGAAAAAATGTTCATAATGGTAATAATTACTGTCTTCATCTCTAGTTTTGTTGATTTACAGAAGCAGGGGAGTGTTAAAATAGGATATAATAGGAAGACAAATCTGCAGGCATAATTTGACCTGAAATCCAGCAGTTGTCTTGGGTGTTCACTGGGCTGTTTAGCCAGCAAGGTAGAAGAAGGAGGAGTTGGAAATCTGGGGACTGCTAACACCTCTGCATGGACTCGCTGGGTCGCTTTCAACAAAATCTCTCCATGTGAGAGAGAACCTGTGGAGCAACAACTACGTCCATCTGATAGCGGGAGAAAACAGGAGCCTGATAAAGTAATTTAGCAATACCGTGACTACCACAGAGTTGGCAAGTCCCCAGCTGCAGCCTAGACCATGTCCCAGCCTCACAGGTAAACATAAAGTGTCTACGTGACAGGAAAAGACAAGGAGAAAATGAACCCAGGCTGGAAACCAGCCTGATTTACCCACTCCTGATGGAGATGTTAAGGGACTGCAAAGGTCAAGTAGGTTTTGTCCTGGGAAAGCTGGATGTGACAATTAAACTTACCAAAAATACTGTTTTGGGAGCTTCCTAAGCCTTGTCGACTGTATCCAGCACACATCACAGCAGCAACGTCTTCCAGCAGAGAGGTGGAGAAAATACAGCTTCTTCAGGTTTACTGAGTTTATTTTCTCACCAGCAAAACTGCTTGTGGAAATATAATATAGGATGTAGCAAAGCCCATTCAGACAAGTGTCTTAATGAGAGAAAAGGGCTAGAGCAGTGCAACCAGTGCTAAACCTGCACACATCGTGCCTGCAGCCTCCCCAAGCTTTCATACATGGGTTATTAATCTAAACTTACACAGAAAGCGTACGTTAGAAACACCAGTAAAAGATAATACCAAAATTTAATGCGTACCAAAATGAAACAATAAAAGCTTCAGCAGAGTATTTTTTATTACCCTCCATGTCATAATTCATTAGTTAGTTGAATCAAAGCACAAAATCACAAGGACAAGGTAAAATTCTGTCCTTTAAGGGAGGCTTCTAAGCCTATAGGCTCAATATTCCACCACTACTGAAATCATACGTCAGTTAGACTATCCTGCTGATCTTGAAGATGGTCAAATCTCCCCTCTCTTCCTCCAGAAAAACTCCCAAATATCCATACCCAGGCATTGCAGCTTCAAAAAATCTTGGCTTTTCTGATCTGGGAACAACAGTCCAAATTCAGGTTGCTACACTTGGCTCTGCTTGCCACAGCAGTGGATGGACACATCATGGCTATGTGTCAGAGTGCTTACTCCAGCTTGATGATCAGGAAAAGGGGTCAAATTTACAAAAGTCACTTAGCTCATCTGAGAAAGTTCCTTAACCAGACTATATCGATGCTTCTTGAGAAAGGGTCTTGATCAGGGTCCTCTGCTGCACAGCTTCTACAGTGTCTCTTTAAAAAGCCTTGAAGAATATCATACTTAGCATAAGCAGTGACCTCTTTGACCATGAAGCTCTTGGCAAATTTTTATCACACAAAAGATATCACAGTTACACAGTGGATAATGGAAATGTTTTGGGTTGGCAGCTCAATTATGAAGCCCATAATGAGCACGGAGCACTCTTCTTTTACATATGCAATGTGCTCTTCCTTTCTTAAAGCTGTCACAGAAACCTTGTTGATAAGTGTGGAGGCGGCATGAGGGCTACAACTAAATGCATGTTCCATTGTTCAGATGTCAGAGAGCTTGAGTTGTTCTTACAAGAATTACACTTAGACAACGTCAGTCTGAAAGGAGAGAAACTGGTGATACCAACCCATCATCACCAGCACTGCTAAAAACCCTCCAAATGGTGTTTGACCTTGCAGATGTTAGAAGACTCACAAAACTTACGAACAACTTTGCTCTGGTGGAATTGTTTTCCTGGAGCAAAGCTATTGCTGCTTATTTTACAGCATGCCTCGACAAGTGTCTTCCTTTACAAAAATCAATAACCACCAACAGAGCTGTAGGAGGCACATCCCTGGAACAAGCCAGGCTCAGGTCAGTCATGAAATGGTGCCCCAATATTGCAAGTTCCTCTTTTGTTTGACCTGCATTGCGATGCACAGCTCCAGGGACAGTAACAAGGGGTAAACCACTCACTTAGCTCTGGCTCCTTTCATAGCAAGATGGCTTTTTCGTAGCTCTCCATCTCAGATGTCCTACCCTGAGTGGACTAGCAGTGCAGCTGTGAAATACAGGCTTTCCTGGGATCAGAGAATCATAGAACCATAGAATCGTCTAGGTTGGAAGGGACCTTTAAGATCATCTAGTCCAACCATCAAAATAGCTCTGACAAAAAGAAATAAAAAAGAACCAAACCAAAAGAAAACCATACAAAAGGACCCCCTACATTACCAAACTATATCTCTAAGCACAACGTCAACCCGTCTCTTTTGAAAACCTCCAGGGGTGGTGACCCAACCACCTCCTGGGCAGCCCATTCCAATGCTTAATAACCCTTTCCATGTAAAAATTCTTCCTAAGGAATTCCCTCCTCTTGCCAAGGAGCCAGAGCACCGGTGTATCTGAGCACACCGTGGGCAGCCCATTCCAACGCTTAATAACCCTAATTCTTCCTAAGGAATTCCCTCCCCTTCCCAAAGAGCACCGGTGTATCTGAGCGCACCAGGGTGTATCCGATACTCTCGATGGATGTGTTCTACTTCAGAAACACACAGGAGGAAGCTCCTTGCTGCTGTAGGAGCACAACTGCTACATAGTCTAACAATGCTTCGGTGTCACCAGACTGTTCTTCACAATTCGGTTTTTCACTCCTTCAAGACAATTTCTAATACGACAGACAATTTAAGTTAAATGCAATAAATCGGGAAACTGGGGTAGTGAGGCACAGCGGCTTTAAATGTCACATTAGATACTATGGTGCTCATTGAGATTTAGACTTTAATATGCTGTATTTTGCTCCACATGACACAGCTGTCTTCACAGTAGCTGCATATTAGCGCACATTCTGGTGCACGTAAGATCAGTCAGTCTCTTCTAATCTCAAAGGAACCTTCAAAAACAAGACAGGAAAATTCAAAATCATGCAGCTACCAAACAAGGCACGAGATAAAGCTTGTCTCAGTTAGCCCATTGCAAAAAAAGACAGAGGAAAATCAAAATATTAAGAACATTAAGCACAGTTGGTCCCATGGGACACCTACAAAGCACATCTGAAGGTGTGATTCATCACACACACCCAGCTCCCAACATCTTCTGGAATGTTCCAACTTCAACGCACTTGGATGAGACTCATAGGCAGAGTGAGTCCAACATCTTCCCACTCCATTTGCAAACTGCTCCTCCCTTTTGTGTTGGTTCCTAACGATTCCCTCTAGCAAAGAACTGTCTCAGCATCTGGCCCTGAGCACGATGAACCACCATTTTGCGGGGCAGGGTTGTTGCACTGTCGTCTCCTTGTTCGTTGACCTCCTGAACATGGCGACCAGCTGGCCCAGCAACCCCAGTTTCCATTCACAGCAGCATCTGGAAAAAAAAAACCAAAGCCAGAAAGGACTGTCAGAATAAAGCAGCCCTTTCCACAGGAAGAGCTGTCAGCTTCCATGAATCGTATTTAAATACAAATAGCTCTCCCCCTGTCCACATCACTAGGAATATACTCCAGTCATTTAAAAGGGTGATTGTTTTGAAGACGTTAATTCTCTGTTCAAAATTTCTGATGTTTGTTCAAACTATGCTTTATGCAGAAAGGACAAGGAAAAAAAAATCTATTAGCTTTATATTTGCTTGTAGGGTGTTTTTCTGACATAGTCCAAGCCTAGGTAAGTAAAAGAGCAACTAAATTCGTGTCAGCCACGTTTTGAGGTTCTAGGGGAAACGTTATCACATTCTTCTTCAATGAACAACAGCTTGAATATTCAGCTTTCTATCTGTTGCTTTTCCTATTACTCTGCTTCTTCTAGACCCTGAGCACGTGAGTGACATAAATTCAGAATCCTGAGAATCAGGGAGCCGAACACAGAGGCAGTGCATAAAAGGAGGAAAGGGGAGTGAGAAAGGAAGCTACACGTTGACAAGTGGATGGATGTGAGTCTTTGGGAGGGTCGGATGCGATTACGCGTGTGGTAAGCAGACTGGAACGAGGTGTAAGTGACTCCACAGATGAAGGCTCCACGGACTTCCTCAGAAACACCTACAAAATTGACCCTCTGCTTGGTGAAATCTTGGTTTAAAACATATTTCAGACTGGCTTAGTTAGGACACAGTCATGCAGAATGAGAACTGGATAAAAGACTGTAAACAAAGCACAATGATAAATGCAGTGCATCAAATTGTGGGATGGTGCCAGAGCTCTGGGTGCCTGAGATCTGGTATTATTTAGCACCTAAATTAATGAGTTGGAAGAAGTAAACAAAATGATTAAATTCACAGATCATCCTAAACTACAAGGAATTAAGAACATCAGTCAGCAGACAGCAGCGATCCAAAGTGACCAAGAAGCATTAGTAAATGCTTCAAGACAACATAATAGGATTTTAAGATTAAAATGCATGGTAGTATATCTGGGGGAAAACAGTTTGCAACCTACTGGCTGTGTCAAAGGGGAAAACTGGGGAAACAGAGCTGTTGGAGGAGACCTAAGGCTTGTCATGGATCATAAATGAGGCAGGAGTTCATACTTTGATATAATTGCAAGATGCATTTATGCAACTTTGAACTGCAAAAGTAAAGTCACCTCCTCGTGAGTGCAAAGAAATTCAGAAGAGGGCAAGGGAAGTCTATCTGTCCCTTTGCAGGACCCTTACTAACCCCTCGTGCACTGGGCTGGGCAGAGTGGGGACAGCCAGTGCTGGGCATTGCCCCCCATCCATCATTTGCTGTTCCCAGACACTCCTAAATCCTGCTGGGACCGTCTCCTCACACTTGGGTCCCTCTTACCTCCCCTCTTGCTGATCTCGCAGGCAGTGCCCCTGTAACCAAGGGGACACAGGCATTCACACCTGGTTCCTGGAAGTAAGCAGAGATGGTGGGATTAGAGACTTCAAGTCACCTTTGCCTGCAGACTCCCATTTCTTCTCAGTGCTTCATCTTCCGTGAGAAAGGGACAGTGGGCAAAATGATATCACCATTTTTCTGCGATAGTGAAAGTATAAAATTGCAATAAAGTGGGGGAGCTGTGACTACCCTGCCACCCCTCTCGCCTTCCCAGCCATTTGTTCCTGTCGCTGCACTGCGGCTCAACCTCAGCCACCACCTCTACCACCTTGGTAGAGCAGAGAGGGAAGAAACTGCAGCATCGTGAATGAGCACCCAGGACAGGAGCAGCCCAGCTTGGCTTTCTGGCAGGGAAAAAGTCCACGTAACTCCAAGCTGGCTGCCCGGCGTCCATCCCATGGCAGGACCCCGGAGGAGGACTCCCACTTTGGAAAATAACAATCATTTAAAGCCTCTTGTGGATAAATTCCTAAATGAAATGCTAAGCTGACTCAGCACCTAAAAAGTTATTTAAAAAATGGTAATCACGAGACGAGTCCTTTAAGTGCTACAATCAACTAGCTGGTACCTGAAGCCATGGTTTCTGCATTAGATACATTTAGATGATAACGATTCTCATCAGGACTTTTGCAGATGCAGATTGGAATTATGCACTTGACAAAATGGTCCCTTTGTTAGAAGCTCTCATCACATTATATATCTCTGTTTAGGCAGTGCGGTTTTCATTCAATTTGATTATTTTTCCCCTTCATTTTTAAATCACAGCCTGCTTACAAAGGAGGACAGCTTCTATTAGAAATGGGGGGAGGTGGTGGTGATAACTGTGCTTGGCACTTATATGGTGCTTTTCATCTTCAAAACACTTTTACAAACACTAATTAATGCTGAGACAGTAGTCACTTCTCCAGGAGGATGGAAGTAATCTTAAAAGGAAAGGAGGAGACTTAAAGATGTCAAGGTTTTTTTTTTAATGCATAATTGAGATGGAACAAATTCCTCTGCAAAACTGACACAGATGCTCACTCCCATTAACAAGGCTCATCCCTTGACTTTACTGCCTTTACTTACCGGTGGCACTCTACAAATAGACCAACTTAAAAAAAAATATATTTAATTACCTGAACGAGAAATGATAGGAGAAACTAAAGAGAAGATTACTCGTCAAGCTTCCTCCCTCCCTTCCCACAAATTCCCAGCTCATTTCTTTTAGAGGGTGGTGAAGAGATGCAAAATCCTCCTACCTTGCAGAAAAGGGATGCCATTGTTTTGGCACGGAGCACAGCGACAAGAACTGGTCTCCAGCTGAAACTCCTCAAGGGCCCGTCGCAGATTTTCCTTTATTGTGATTGCGTTAGCAAAGTCAGTTGGAGTCACCAGCTGATATAGCGGCTCTGTCTAAAGAGAGGGAAGAAACTGCATTTATTTCCAACTTCAAGATGGTGTGAGCGTCGCAGGGCTCGGTGGGAGCACAGCTGGAGAGGGAAATGAAGGCCTCGTGGTAGGGGCTCCAGGTTTCCTGTTAGTATTTCCTTGAACCTCACAAAGAACGAGGCAGCGATGCCAGGAGTACTTACAGGGATCCTCTCCTTGCTTTACAACACCAAAGAAACTGCAAATGCATAATAAAATGCAACTGCCATACCATTAGTTGACAAACAGGCAAAATTCCATAGTAGTTTCATTAAAGCCTCTCAACCATTTTCCTAATTTGGACATTTTTAGATCAGATTTGCTCAAAATTACATTTCCAGAGTGTTCTCTTACTCCGATTTAAAAAAGGTCCCCCCAAAACCCCACCCACCAAAATCTCCTCCACTCCTCGTACAGCCACACAACACGTGGTCACGGGCATTCACATTTGCACTTCCACCATAACCCCTTCTGCATTTCAAGGCCGATTTGTCTCATTATGAAGCCAAGATAAAGTTTTCCCCTGCCTTTGGAAGCGAGAGAATTGTGACCCTCATCTGCAGATGGGGTTGGTGGGAGAAGATAAGGGGGTGCACAGCACGGTGAGTGTGCAGTAGGGGCCAAGGAGACTTTGAGTCACTCATTTATTTTTTTTCCCGAGGGCAAGTTAAAGTGTGGTTGGCACAATATTGGCATGTGTCATCAGCACATCCATCCCAAATTCCCATCCTTGCTACAGAGATGCCTGCCGCATGGGCCGTGGCAGCACAGTAAGCATGAAAGATCACCCCACTGCTATTACAGGCTCAAGCTACAAGAAATAGAAGAATGTTTCGATAAAAAAAAAATGCTCATTTCCTGCTGCTGTACATTCACTCTTCATCAATTATCTGTGATCCATACTTTGCTTTTTGAATTCAGATCATACAAATGAGGAAATACACTAAGAGTGACCTGCCAAGTCCCTTCAGCAGATGATTTATGAACTGATTTGCTTTAGTTTTCCCTAACTAAGCATTCCTGGGCTGACATTTAGTCACACTCTGCTGGTACTTTTGATCTTCAAGCCCCTGGGGGATATTGGTATGGAAATGAAGGATTATAGACACCAAATCCGAATTACATCCGTCTGAGGTTTTTCACTGGGCAGCCCGGTCACCGATGCCAGGCAAGACAAAGAACGTTGCAATTTCTTGTGGGAGAGTTTTCTGTCTGTGGGATCCAGCGCGGAGGGTTGCATTGATGTTGTCTCCTGCCCAAAGACCTCCCAGCACACTTCTGGAAGCTCTGCCCATAGCACACCAGGGGCTTGGGAATGCCAGCTCCACTGCAGCAAGTGCCAGACAGGCACTGGCTGTATTTCCAAATTACCCATTTTTGCTTTGGTTTGTATTTTTTTCAGAATTCACCTCTTCTCTTTAAAAAATGAAATGTAAGAATTTTCTATGAGAAGCAAAGGCCTTTTACCAGTACAATTTTTGCCTAAAACTACATTTTACAAGGAAAAACAGTTATACAATGATAAATTTAACTTCCACCAGTACCAGCACAAACTCCTGTTTAAAAGGATGCACCTCTTGCACCTTTGCACTATTCACTCAGAGTGAACTTATTTTGACATAAAAAATGATGAGGTGGAATTGCCACATACTTCTGCTCACATTTTACTTTTACTGTGCCTTGCATTTCTAAAACTCTTCAGGATCAAAAAACCTTGACTCTTCAAAACCTAACTCATATTTTTAAGGTTTAGCTCTGCTGCACAAACACCCAGGCATGTACGGTGAACTATTTGACCTTCAGAATGGGAGAGAATTGCTGCTAAATAGTCACTGGAGAAATTTCAGGGGGAAAAAAAAGTCCTTATAAAATATATGCTGCCAGATACATTTTTGATAAGTGATACATTGGTAGAACAGAAAGCGGATAGTCTGACCTGCTCAGTAGGCAGCAAGGGCTCACATCCTCACAGCCAAGTCAGAAGGATTAAAGCTGTTTAATTCATGTCATTCCAACCTCACCACCCCTTTTTAACACATCATACCTTGGATTTCCTGAACACCCAGTCTTAGAGAAAACATCTTGCACAATACAAGTCTATTATCTGCCCTAGAAGTTTCTCTGTTTTGGTGTTTTTTGTTTTGTTTTTTTTTTAACGTATATATTTAAACACAGAGTTCCTCTTCAGAGGCTGAAGGAAGTGATGGATACAGTACCTTTAGCTTTATGATTTCAGGGTTGTACTGTACAGCATCTCCCCAGTCCTGCATGAGCGCAGCCGTCGGCAGCTCTTTGTAAGCCAAGGTGGTAATGTATTCGCTTGCTCCGCCACGAACCAGGGCGATGAAATCTTCCACAAACCGTTTTTTGGAGGTGCTGTCTGCAAAAATGCGTTCAGGAAGTGGTCAGCTCTGCTCAGGGATGTCTTTGTGGATTGCAGATGAGATACAAGCTCACAGCAAAACACCCCCGTATGTAACCCATCCCAACGGGAGAAGAAAGGGAAAAGGCCACAGCGTTTCATGCCTGTTTAGGTTGGAAGAGACCTTAAAAATCATCGAGTTCCAACCTCCCTGCCATGAGCAGGGACACCTCCCACCAGAACAGGTTGCTCAAAGACCCATCCAGCCTGGACTTGAACCCCTCCAGGGATGGGGCAGCCACAGCTTCTCTGGGCAACCTGTTCCAGTGTCTCACCACCCTATGCCTCTCCTGTTCCCTTGTAGCAATACCCCCATCCTCCTCTCCTGCACCCTATATCTATCCCCCTAAATTTCCTCCCTATGGTTATAAGCTTGCAGGTCCTTCCACAGCCCCATGCTCCTTACCACCATGAACATTGCCTGTTCTCCTCCACATATCTTCAGGTGAACCCTCCTCCCACTGCAACACTCCCAGCTTCCCATGTGTCCCCCAAGGCCCCCCACAACACCATTACCTCCCTGTGCTCCCCATTTTGGCTTTTTTGGGTACAAGAAGCCACATGCTGAGCTGCTCTGCTGAGAGGTGGGTGGACTGGTAACATAGCACCAGTCAGGTGGGTAATGGTTAATCTGTCCCTGGTTTTTCTGTGGGACATCAAGCTTCTTCTCTACCTAGCAAATAAAATCTTGCAAAAACCCAAGTTTTGAGACATCTACACCTCTGTCAAGCTTGGCTGGGATTAGTCAGCAGACTCAAAAGGAGCTGTGAGGCGGTGGAGGAATCCTTCAGGCAGGCAAGATCAAAAAAAATCTTCTTTTCACTACGACAAAGGCTAGAAATGAAATTGCAGAAGTGTTTCATGCTTACCTCCGATCTCATCTAAAAGCGATTTACAGCCAGCTACATTTATTCCAAGGTTCACATAGACAACCTTAATAAGTCCACCAATGTTGAAGCCATGCTGTGCACATTTCTGGACATCGCTCAGAGAATAACCTTAAATGCACAACAAAAACAAAAAAAAAAAAAGTAGCATTTTAATACAACTGCTCAATGATTTATGTCAACATACATAGAAACTGTGAGTTGATAAATATTTTTCCTTTGGGAAAACAGGAGATGAGATAAAGAAGCCTTTTTAAAAATATATATATATTTAACAGATCTATATGAAATGAAATGGAAACTGTACATTTTACAGAACTCTGAAACAAAGTCCAAATGCAAGGTAAATGCTGGAAGAGGCTTTTAATGACCAACTCATCTGTACTGGGTTATGCAGAGCTGCAGCAGGTGGAAGCCTGGCCTGTGACTTAAACACCAAACATCTTTAACAAAGGACAACCCACCACCCATCCCCATCCCCAGAAGCCAGGCTTTTTAGGAGTAACTGAGGAAGTAGCTTTTCCTCCCTTTGCTGGCTCATATCTCCAACTCTTTGCTGCCAGAAGAGCCTTAATTGTTTCATGGAAGTTTCTCCATGAAGCTCTACTATAACGTTTCTCGTGGCATGTAATAATTTACCCTAAGAATCTGAAAATCCACCATATCTTCCTCCCCAAAGTCCTTCTCCAAACTCCTTGCTGTCCTGACACTCCAGAATATTTACACAGTTATCATGGTGAAACACCAGATATGACACTCAAGTATCTCTTTTCTTCTGCTTTTTTGTTGTTATCCCCCACATTTCCCTGAATTCTTTACTTTTTTTTTGTTAAACTCATTATCTTGATGATACAGATGTTTACATGAGCTCACAGCACAAGTATCACCGTACGGCTGTCCTGTTCTTAAGCTCTTCTCATACATCTGATATTGGCCAGTTTCAGGATGGTCCCTATTAATGCTCATAATCCATATGCACCTGAAGGTAGGAACCACTATTTTATGACATCCTTGTACAACACAATCCAGACCTCTCTCCTGCCATCTTTCCCACAAAAAGCAGCAAATCATGAACCACAGACACACCTTGCATATTGGATTATATGTGAAAGCTGTGCAAGTGCCAACCCCGTGTGACATGGCGTGTGATAATACATCTGCCAAAGAAGACTTGATTTCCAGCACTGACAGGAGAAACTTAGTGATGGTTTTGAAGAGAAAAACCTGAATTCTCAGACAGGGCCTAAACCATAATGATGGATTTGAACGGAAAAACCTGAATTCTCAGACTGGACCTACCAAACCCCGGTGAGAACTTACAGCCCAGCTCAGCAGTGGGGACAGTGTGAAAATGCTGGTACTACAGCAGGATCCTGACCTCCAGCAGCAGACGCTGCCAGGCAGGATTTTGATGCAAACAAACAGCAATACCCATCAGTTCAAACAAACATGGCTTGTAATGGGCCCACCCCATCAGCAGAGAAATTGGGCAAGCGCTAACATTGAATATCTGAAATCTGAATCTAAATTCTGTCCCTCTGGGCTGTGTCTGACCACGGGATAAGCGGCTTCCTAGACAGCAGAAGAGCAAACAGACTGAGTGTCACAGGCAGCAGAGTCCACTAAATGCTTTTGCAAATAGACAGCGAAGGCAGTTACTCACTCCCACGCCAATGAATAAATAAGAGAGTGCAGCTATTGATTAATGTCACACGGCTCGCTCTATCCTACACAACAATCATCATTCCTCGCAACAAAAAGAAGCCAGAGTCAAAGAGCAAGAGCAATGTCAGGCACAAGAGTCACCCAGCAAATTATTTACTGTTTCCTACACGCTGGAAAAGCTCTCGAGGCTAAAGGTGTTTCAAAACTGTCATTTGAAAGGCAATGGAAAAAGAACTTAGGTGAAGGTTTTCAAAGCTAACAAAAGCGTTAAGCTACACGATCCTCATTCATCTCAACATCTTGTCAGCCTCCAAAACGTGTCGTCTAAAATACTTGCTACAGGGCCCTTTTTATGAACTGGCAGCACCCACAGCTTGAGAGCGAGATGAAGCCCGTGATGCTGAGCATGCTTTGAAAACCGGGCTCTTTATTCACTGCCAGAAAGCACTTCTACTCCCATATTTCCTGCAGGCTTTCTTCGAGATGCTGTTGATTCCTTCCTCTTCCATCTCTCTTTTCTGGCCTTGGACTTAAACCATCATTGGGTGCCTGCAGAGGGGTTCGCTCACCAAAAAGCTGGCCCCAAAAACTTCTTCATGACCATTGGATGCACATACCTGCATTTTGGAGCTCGTTGCTGTTCAAGACTAAAGTATACTCGTAGATGCCACCGACGGTAGCCTCCGTGATGTAATGGGTGCCATAGTCTCTGTAGAGCTCTCGGTACTCCCCGTAGCTGTACTCCAAGGGGAGCTGACGGAGTCTCTGCAGGAACTCGTAATGCAGCATCAGGGCTCGGGGCTTCAGCTTATAAACGGCAACAGCCAGCTCAGAACGGGCGTGAATAAACTTGCTGGACTACATGAAATGCAGAAACACAAGAGAATCCACAAGTGAGGGACGTCGTTCCTGTGACACCATGTGGTTATTGGCCATTAAACAATTAACGCTGGTCAGGATTTGTCAAGTTAACACTTTGCAACTGGAAATCTTCTAACTTAGCAAAACCAAAACCTTTAGTAGGAAAGTTTCTGAAAATCAGGATTCTGGCCAGTATTACGGGGAGAGAAGGAGGGGGAAGAGGGAGAGACACCCATTACAGGTTAGGTGATGGCTCAGGCCACAGCTGGGACATGGGGACAGCCAGGCTCCAGGCTCTGCTCTGATACAGCTGGGATGCAGGGACACAAGCAGCATCCCAAGAGACTGCTCTACCCCTAATAATGTCAACCAGCCTGTGCCTTTCACCACCTCTTGAAAAACATCAACATCTGAAATCATGATGATTTGTATGTCAAGTCATAATTCCCTATCTGATCAAAATCTGAAATCATGATGATTTGTATGTCAAGTGATAATTCCCTATCTGATTTATATCTGATTTATATTCTGCAGAATATGCCATTACAAAAAACTCAAAGAAAACACAAACACTCATTTATATTCTGCAGAATATGCCATTACAAAAACTCAAAGAAAACACAAACACTCCAAAACCTTTAGTAGGAAAGTTTCTGAAAATCAGGATTCTGGCCAGTATTACGGGGAGAGAAGGAGGGGGAAGAGGGAGAGACACCCATTACAGGTTAGGTGATGGCTCAGGCCACAGCTGGGACATGGGGACAGCCAGGCTCTAGGCTCTGCTCTGACAGAGCTGGGATGCAGGGACACAAGCAGCATCCCAAGAGACTGCCCTACCCCTAATAATGTCAACCTGCCTGTGCCTTTCACCACCTCTTGAAAAACGTCAACATCTGAAATCATGATGATTTGTATGTCAAGTCATAATTCCCTATCTGATCAAAATTTATATTCTGCAGAATATGCCATTACAAAAAACTCAAAGAAAACACAAACACTCATACACACATACAGACAAGTGTATTTATATGCCTCTGTATAGATATGTGTACATGGGTATATATTGCATGTCCCCGTCCTGGTGTAAAAGTCAGGAACAGAAGAGGTCTTTCCAAAGGATTTAGTGTCCAGTTGTTGTGGCCAGCAAGGCGAGCACATCAAGGGGGTTTCAATATAAAACTCTGTAGCTTAATAAAGTCAAGACTTAGTATTAGGTTTCTTTATGGATATCTATTGCAAATGCGTCTCATATACCTCTGATCTTGTCACTTTGCAGGAAGCAAATGCAAGTTTAATAGCAACAAGGAATACTCTGCCATTCGTGAGTGCACTTTATACTGAGGGGAGAGACATAGATCAGTGATGCTATTAAACCATTGACAAGAGCTAGGTTTGTTTACAGCAATAACAGATGAAAAAAAGAAATCAAATGATGGCGCACACCACCTCGGACTGAATCTCATAAAGCGGTCCTAGGAGTTATAGATTAAAGCATCTAAAGTGTGCATCAGATCACAGCCGTGACCACGTCTCTGCAGACAAGACTGGAAGTGATGGAGCCATCCGTATTTTGAGGTGTGTGTGTGTGTCCTGATCTGGTGAAGGATGCACTCGGCAGATAGAACACATCAGCTGAAGTAAAGTGGCTTGTGTTAGTCTATAATTAAACCCACGGAAGGGCTGCTAGCAGTTTCATTCTACATTATTGTCAAAGCTGCCCTGCAGTTGAACAGATTGGCTTCACTGTTTGCATTATCATTTACCGAAGTGACAGCTCCTGCCTGGCTGAGCCCACCTAAAAGAGGGATGGCCCTTCACGTGTGAGATGACATTGTGCAATGATGGCACACACCGTAGCTATCCACACTGCAGACCGGTTTCTGCACTGAGTGCACAGGTGCAGAAGTTTCTGGAACTGGAGAAAATCCCATTTTCCCTTCTTTCACCCAGATTTCTCTATTTCTCACCCTAATTCACCCACAGGGCGGAGGGACCTGTGGGCTCTTGGTTTTGTTAGCTAACAAAACCCCAATTCTACCTGTGCAGATTCCCTTGAGGCAGTCACTGTGTTGGTTGCCCCCACTCACCTCCCACCTGCCAGACTGTTTGGGCATCAGTGGTAAGAACTTTTTGACATCCCATGGCTGGGGTGCAGCACGGAGACCCTGCTACCAGTGTCACTTGTACATCTCCTCCGAGCAAGGCCACTGTATGGAGGGGAGGCCATCTGCTTCTTAGTTCCATTTATTTTAAGATGACTTCACTCCAAACATCCAAATGTGGATGCCCAGCGGGACACTGGAGAGAGTGTGCTCATTTGTGGCTGATTTTGGAGGTCAGGCAGGCTGGTTCCTGGCTGACAGGGGAATGGAAAAGCTCCTGTGTGCTGTAAACACAGATGAAGGCGACGTGGCCGTAGCAAACACTTGACCAATACAAACTGCAAGATCCAATCAGGAGGAAAGATTTCATTTATCCTAGTCCTGGCTGTTGACCTGATGATGGGGATCAAACCAATATACACACACACACATACGTACAGACAACGCTCACAGAGAAATAAGTGGAGCAATGCTTACAGTTGAAGAAAATCTTTTCATCCTTTTCATGAACTTCTTGAACCTGTTGTCGTTTGAACTGTAACCAAGTTCAAACAATCCCGGTATTTTTATACCAAAGCTGAAGCTAGACTGCGAAGCTTTTGCCTTCAGGACTCTGCTTTCATAATCTGAGTAGGAGTCATATTCAGTCATTGTAAATTCATATTTGCCTTTGGTCTAAACAGAAAGCAAAAACAACACGTTCAATTTCCTGCATAGTGATTGTATACCTGAAGCATGAGGAAGGAATACAGATACAAATATACTTGTGAATTAATGCTTGCACTTTGAAGATGAAAAGCCCTGTATAATTGCAAAGCACTATTATTATTAACACTGGTACTTCAAGAATACTTGACTTGCAGCAGCAGGAAAGCTACTATCTCCTCCATACTGCAAGGACCTCGGGCTTTTACTTAATATGTCAATCTTATGCAAAGAAGGTGAAATCTTAAAGATAGGCATCAATTAAAGTATGAATTCTAAGAGGAAAAGGTTCCCTAATGGGCAACATTCAAAAATATCACACTATGTCATCAAGAGCATTAAGGTCAAATATATAATAATTGAAATACAGCCTTGATGCACCACAGAAATGAGCTTGGTGCTGCCTCTGCTTTCACACAGAGTACACGGTGTGTTCTTACATCCCAGGCTGCTGCACAAGGACAGCTTTCCCAGCCTGGCTTTCTGGGCACTCCACAATTCCACCTAAAATCAACCTCCCCGTGCCCAGTGGGAGGCTTTCAGGTCTTCTTGTACAGATGGCAGCGGGAAGTTTAAGCTCAGTTCTTGCAATGACAAGGTGCAAGGGAATACTGGCATCTATTCCAGTACACACGGATATTATTAGAGGCCGTGTCCAACTCCATGTAGTGCGTGGGGCATGATGATGTTCCAGAAGTAGGGCTAAATTCAGTGCCATCCCATTTCATCTCATGAGTTTTCTACCTCTTTAAAAAATTATTTAGTAATGAAGCTTTATCAGTATTACTCACTAATTTTATTGGACTATATGTTTATTTGCAGATGAAGCTGACACATACCTCTGGCGTATAGCTCTCTACGTTGTATGGCTTTCTGAATCTTGTGTCCATGATATAATGGGGAGAACATCCCCCAGCATAGTACTGGTGATCAAGAACTAATCCTTCCAAGTTGTTTGTGAAGATATTTAACCTGTACATGAAGCATAACAACAAAATATTATCATTGATTTAGGGGTAAACATCAAATGGCTTGGCTGAGAAAGGCAGAAGATTCTTTGTTTGGTTGAGGGCTCTCTGGTTTGTTTTTGAGGGCTTCTTTATTTTGAAACTCCAAAACAAAGTTTTGCCTCTTTCACTGCCTGATCAACCCATTTGCTCCTGAAAGACCTGACTAACAAGAAAGCAAAAGACAGAGTCAAATTTTGACACTTCAATGAGTACAGTAATTACAGAAGGGCAATTTTCACCGCCCAGCTAGGAGATACACCAGAGCATTACTGCCACCAGCACTGGTAGCTTCTGTAGCCTTTACTGGAACTCTCTGGGAAGAGCAGAACAAACTGGACCAGCCAAATCCTCATCCCACCAGGCTGCTCACCCCAAGCATCCCTGAATGCCCACGGCAGTGCAGCAGCATCCAGCTTCAAAGAGTGGTTTGCCAACCCATGTCATGAGCCCAGACTCATTTTAAACCTACATTTTTTCTTCTGGTTTATCAGTCATAATGTTTGCTGGGTTGGTCAAGGATCAACCAGAGGTCAGTAGATGAGAGTGAAAATTCTCAGGGAATCTTGGTACTTGAGCAAATGTTCAACTACTCCTTGAAATCACTGGGAAGTTTTCCTTTGATTTTAGTGGATGATGGACAGTAATCTTAACCCATCTGCTCTGAGAAAGGATGTCACACTGCTATCTTTTTAGATGGGGTGGTTAAACTGGGCTGATGGGATCCATGGCAGTAAAAACCCTTCTGTTGCTGTCAGGACACCCTCATGTCAACCCTTGTGGCAGACAGCTGAGAACATGGCACTCACCTCCACATACTCATACTCAAATAGTAAGAAGAGGAAAATATTTTTTAAAAAAAGATAATTGCTAATAGTCCGTGTCTTGTCCCTATTAGCGTTCCAGGCCTCTGTTAGATCTGCTTCTACTTATTTTGGGGAGAGAGACTTCCACGATAATGGCTTTGAAGCTTTAAAATATTAACTCTAATTTTAGAACAATCTGAAAAGAAGGGAAGTCCACTAAAGGCAAATTACTGAGCAATTGTAGCTTCAAAGAGATGAGAAGCATGTTCCTATAATTGTCCAACATTATTTTTAATTTTGATTAAACTCAGAAGTACAAAGCATTAGCAATGACATGTGCAGCAGCCATATCTCCAGAGAATAAGGAGGAAATTATAATTTTCCTTGCAATACGATTTTTTTCTTTTTTTTTTTAAATGTAAAAAGCATATTTTTTTTCCCTGCAGAATGAGAACAGACTCTTTTCACACAGTCCAGTCGTACAGAAAGTTGTCACAGTCTTAACCAGTAAAAGCTGGATCAATTCAGATGTGGATTTGAATCCGAAAAAAGTTGGGGCTTGGTAACATGCAGGTTAATCCTACCCCCCCCACAAAGGATAAAAATTCCACCATCTCTCACTACTGGAGAAGAAATCCATGACATTTTGACACATCCACCCCTCCAATTCATACACTGTGCAAAAATACAAATCCATAACCAGGTTCAGATTTTAGGCAATCCAAGTGTGGTGGTGCAACCACCCCCCACACCTTAAGCCACCTAGTGCTTGGCGTGATTTCCCCCCACCTGGGCCACATAATAACCCAACATAAAACAGGATAAAAGGAGAAAGACAATGGACCAGAATGTTATGGCAACCCCTTAACACCTGGACCACATGGCAACCTGGGACACATAACACCTCAACATAAAACAGGAAAGAATGTGAAGGGCCATGGACCAGAACGTTATGGCAACCCCTTAACACCTGGACCACATGGCAACCTGGGACACATAACACCTCAACATAAAACAGGAAAGAATGTGAAGGGCCATGGACCAGAACGTTATGGCAACCCCTTAACACCTGGACCACATGGCAACCTGGGACACATAACACCTCAACATAAAACAGGAAAGAATGTGAAGGGCCATGGACCAGAACGTTATGGCAACCCCTTAACACCTGGACCACATGGCAACCTGGGACACATAACAACCCAACATAAAACAGGATAAAAGCAGGACAATGGACCAGAATGTTATGGCAACCCCTTAACACCTGGACCACATGGCAACCTGGGACACATAACACCTCAACATAAAACAGGAAAGAATGTGAAGGGCCATGGACCAGAACGTTATGGCAACCCCTTAGTGCACCTGGTTCCCGTGTCCTCTATTGCTTGGAAACAGTTGATAATCAATCACCCGCTGACAGTACCTGGATCATGGCCCAGAGAGAGGGGGTGATACCAGAACCTCAAGATCTAGCAAGTTCTGGGCTTGTGCAACTGGTGGAATGTACCAGAATATCCCATTGTCCACTGATACCAGAACCTCAAGATCTAGCAAGTTCTGGGCTTGTGCAACTGGTGGAATGTACCAGAATGTCCCATTGTCCACGTTGGGCTGGAGTGGAAAAGTACCTGATGAAAATCAAGTATCTCAGACCCTATAAATAGTGACTGCAGAGACCCTTTGAGCGAGCTGAGTTAGAACATTGCTCAGGGAAATACCTCAAGGGCTAAAGGGCCAGGGCGAGTCAACCTTCTAGGGTCTCAATTATCCTTGAGGAACGCTGACGCTTTGGGAGTATTTACTCTGAACTCGAGAAGAGAAAAATTTTAATTATAGGCTAGTCTCTCTTTCATCCACCTCTCTATCTATTGATGTGTTCCTAACATAAACATTAACTTTTAGGAGTGTGGGTGTTCATATATTTTACTGAATCCAAATATTTTCTGCCTCTGTGTGTGTGTTTATATGTTTTTGTGTTTATACAGATACATATTGATTTAGGAAAAGCGATACCCGTCAGCTCATTAGAGTCACCTGCTGCAAAATCTGAGTAGTTAAATGCTCAGGAGGTATGCGTGTGTGCGACTACTCCAATGGGGTGTGTTTATATGTTTTGATGCTTATACAAATATATTGATTTAGGATACCTTATAGTTAAGTTAGTGTGAATCTTGTTATTTTCGAATCTGTCATTAAGTCGCTGTACAATTATTTTGTTAAATCACCATGTAAATCCTTAAATTGGTTAATGATTAAGTGCTGCTAAAATTTAACCTCTTCATTTACCTCAAACTATTAATAAATTTTGAATTGCTGCTGAGTCATAACCATGTCAAATATTTCCATCCGTGACACCAAGATGCTGATTTAAGTCACTCTATAAAGACTGGTATAACTGTATGTTCGGATTTTAACAAACCCTCCTTTGTTTTTCTTTCAAAAGCACAGTTTGAAGTAATCTCTTCATTCCTAAAGGCCAGGTTTCCTGCTCCCCACAGACTGAATTAGGCCAGAGTCTAATTCTACTTAGATCTGTGCAAAATAACTGGATTAGTGAAACTCTCCCACTCATTAATTTAAGGGCAAGTACCTGTAGATATTAGAGGAAATGTTTGGTGTTGACATTTCCCTCTTCACCCACCAGGTTTTGGCAACACAAAGAGCACACACAGGCTCTTGCAGGACACATTTGCGAGCTGAGCTGATGATCTCCGCAGGATGAACACTCCTGGGGACATCTGGGACTTGTACTCACCTCATCTCTCTCCGAAAAACTCAGGGAGTCCACCAGGATTTGCCCACCAGGCTTTGGACCAGGACCCCAAAGGCTGCAGGATCCCAACTCCTGATACAGCAACTGCTACAGCTTTTCTCTCTTCAATGTTTATGACTGAAGCCACATAAGACCATTCTTATTCTTAAGTAAGAAAACACCCCGTGAAGGTCACTGACTTACCCTTTTGCCAGATTCTCTATTCCCCAGTATTGCTCCATCTTCTGGTCACATTTTCTAAACACTTTTTTGCAGTTTTTCTCATCTGACCGGTCCCCGCAGTCATCATCCCCATTACAAAGCAGCCTCCGTGCAATGCATCTCCCTAGGATGCAAGCAAAAAATTACTTATAAAGCAACATATTATCTTGCTTACTGGCAATATTGCAAAAGCACAGTCCCTGACTCAGAGTCTAGAAACGAAATAAAAGACTCCTGTGGCGAATGGTTCAACGCTGGCTGGAAAATATTTCCTCTCTATCTGCATGAAGAAATACACATTTTTAATCACTAGACTCCATCTGCTCAGTTTTGCTCAAAACTTTCAAAATCTTAAAATTCCTTGTTCTACCTAGGAAAAAAAGACAAAAAAGACGCCCCTAGTTAAAAGTATAAAAAGGGACTGACTTTTTCTGTTGCTAAAATTTTTTAGTTTTTAGACAACAAACATGCTGGAGACTGTTCAGCAGACCTTGTATGTGATAATATTATTTTTCCCCCTTCCCATGTGCATAATTCCTGAATTCTTGTTTTTCAGTCTCACCGAACCACTAGCCCAGGGGACAGAGGTGACAGTCACCTTCCTTTGCTCCATCTCCTCTGCCCCAGCACCCTACTCCCTGCACACTGTCCTCTCCACTGCCAGGGTTTAGATGTAAAACAAAAGCTGATGAGGTTTTGGACACAGCTATCTGCTGCCTGGCTTCCCCACGCTGCTTACTGCGGTCCCGACTAATTAGTCATTGATAAGGGTGGAGGGAAATGCCATGAAGAACTCCATCATAGCCTGCTGTGCTCTTGGGCATATGTCAGGGATGCCCAATGCATGTTCTCCTGTTGCTGTCAGATCCACCTGTGCTACAGACTTTACTGATATATCTGGGTTTTAACATCCTGCCTGGAGATTTTAAAGCCATGCTTTAGACTGACAGATTTTGGCTGACTGATAGACTCAAAATCACTGATGCAAACACAACACAAGCATGGACAGACCCAGGTCACTCCTCACATCTCTTTAGCCCAGCATACCCTTGTAGAAGCCAAAAGTTCAGCGTGGTGGTGTCAGAGGTGCCACCTGAGCACCACCACTTCTCTCTCCATAGGTTCTTACCTGTAACTGCACACACAAACCCATCACATCTAACTCTATTCCTGCAAGGATTATTTGTAACACAGTCTTCGGTTTCTTTGTCAGAGTAATCACATGGATCTCCATTGAACTGAGAAGGTTGTTCCAGGCGGGCAAATCTGTACTGTGATGAAATAAAAAATATTGACTCAAGTGTACAGAAATTGTGAATTTCACGCTTGCCTAGTTAAAAAACAAACTTTGTGTCGGGGAGATCTGATCTAAGAGTACTGTCATATCAAAAAAAAAGTGTCGGTAGAGAAGTGTGATGCTGGTAACGTGCCTCATTTCAAAGGATTCTGATCTGCGGCAGTTTTAATTTTACGAAGGAAGGATTGAGGATCGGAAGGGATGAAGGAAAGTTTGCTTTTCTTTGACAGTTTGTTTAAATGAGCCTGACAAGGTAGTGTGGGCATTTGCAAGAATAAGGAAGGATTCAGTTACGTCTCCTCTCTTTCAATTAGCACTGGTAACGACATCCCTTGTTATTTTCTGTCAGTGTATTTACTTGGCCCTCTGTATCATTAGGGATTTTTTTCCGCCCACAACACTGCTGTGAAGCAGTCAATTACTCCGTCCAATATGTTAGCCCTCCTTTTCTTCCCAGCTTTTAAGATTAACTCTTTGATATGAAGCTTCACACTTCCCAACTCCCATCACTGGTTATTCCCACTTAAGCCTGGGAACAGCTTCTCCAACTCGTTAGCAGAGGTCCCTCTAGCAACGGGGATTTTGCTCTTCACATTATTGGGATCATCACTTTCATTTGATGGGGCTTCTTGGGTAGAAAATGCTCATTGGCAGACAAGAAAAAGCATCTTAATCCTGAGAGGAACTGTGTGTCTCCAGGTCCCACAGGAGACCATTAGCAGCAATGGTGCCTTGCACTGATGCTGGAAGAGGACTGTGTTGGTGACAAAGTCCCTGCAAAGCCTGGGCTTTCCACCTGTGCTTTCACCAGGTCTGGGCTTACACCTCCTCAGAACAGTGAGGTGGCCTGGAAAACACTGGATTTACTGGAGGTGAAGAGCTAAAGCCACCTGAAAGCAAAAGCCTGCAGCTTCACTTGTACAGGGCTTTCCTCAGCAGCTCCTCACTGTTTGCCCAACCCCATGGACAAAAAAGACAAGGCTTGGAGGGTCCTGCCTTCCGGTTTCTCAAACGTCATGCCTAGACCACAAACACTCACCTTTTTCTTTTGACAGGGATCACATTTGCTCCATGAAGACCAGGCGGAGAGCACACAGTCACGGGGCTGTGGCTGGTTGCTCACGGACCGGGCCCACCTGCCGTTGCCCACGCTCTTGTTGGTGCTGCTGAGGTTAAGGGCCTCCTCTTCACCACTGCATTCAACAACAGAAGAGCTTCATCATGTGAAACCACAGAGTTGTGAGGACAAAACAACTTGGCCTATAACTATGTAAAACTACATGCCAGAAAGAACTAACGCTTGTTAGACCTCAGCAAATCTTCCACGTGACCTCTAGGTCTTCGTACTCATTTCAGACAGGCATTAATTCTGTATGAGACCCGACTCACTCTTCAATGCCCAAGAGTAGACCTAATCCTCTACACCACTACCACGAGAGTAAATCTGCAGAGCACTCAGGAGGGTTGACAACAGGACACACATTTCATCTAGTCATCATGAAAAACTCAACGCATGTCCCACCAACATGGGCTTCCTCTCAAGCTGCGCCAGCCCTACCAAATAACCCGGCCAAGTGGCCAGCAGTAAAATCTGCACCATCAGTTGCTGCCCTTGCCCCATACGCTCCCTGTTGCTTGCTGTATGGGCAGCACTTTGGTACCTTGCTGCCATACGCAATGACCAGCTCCAAGGTGGGACACCCCCAGGACAAACACCTGTGCCAACTCTAAGGACTGGTGCGTGCTCAGCATTTTTGAAAACCAGGCTTAAGCGCCTCCCTTTGCCGAGCAGCCTATTTTTTTCTCAAGCTGGCCAACCCCATTAGTCTTGGACTCTGTTCTCAGTTCACAATAGAGAGTCATGAACCCATTAATCCCATTCATCCCAGTAGTGAACCTGAAGCCCAAATGTGAGCCTCTACTCTTCACCCCAGCCCCTCACATGACAACTGTCTCCAAGGTTTCCACTATGCCGCAGCTAAAATGCTGTCTACTCTTTTGGCAGATTCAGTATTTCTGATTAAATCCTTGTCCCAGACAAACACTTCCTTGTAGCCCCTAATCTAAGTGGGAAGCTGTACTAAAACATTAACAATTAGTTTCTTTTCATGCCCACTTTGACAAGTAAACCACCACCACAGCGTTCCCAATTCTTCCACCAAGACAAGGATTAGCATCAGCTGAAGCTGTAAGTATGATTTAGTGCCTGGCAAGGGGCTCCCACTACTGCGTATTAAAAATCACATGGAATAAAGGAATTACAAAAACTCATCAGCTCACTGAGGCATGAAATCAGAGCTCAAAGTTCAGAGAACAGTGGAAAAATATAGTTAGATCGGAAAGATTACAGTCACTGATTGACCTCAGCCCTCCGAAAGAGCACTATCTACAGAGCTAGCAGAGAAAGAAACAACTGTCAGCCAGATTCTTGCCATTTACCTACTCAAAGAACACAAAAAGCCCATCTCTCCAGCACACTGATGGGCAGCTAGCACGGGAGGAGGCTGCATGTTGCAAATGGCACATTACAACATGACCGTGGCAATTTGTCATCTCAGATTTATCAGCCGGGATTATTTTTCTAAAGGCAGACACGTTGCACTACGTTAAACTTCAAAACAATGTCCTTCGCTAGTCGTTAGAAATACAGAAATCGCCCCAGACAGCAATTATGTGCCATCCAACGTGAAAGCAGAGAGTTTGTAGTGATTTTCACTCTTTATCCTATCACCCCATGGACACGGCTTGGGAAATATTCACTCACCCGAAGCCATGAACGGCGAGGATGCCGAGCACAGCATAAAGCAGCAAGAGTTTGATGGGGTCCAGAGCAAACGTTGTACGGGCTGCGCTCATGGCTCCAAGGTTCCATCAGCGAGTGGAGACCGCCACCGCTCCCATTCCATCTGCCCGGGAGGGTGTTGAAAATGGTTCAAGTAGAAAAAGATAAATTACAGGGTCGTTTTTCCACACTGTAAACAGCAGATGACCCACCACCTGGCAGATTCACAAGGTAAACGTTGCATTTGTTAGTACACGGCTTTCTGGAGGCAAGCGGGAAAGAAGCAAAGATCTGTCCAGAAGCAATTCACGCTTTCGTTTGTAATGCTCCTTTCAAGGGATGGGGAAAAATGAATATTTCAACAAATGAAACACGCTCTGGTCTTGGCAAGAGGGAAGCAATAAGTAAACTAAAGTCGGCTTTCTAGGAATAGAGTAGACTGCAAAATCATTTATTTATTTCTGCTTTTCATGCCTGCCTTCCAGAGGCAGGCCAGGCGTCAGCAGTTATTGTGACTGCTCGGGGAAAGCCTCCATCCCAAGAGTGCCCTTTGCTGCCTCTCAGCAGGGCTCAGGCTACAGGGGAAGGACAAGAGCCACATCCCTTGTCCACAGAATCCTCTGCTCCATGTACCCAAAGTCTTGAGCCCATGCAAGCAAGACCTGTCTGGGTATCAAACTAAACATCTTGGTGTTTTCTAGCTACTATACTGAGTCATTCTCCCTCTTAAATGGTCCTAACAGGGCAGAGAACTTACCAAGGGCTGATTCCCATCAGTTCATCTGGGCCTTCAAAGGCAGATCAGGATCTTCAAAACCTTGCAGAGTTGTTCTTTGGTTGCCTGTTGAGGCAGTTTTCACGTCCCACTGCTTCTCACTTCAGGTATAGTTCTTTGTGATTCCTGAAACACAGCAGTCTTTCCCTTCGTTATCCTAACTAGCCTTAAGCTACAATGAGTGTCTTAGAGGGAGAAAAGTTCTCCGAGTCTGTAGTTCCCTGTACAAAATGCTGAACATCACTGTGTTTTTCCACCCTTCCTCTTGCTGGACAAGCAGAGGTTCTTTGAACAGTTGCACTGGGTACGACTATGACTTTTAACAGCACGGCTTCTCCCCCTGGGCTAAATCTGAGTGCTTCGACAATACAAAGAATAAATACATTTTAATTTGCTCATTATGGGAATGATGGATGCTATAGATAAAATTAATCATATTCACTAATACAAAACAAACCTGACAACCTCAGCACCATTACCTGGCCAAGTGCTACACCACTTAATGTGTCACAGTTACCTTACAAATGACATTATTCTGACCGTGGAGCCATGTCTCTGCAAAATAAGCTACTGGCTGCTGCATCTTTCTAGTTTGGCAGCTTGATGACAACAATTTAACACAGAGAAGCACGTTAACTGATTCCTTTTGGGAATCTGCTCCGAATAAAAAGATTGTGTCTCAGGCAGCCTGTTTTTTTAACCCAGTGTTACTGAACAGGCAGTCAGTGATTAACTGCCCTTTCATCTCCAGACACGGAGGACAAACTGTTAGGAAAGACGGTTTGGGCTGCCCAAAGCTTTTTGTTTGCCTTTTTTGCTTTACGTTTTTGTTTCAAATGACTTTGCCCCAGACTAAAACCCAAGATGTGCTTATGCGATACGGGCTTGCTCAACCTCTGACACAATTGATTTAGCTGTTAATCATTTGTGCATGGCAAAAACCCACGCTTTTACAGGAAACACCTCTTCACAGGCGGGACCTTTGCTGGCTGGGAAATGCAGTACGCATCCGATATGCCAACAGCAGCAGAAGAGAAGCTAAGATTATAGCCACAGAGCACCCTCATAGATTTAACTGCAAACCATGACAGTGATCCCAGCGTGTGAAGATCTCCAAGCAACCTACTCCTGTTTTGCTGCCTCTCACCATGCGCATCTTAGTGGTGACCATGCTTGCTCCTGCATTAGCAGAAAGAAGTTCGGTTAAAACAACAGCAGGGACCCAAGAGATGGAATTTCCCACACGTTAACATACTTTTCAGAGAGAACTGAAAAGCAAAATCAGGTTTGCCACATAATTTATGAGCTGGGTTAATTAGAGGTAGGTCTAATTCACAACAACCACCACAGCTTTTTCCACTTCCTCGCAGTTTGGGGCTTGGCGGGTCCGTGGAGCAGTGGGAATGTTGCCTTGTAACACTGGCTGTGTCCTCTTTCACCAGTCTTGATCCTTCTTCATCGCTGACTGTAATAGCCGTGGCTGTCTGCTGAGGTGTTTTCAAGTCCCAAAGCACTTAGCGCTAACAACGCTGTAACTCACTGCACGTGGGTTTCATCACACCTGAAAATGAAGCCTCACTGAGCCCCCATCATGAACACCAAGCTCTCAAGTGCAACGCATCCTTTGCAGAGTTCATAACACCAACAGAAGTTTGTGATCCCTTGCTCCCTGTAAATAAAACCTGTATGGTTTCACTGACGATTATTTTTTTTTTAAATGGCAGTTTCCTGTCCAAAGAACAACCGCGAAACACATCAGAGATGAAAGGCTCTCTCTGCCAAAGGTTAGATTGGAGCCAGCAAGTAGCTCTTCATGGCACTCTTAGTGCCCTTCTCAAAAAGAGTTTATTTTTCTTTGAGACAATCTTTTCATTCCCTGCTTTATAACTCGCAGCGTATTTCCTTCTGCAGAAGAAAACAACCGGCTCATTCAAAGGTTAAGAGTAGGCTTGCCCACTGACTTAATGGTGAAGAACATAAGGTGGCAAATACGCAGTAACATTTACAAGTAAGAAACCCTAGGGAATGTTTTCAGATGTTTACTACAACTGACTCCATGGCATCACCATTTTTCTTACTAATACAGTCATTTTCTGGTGGTGAGGCTGGCCTCTGAAAAGCCCTAGATATTAACAAAATCACCTCGTTGAGCTTAATTCTCTTTTTCTGCCTCTTGATTCACTAAAAATAAGGCCTCACAGTGACTCAGTCCAAACTGGGCATGGGCTCATCCACTTCAAAACCTCTGATTCTAAGGTCCTGTGAAGATGGGAAGACAGGGGCCGCAGTGAGGAGCAGACAAAGAAAGAAAACCCCACCACGCCACATTCACTTGCCTCTATCTCCTCTCCATTAGAACTCAAGATAACACACAAACCCATTTTCAAACTAGAAACAGCATTTTTAAAAGAAAAAAACCAAGACACTCATAATATTGGTATGTCAAATAGTACAACGTTTAAATGCAACATCTTACAGCCTTATAACTTCCACTTATTTCTAATACAATTGGCTTCAGACACTGAGAGCTCCTCTCAGACCCCTAATAACCATCTGTTAAAGACGACAAAGGTGCCACAAAAGGTCTTCACACTCCCAGTACCTGGCAATAATTCTTCATAATCCTTTATTTTCACAAATGTCTCAGGCTGAATGGACATTGATTTGCTGCCCGTTAACCTGGTTTTCTTTTAATCTATTGTGATTTCCTTTCTTCGTTGGTCAGGAGTATTTATAGAAGTGGTGCTGCGGGAGCTATGAAATGGGGTTGAAAAACCAGCAAATATCAGATCTTAAAAGACCCTTTTTAAAAAAAAATACATTCTGTATCGGAAAGCCCCTCGAACGGGTAACATTTGAGGCTATTCTTCTCATTGAGATTTTTCAGGTGCTGATAAAACATTTTAGGGGTGATAGATGAGCCACAGGGCAAACACGTCCATTGAGATAAGACTATTTAAAGCTCTAAAAACTAATAGCAGGAGAGTCGTTTCACTAATAGACCTGATATTTCCTGCCTCCAGTAGAATAATTTTAGAAAGAGACAGGCAATGTTACAGGTAATCAGGAAATCGTATCAGGATATCTCCCCATATTCCTCACTGTCATGCTGAAATGTATAATTCAGTCTCACCCCACTTTCAGACAGCAAGTAAAACAAGAAAAAATACCCTTTTTTCTTCCCCATGCAAGCTCTGTGCTTTACATTAGGCATTAAAAAAAAAAAAAAGGCTTTTAACGGGGCTGATCCTAAAAAGCTAATCAGTATGAGAAGACCAACTTGTAGAAGACCTTGTCACAAGAGCTGACAATGTCCTCTTACAAATCAGAGCACAGTCAGGAGCAGGGGGTGAGTCCCACTGGCTTCACACACAGCAGCAGAACCAGAACCCAGGAGCAGTGCATGCAGCAGTAAAGACAGTGATAGCAAGAGTGTCAGCAGAGATCTTGTATAGATGACCCAGGCTCACACATTCACCCAAAACCTCCATTTTCTGGTTACCATATGGACTTTCACCTTTTTCGTTCGCCGTGTGCCTCCCATGTTGGCTTAGAGACACAATTGTAGACAATGGATTCAAACCTCTGTAGAAAACTGCCAAGAGATAGCCCCATTCATTTCTTTGACATGATATTCTTCTGACTGAGAACAGTATTTGCCAGAAAACTAATAAATATGAACCTTCACAGGACACAAGTTGTTTAGAAAGAAAAGAAAGAAAAAAAGGAAACGGGGCATGGAAACATACATCACAACCTAGAAAAAGGAAGAAAGAGGTTAGCTTATCTGTTGCAGCAACTGTCACTGTGTAGTGATTAAAGCACATGAAACATAGCCTTTAATCCAATGCAAGCGAGTTAAAATTGCATATTCCCAGTCTATACAATCAATTGCTTTCCCAGAAGTCACTGACAGAGGAAAGAGAGATCTGTCAGAGTCCTCACTTCTGTAAAACCTCAGGTAGATTCTGCAAACCGTTGCTAAAAAAATCCTCATTACTGCAAGAGATCATGGCCTTAATTAGCATTAGTTAAATTGGGACCATTTCTTGAACTAGTCACGTTTGAGCTGAATACTCTCACATACAAACCACAGACTCCTACTGCGATTAAGTTACAGCAATATTAATGTAATACAGTACATTGACACAGTACAGAAAGAATCAGATTTTTTTTCCCCCTTCTGAACAAGTCCAACATGCAGCCAGGTCCTTCCTACTCCGAGATTCCTCACCATCACTGGACTAAATCTCAAACCTGCTCATTCTGAATTTTTAAACTGAGTCTGCATAGCAACCATGCAACACAAGCCAATTTTTTTCATTTTTCAACATAAACCCAACACCACTGTGGGGGTACCAGATGAATATCAACATGAGTAGATTTGGCCTACTTTGTAAAAACGTATTTTAGTTTAAAACCATGCTTAGCTGTGTCTTATTTCACTTTAAGTTGACATTTTGTAGCTTATTGACAACAAAACAGATCATGTTCCTCCTTCCAAGGACATCTGAATACAGTTAGCTATGTACCAAGTGAAAATCACCTTAACGCTAGCATGTCTTCATCACAACAGAACGACCTTTATTCTCTGGTGGGATCCAAGTATTTCAACAACATTCACTGAAAAAGGCAATAAATGTTTTGGCATGACTTACTGGACATCTCTGGTGGATGAGAAAGGGATGAGAGATCAAGAAGAAATACAATAAAAGAGACGTACACACATCCACACCTCTCTCTCTCCCTGTATATAGACACGTACTTCTTACCCTTAACTTTCAATGTGGTATCTTGCATATTTGCAGTGCTCACTTGGCAAAGAATGGTACTATTCCTCATCTCACTGAGAGATCCTGTACTCGGTACCTCTGAATATCACACAACTTTATTTTGCATGTGGCATCAATAGTTTCACACCAGCAAAACACTTCAGCCCACCCAACGCGTTGCCCCAACCAGTAGGAAGGTATCTTTAACGTGTTTTACCAAATCAAGGCTTTGCCCTCAATTCTGTGCATATTACTGGAAAGTTTTGGGGTTTTTTACTTTCAAAATTGTCATGTTTAAATGCACATTTTAAATATTACTTGAAGAGGAACATGTGAACAAAATTAATTACCACTTCTCATGCCACAACGGTGCTCCAGCTTTGGTAGCGCTGCACAGCATGGTCTCTCCCAGGAACCCGAGATTTTACAATGGACTAAAATACCTACTGGTTTGGAATCCTCGTCCTAAAACACCCAAAAGGAGGCCAAAAATGGGGAGGCAGCAATTAAAAGCAGCAAGTTCAGTATTTGCAAGATAAGCAACACTTAGAGCGTTTAACCTCAGGTATTCCCCAAATTGAGGCACTTATTTTCCTCCTTTCCCAGATATTGTCACCGTCTGCCAAGACAGACAAACAGCACCATAAGAATGGCAGAATTACCACAACGAGCAAAAGCCAGGAAACACACTTCCTGAAACGACGCCTTTTTAAAATGTTTTTATTCATAACAGTATTACATGGTGTGTTACAGAAATTAATGGAAAATTTCTAAAAATTTGTTGGTTTCTTTTGTTGTTGCTGAATGCATTATACATAAAGTTAAAAATAATGTGTCCGTAAATGTTAACAAATGGTCATTATCTGAGGTAAAGTTAAAGTAGGTTTAGAAATGTACTGCAACAGTCATTTTATCTTTCTCATCTTTATTAAAAAAATATGTGTCAGAATGCAGAAATAAAAATGAATGAAAACCACGGAGTAAACATTTTTGCAAAGAAGGTGCCCAGTACGTTATTAGATGAAAGGTTTCATCAGACACTTGGATGGCTACGATCTATCAAAATATCTTTTCATGACAGGTAAAGATCAAGAAACCTACGGGGGATGATAACAGGATGGCTGGTGGGATTCCCTGGTTTTTAAATTTAAAGTGACGAATTTAGTGCTAGTGAAGGATGAGGGATTAAACAATTGCACAAGCTGGATATTTTAGTTATCTACAATACTGGTACAGTGCAGAGGCCTTCCAAGTCCTCTCAACTCAGCATCTCAGCCATGACAAGGACGATCTTATCGTATGACAAGACAATTCAGAATTTGTTTTTATTTACGAACGTTGATAAAGGTAAGACAAAGGTCCATGGTGATGGTCCAGCTGTCTCTCGTGAGACACTAAAATCCCAGCCTCATTCCCTCGGCACCTATTCGTTGCAAGGACTATGTAAATGATCTGCTTCCTACAAATATGACATCAATGGATCCTCTGAGACATAGATCTCTTCTTTTTCTTTCAACGTTTTACCCCATAAGTGAAAAAGCACTGATGATACTAAACCTCAAATGTCCATGATGAACCAAAATCGTCTTTGTGGTTCCGTATGTAGGGCAAAACCCAAAAGAGCCACTGAGGAAGAAAGTAGCACCACTGTGCAAATTAGGAAAATATTCGGAAAGAAATGTCCTTCAGAAACGCTTTTACCTCTGCTTTTAATCCTGAAACACTCAATCCACCAAGTTTTAATTCATCTTTTCCGGTTAGAATACTTGATCTTTCTTCTGATGGGAAAATAAGATTTGCTACAAAGCTGTTTGCACATGACTAAGAAATAAGCATCAAATGACCGTGAATGGGGATAAAAGTTCTCTTCTCTGCAGGTTCATTAGGTCTATTCACAGCTAAATTTTCATTCACATACATTCTGTAACGCACATTTCTCTAATTTCTCTAATTCAAAGGAAAAGACTGGAATCATGTTGTAAGATTTGGTTGTACATATCAACAATCGCCACCCCAGTTATTCTGTCTTCTAAACCATTTTTAGCTTATAACAGAGATGAAAGAAAGTAAAATATTTATAACTCCAGGCCTATTTTAATCATGACAAAAATGTAAATCCTAATGTGTCAATTTAAAAACAAAATCTGCACAATAACCCTAAAAACTGATTAATCATTTGATTTCTTTAACCTTTTTTCCTTTTTCTATTTTTTTTTTTTTTTTTTTTTTTTTCTTTTTTTCTTCTTTTTTTTTTTCTTTTTAGTGTTAAACCACTAAATTCAATATACTGTAACTGCATAGGAACATCAGGAAAACACATTTGACCTGTATAACAATTCTCTGTAGGGCAAAAATATATAGATTCTTTATGAAAATCATGTGCTAAACATATGAACCCAAACACTGCACTTTTGCTTCATAAATGTAAAAAAAGGAAGTTTTAAATTCTTTTGTTCTGCGTGTAAACAGTTTGATGCCTTCTATGCAGAGGTTCTGGAATCGCAAAGGAAATGTCAATGAAATGTGATTTCTGGTAAGCGGAGTATGTCCGTGTGAAAACTAGATCATAAAATCATGTGTTCCCATTAATTTCACTAGTTGCTGACAAGCTGACTGCTTTTGGCAAATGCTCTCGAGCTTCAGCCCGTTACCGTAAGCATGTGAAAAAACGTACGTGATGTGAGAACCACCAATTGGGTTTGCCACACCTCCCAAGCACTGCAACTTGCTACCTTCTCTACTGTGTAATGGCATTAGTAAAAGAATTTTCATAACATTTATATTTACAAAAAAAACTGGCAATTTTCATTCAAACTCCTTAAAGCCATTTCCCCTTAAACATTTAAAGAGTTTAACAGTAAGATTTTTTTTTTTCAAGTTATAAAATAAAAATCCCATTTGATTTTTTTCTGATGTACAAAAAGTGATAAAGATGAACAATTTGATCACAGAATCAGTTTGTAATTCCAAAATCCATGCCATCCTTGTCCCATTTGTAAAGTCCGCTTCATCCAAGTTCCTAAACCAGAATCATACCAGTATTATTTGGCAAATGATTTTTTTGTTTTTCATCAAAAATGGCACACAGAGAAGAAAACACTTGTCTGCATAGCATTACAGCAGCAAGATATCGAAGAAATAAAAATATTCCTTTTCTGCACTTTGTTTAGAGTTTCCTAGGAAATACTGACTCTTTCGTCTTTCCTCAGTGGGACTTGATGTCCTTTCTCTACCACAACATGAGTATTCAAACAGAAAAGCAGCATTTCTTCCTCATGATGCACTAGAATGTAAAGGTCCATTTGGCAACATTTTCAGCCAGGACGGATAAACAGCCAAGTTTTATTCTGTGGTTTCAAGTTGGGAATCTTTTCCGCAGGAGGCGTTTTGCTGTTAGATCTGTCACTCATACAAAACTACAGAATAAGAAATACAAAAAAAAAATCCCAATGACACTGCCAGTATTTTTTCTGTTGTTGCTGTTTAAATACGTCTACACAGGAGGGAAAAAAATAAAAAAAGGTCAGGATCAGCCGGATGTCAATGATGATGAAAAACATGTCACCGTGACATAAAAAGTGCCGACTTGTGCCCAAAAGACTGTCGAATGATAATGCCACTGCTACATACAGACGCTGTTTTTTGCTCAAAAGAAAAAGGATGTCTAATACCGGATAAATTTTGGATGCTTGTTATTTATATGTGGCATACAGAAGATAACAAATGTTTAAAAGAAGACCGAGGAGTAAGATTTCCTAGTCTGGATACCCATGACGTGGGGGGACGGGGCTGGACTCGGGGTTATGATAAGCAGGGAGAGTTTTTTTTGCTTTGTGCTGCCATAGGAATCTGCCATTGGTTGCCAAAAAAAAGAAAGATGTCAGGAACACTCGTAGCGCCAGTCCAGGAGGGCATCATCTCTCCTTGTCAGACAAAATCAATCGGAAAAAAAAGCATGAAAGCCAAAGGCCTGCCAGGTTGTTGGGGTTCGTTTGAGTCTTGGAGCACCACAAGCCTGTAACAATGCTATTTCTTAGGTCTGTTGATCTGGGCGTAGAGAGGTTCCGCTTCCTGGGGATAATAAAAATACAATAAGCGGAGATGTCTCCAGACAGTTTTCAGAACATTTTTAGAACATCTGCTCGAGAACAGCAATACCTCCTGAGTCAAAACTCAATGGAAGAGTTTGCTTTCCGTGCTGCCTTGAGTGATCGCGGCACCCCGGCAGAATTGTGAAGAAAAAGTGGCATTATTTCAGAAAATGAATGCTTACTATCAATTTCCTCTTCCAGTACTGGCCATGCATCGATCCTCAGGAGGTATTGCTGGCCGTAGACACATGAAGACGTGAAATGGTATTTATATGACTAGATGTTTTGAAGTTTACAGGCCAGGAACGCAGCTGGCGTAAAATGCTGTTACTCGTACCAGGCCCCAGCAGAAGAGAGCTGTGGGTTTTACACACCTCACGGAGAAAAACACTCGCAAACAGAAACCGCCGCTGAAAGCTGAGCTAACGAAGCTGTGCTGGGATTTAAAATACCAGTATGAGTTGCCTATGAAGAAGGAGGAGAGCCAGCTCCATGCGGTTTGATTAGGAGTCTGTGTAACCGTTAGTAAGATCATTAAAACTGGGAGGAAAGCGTGTCGATTTGCTAACAGATACTTTCTTGGGAATTTCCTGGATACGTGTGTGTGGGGGAAAGCTGCCATGTTCTTCGGTGTTGTTTCACAGCTGAGACCCTGTGCTTTAAAAACTACGTTCATCTTGGCTGCAGTGGGAAGCAAACCATCCATGGACCCTGGAATCCATTCTACTTCATTTCCAGAAACTAATTTATTAAACTAAGAATGACATCTAAAAAAAGAACAAGACAGGCAGAAAGGCTAATTAATGCCATACTGCATTAACTCTCCACAGCTTGATAAATATTCAAATACCATGCCGCGACGTTGAATTTAACCAAGTTAGAATTAACTCATGTTATAGCAGCATCAGCAGAAGCTGACTTCGAGCAAAAAAAAAAAACAACAACTCTGAAGGCTGGCAAATCGCTGGGCACCGCGGAGCACAGAGATGTCTGGCAGGGGATTGCACAGGATTTTAATCACTGCTTATAAAAACGATGCTGCTGTTGAGAAAAACAGATCAAAGGGGGATCTGTGGGACTATTTACTTTGTGACCAGAGTGCCCCGTCCCAGCGCCCTGTCCAACCTCACTATGCATCTTGTGTCGAATGAGGAGCAACGCAACACATCCAAAATATGACCTGTTTCCTCTGTGCCAAGGAAAGTTGTCTCTTATTCCTTGAAACGACTGCATTTCTGGAACTTGCAAAGACTCTGCTTCCCCATTTCCCACCTATGTGAAGCCCTGAGCACACTACGAGCATTACGGGAGGATGAGAGAAATCCTTTGGAATGATTAAATAAAGGCTGCTGAAGTTACCCCCAGCAAGAAGCAAATATATTTTGTGACCTTGAAAAACCTAAGGTAATCAGAAGAGATGACTGAGAGTAAATAACTGCATTTCACATACTGTGTGCTAAGTCCACCTATGCCAATTTTCATGTACCGCAGACACGAAGCTGGCAGAATGATCTATTGCAGCTAGTTCAGAGAAAATCTGTACTAATTAATGTGGGAACCTGACACACACCAGGCCATTCTTCAGGCATTTGCTGAACCTGAGGTGATTGCACGGGGAAGTGAAAAGGAAGGAGGAGAAGAAAAGGGGAGGGAGGGAAAGCATCCCTTTGGAACAAAAGATGTCAGTTCTTCAAATGCCTTCGGGGAAAAAAAGAGCTTTTCAAAATGTCAAGCATGCTTGTTAGAGCTGTCCTCGAATATCTTTAAGATATGCAGATGCACTTAAGTAACAGGTGTCCTAAAGTGTCACTGAACTTGACACCATTGGAAGAGGAGGAGGAGTTCATCATCGGCCATCAGCAATTTCAACAACGCATGAGGCAGCCAGGAGAATTAGAAATTTCTTTTATCCGTACCCAGTATTTATCTGAACGTACATTTCATGTGGCAAAGGCCTGCATTTCTCTCTGATTTGAATAATTTTTCTTCCAGTAAACCAGAGCATATTGAATGAAAAATGTGCTCTTATGTCTTCCTTTTAGTTGATTTCCCCCTTCAGAAGCCTAAATGAGAAATTAATTGCGGTAATTGCGTGCAATCTTCTCAGCCAAAGTTTTTTGTCAATGACTGAGGTTTGTTTTCTAATATTATTTTGAGATCATTCAAGCAGTGCATCTTGCCCATGGCCCAACACTATGAATGGTATCTGTGAAGTATTGATAAGGATCCTCAAGAGAGCAAAAGAGAGCAGAAAGGGACCGAAAAGAGGCAAAAGGAGAGTTGAGTGCTGTTGACTTCATGAATAGCTTCTCTCACACTGCCAGGCAGGGGGGCTTCACAAGCATTATTTTGGAGAGTCTTGGAAGCAGAAATAACCCCCCCTTTTTTTTTTTTACATACTCCATGCAAAGGTCACAGGGAACGTCATGAAAAGGCAGGAGAGCCTAACTCTTCTCACAGCATCAGAATCACCTCACCAAAGTATTCTGCTTCCTGCTTCTAGCCCCGCGTTAGGAACAGATTCTGAGGGAAGGAAATGAAAGAATGGGTCTTTTTCAGAAAAAAAAATAAGAGGAATGAGTAAAATAGCATACAAAGCTTCCAATTCACATGAACGCCTTGAACCTTAAAGTGTTTTCCTTTCTATAGGATTGGCTCAGGAGCACTTTCATCAACCCAGGGAGAGAAACCAAGAAGACAACTGGCAGCACCATTATTCTTTTTTTTCTCTCCTAAATCCTACTTAAAGGCTTCTATCAACTCTGAAGATACGCAATTTCTGGCAGATGTTTGAAAAGTAAATGTTTTCCTTTACGTTTGGAAGCTGCTATCAAAGCAGTGTTTAGCTCTATTCTCACATGCTAATGGAGCTCTTTACGTTGAACAGTAGACTTTAAATAACGAGATACTGCAGAAAGAGGGTACCAATTCACAGGTCAGGTATGTGACCAAAGTGACAGGTTGCAGTAAGGGACCAGAAATGTCTAAATACACAAGCTTTCAGTTAGACATCTAAATACTTAGAAAGCTACAAGTAGGTTGTGATAATGTTGAGTTACGAAGTGTCTCGGAATTAATTGCAAAAACTGCCAAAGTGAAATTTTTCCCTATGTATGCGACACTTACATATTCCAGAGATTCTTCATGCTTAAAATCAGTTTGTTCCTCCCATTTTAAGGAACATTTTGCACAATAAACAAGACTGTAGCAAACAGTAAGCATGCCTGGTACAGCACACTACTGCATGATGTAACAAGGTTGCTAACGCTTTTGAATAACATTATGTAAATATGAGCAGTAAATTTGCATCCAATTTAAAGATATTAACATCTGCTCCCCAGCAGAACTAATCATTGGAGAACATCTCTTGAAAGATTCAGCGTCTACTTGGGCTTGTGTGGTTGAGCTTGCTGGGAGAACCTAAGGTGGGACGTGGTTTAGGAGTAAACTATTTTTCCATTGGCAGCTGCTTCATCATCGCGAGGTGCCCCGCCACGTGCAAAGCTCCAGGTGAGATGTACTGAGTTGTAGAGGTGAGGCCCGCAGAGATTTCTTTGCCCTTTACAATAGATTCCCAGCATGGGTTTTACTCCTGGCTGACTGATCAGAAAGGGCTGGCTCAAACGGCAAGAGTTTGGTGAAACAAGTGTGCTGGAGCACCAGCCAAAACGCCAGTTCTTGTGCCGGGGATGCAAGTGAAGGGAACGGGAGTGCAGTGTGTCTTCTCTATCGCATGCTGACTCAGTAAAATAGGACATAGCAAAGTTGGCAAGCGGGATTCAAATTAAATATCTTTGGTGATAAGACAGATAATTCCTATTAACAGCTTATCTTTGCTTATTTTTATTACAGTTGGCCTCTGCAGCATAACTACAGCAACCTTCTAGTTCAGGATTATGACTGGAGACTGCCTCTATTCTTACTATAAACCCACCTAGGAATATTTCCCAATCTCAAATATCTAGTTTAATTATAAACCTATCCAGGAATATTTTCTAGTCTCAAATATCTAGTTCAATTATTAGCATTTTAAAAGTCTCTGCCAGTTCTTGTGCCGGGGATGCAAGTGAAGGGAACGGGAGTGCAGTGTGTCTTCTCTATCGCATGCTGACTCAGTAAAATAGGACATAGCAAAGTTGGCAAGCGGGATTCAAATTAAATATCTTTGGTGATAAGACAGATAATTCCTATTAACAGCTTATCTTTCGTTATTTTTATTGCAGTTGGCCTCTGCAGCATAACTACAGCAACCTTCTAGTTCAGGATTATGACTGGAGACTGCCTCTATTCTTACTATAAACCCACCTAGGAATATTTCCCAATCTCAAATATCTAGTTTAATTATAAACCTATCCAGGAATATTTTCTAGTCTCAAATATCTAGTTTAATTATTAGCATTTTATAGTCTCTCTTGTTTAAGTATCAAGATGGATGCTACACATCCACAAAATGAAAAAACAATGAGAACTACTCAGAAAGATGAACCCTGCTCCATCTTGGTCCCGGTATAATAATGAACTGCAGTGAAGAAACACGCCTGTTATTTCTGGGCCCCTTTCCTAACAAAACAGTAACCACACAATTATACTTTCCATCTACGCATCTGTCAATTCTCCTTCATAACTGTTGAACCCGACGGCCAATTTGAAGCAAATTGTTCAGAAGCCTCAAAGATACTAAATTATCTCAAGCGCCTTTTTAAAATCAGTTGTTGTTCAGAAGACAGGGAACTTTTAGACAACCTCATTAAGGAGCAAGCTAGGAGACCTCGTCCCCTAATTGAATTGCTGGATTGCCAATCAGCAAGTACACGGCTCTACGCAAGCTACACAGTATGTTGTTTCTTGTTTGGAGAAAGAAGTTGGAGAACTGGAAGGGTACCTGGCTACTTCAAGAAGGCTTGGAAACACTGAAAGAGGTAAGAAAACTGTGTATGAGCTGATTATATTCAAATGGGTAGCTCAAAAGGGATTTAAGCA